ACTGTAGCAGAGCTGTATATAACCACCATGCACTTCATGTCATTTCTATGCTTTCCTTTATTTTCCCTTTTGTTTTTCTTGTCTGTTTTTTTTTTCCCCTCGATATTTTTAGCTCATGAGTGTTTTTTTTTTATTATTATCATCTATCGCTTGTCTCGTTGCTCGTTTTTGTGTTTCGTGGTCTGTTGGAGTCTATTTATTGGTTTCTTGGTTAGGTTAGTGAACTGCTTATCTGCTTGAACACTCTTCCCTATTGAGGATGCAAAGGAAATTTCAGTCTTTCTGTGCAATAACTGTAGCTCTGTTCATCAGAGGTGCAAATTTTCAACTAACGCAAGAATCTCTCTTCAGTTACCAAATATGGTCATAAAAGTTACCTAATTCCACTTCTCGTGCGGAAACACCAAACATGTTGCAACACCTTTAAGATATGTTTAGCAAAGAGTTAGAATATTTTCATCTGAAAAGTTATTTTTCCTCTGGTTCCTTAGAGACAACTGCGAAATGACAGGCGAAAATACAATTGGCACTGGAACTGATGACAATTGTCTCTATTCGAATAAGATAAACCAGGTACACACGGTTTAAGGAAAAAGATGATTCAACTCGCCTGTAACCGTAAATGTTTCAATGAATGTTTTCCATATCATGTACCGTTTCCCGGCATGAAAACAACAGTTACATAGGATCATAATGTCACATGACTTTTTATCGAAGTAATCAGATTGAAACGAACACAAGGTTTGTGGATATAGTGCTTATCCATAACGTTTGCTTTACCCAGCTAATACCGTCAGAAGTTTATAAAAGCCCTACAATAAGATCAGAGAAGCGAGTACTTGACTTGCGAAGGTCTTACCTTCTGAAGTGCTCGAAACTTTGGGCCATGTGTTTGAGTGACTAATCTTTTAAACTTTCCTGAGTCAAGACCTTCACGCAATTCACAAAATTCACGATTGAAAGGCCGGGATACTGTTCTCAAGGTGTTCGGCCGTTTATCTAACGTCATGCCTCGTCCTTTACTCTCTAAATTGCATCTACACTTCTAATTGAATAACCATGTACGGTTAAATTCTTGATGAAGCAACTAACAGTTCTGAACCAAAAGGCCTCGCTGAAATTGTGATCCCGTGTTTAAGTGAACATTCACCGGATTTGCATGGTTTTCAACGAGTTAAATGTCTGTTTCAGGCAAGATTTATTCGATTTCCCGACTTATATTTTCTTCAATTAAATAGTAGGCCGTCCTACTAGTAGTTATAAATTTTCTTTGTTACTCATACATTCTGGCTGACCTTCATAACTCAGAACTAATTAAAAGTTTATCGAAAGAGTGAGTTCCATTTAACCAGTGGAATTATTCTGAGTGAATATTCATCATCCCTGTAAAATGTAGTCATGTGTTTGTGATACACAGACTTAGGAAAAAAATCTCACTGTTCCAAATAGGAATATTACTTATGATCCATGCGCCCAGTCATTTTAACCTAGCAAATTTCTTGAAATAGCCGTCTGAATCTGTAGGATTGTTACTTTTGAGAGATAGACCCCTCGAAAGTGACTTAGAAGACATACATGTACCGTGCTTGAGATTTCATGTTCACAGAAGCGTTGTTAACCAGCTAAATAATTTTACAAGGCGCTTGCAAGCCTGCACTCAGCCGTGTCAGTTCCATAAAAATCTGTTTGCTCATTTATTTATCTGTCTGCTAACTGATGATCCTTATCGAACGATTGGGAGAGTACTTCATTTTGGTCTGGGAGATTTTGTGTGCGTTCCTGACTGATACCTTATTAAAGCAATGTGTCCGTTAGGAACTCTTCATGTAGAAAACTGAGGCGAAAGCTCTCTGCTACAGCATGGTTGGAATGTCAACCGGCCAAAGAGTATCATATCTAGTGAGCAGTGATCTGGCGTCCAAGAGTGACTGAGCCTTTAATGTATGATTTGCCATCAACAATCAAAGAGAGATTTGAAAGAACTTGACTGACTACACGCTCAAAAGCGTGTAGTCAGCTTAGTTGTTTGTTAAGAAAAAGAGTATACGATGTAGATAGACAGATAATTAAAATGTCTCGAATGTTTCGTCTTAATGCAAAATTGAAAAAAAAATGTATCACACTCTTAGTGTTTTAAGATATAATTGAATTACGCCGGGTTTTCACAATTCGATAAGTGAATTGTTCACGGCTTTACACATAGGCCTGTATTTAAAACTAATCATAACAATTCCGAGAAAATCAGATTTATCTGTTTCAAGCGGAACTATTCTCCTGGGGGAGTAGCTTGTCGAAGTCAGACGGACATAGACTTCTCCATAGGTTTCTGTGCTGAGCGCTGATATCGTCCTCAAAGTTGGCACCCATCTTGACGAACAATCTAGCATCAAATATTTCCGCAATTCTGTTTTGGTACATTAGAATTGAAGCTTATCGCGGGGTAATTTTAGTCAAGCACACGGAAAAAGGTTGTCATCAGTTGGAAATCAGTAGAATTATCTGTTATCTTTGTTGCACATCATGCAAATCATTTAATTTTTATTGTTGATTACGCCATAGCACTTTGAAGATACAAATGAAGATGTCCTATCAGACAACTAAATTCTTGTCGTTACCAGTCAAATTCCGTCAACAGATCAACACATGTTCATAATACTTAAACAGCTAAAATAACAGAAATCACGCTGCCAAGTACAGATCAACCAAACGCTGTTTTTATTCGTTTTGTGCACTTACTTTGACCTATTGTTGTCATTATATCATTATATGCTTCCGCTGCTTCACTTTATTCATGACGACCTTCTCTTCATGTAGTTTACTTTATTTTACTCTAATTTTTCCGGAATATCAAAATGTTCTGAAATGTTCATCTAAGTGTCGTATCGGTTTCTTAAAGTCTAGGATAAAGGACCACAAAATATTGAAAAAACCTTGTTCGATATACGATACTGTTGAAATAACACCGACCGATGTGTACATGCAGCCGTCGACTTATATTTCTTTAATAGTGTAACAAGCTCATGTTGAATAACACTGTGGCCTCTTCACGGGCGGTTCACAACCCACGTCTTTGGAAAACATGGTACGATTGATAAATAAACAGCTTAATTGAGCGATGAAAGACAACGGATAGGTGTCCATCCTTTTGAACACATATGGCGATAGTTTACAGGATGGGTGCTTTAGGCGAAGATAGTGATTTTTAAAACACATAAATGCTTAACGCTTGCGTTATTGACCAGACTGAATCACTCTACCATACAAAATTAGGTGGCTAAGGTCTCAGAACAAGTTCTTTAGTTGTCTTCTCTGTCAGTTTACCTGAACTTGAATAATTCTTCAGCCACCAGACTTGTCAACCGCAAGGATTTACTTTATTTTCGTGTGCATGTCGTGAGCGCATAAAAGCTAGACTGTAATCGAATACCTATTGAAATAATGAGTTCCTATTCATGTTAATGCGACACTTATCTAGATTCTTATCAGTATATTAAGCTAATTAAGTGAACGGTGTGAATGGTGTTTGATTTCATGTAGGCCTAGATTGGTTCAACACAGGTCAAGAGGGACGTGTGACTTTACCAGGGTGGAGGATTACTCACCCTTTTTACAGAGCTAAACAGATCTCACGAAAAATGTGAGGAATGTGGTTCTTCAAGAACGGCATTTCCATTAAGAACGAAGTTTGACAAAGACCATCGACGTTGATGAGCAATGTCACCTCAGGAAGTTGAGTAATTTCAGGCCTACCCACAAATCCAGATGTGTCGAGTTGGTGCTGCTATCAGATGAAGATCTTTGTTCTCATCACGAAAGGAATGAAATGTTTCTTTGTCTTAAGCAGCTAACCTAATCAAAAGCTTTTCAATACTTTGAATAGATTTCGTCGGCACCTCTGTGCTTTCTTCAGCTCTGATAGGGAATACTCATCAGCGTGGGAAAATAATTTCGCCTTGTCAACAGCCTTTCTCCTCTCAATCGATAACACACACTTTTGTTTGTTACAACGTTAAATAATTAATATTTAAGAAGGACTGCCAGAGATGAGAAGTAAATAAAACTGCATAAGATTTTGAGGTTTTTATTGAGAATTGAAGCAGCAACAGAACTAAGAATTTTTCTCTCACCATAATTGCACGTATTGTTGAATGAGAAAGACATAAGTTTACTCCTTCTGTTCAAGGCTATTGTTGGAATGCATACAGCGTTAGGCAAATCCGCCATAAAACTGTCTGATTTGCGCCGGCCGATCTTGTACAATCCTAAAACGAATAAACCGATCAGAGGGGGCAACCTATTTCCGTCAACTATCGAAGCAAACAAACAAAAGTTTAAACAGTGTAAAGTTGTTATCTTTACGAAGGTCATCACCACCGGAATGAATTCCATAATTCAAAACTAAACCAATCAAAAACCTAACATTTCCTAGAAATTTAAGATTTCTGGAGACTCTCTTTAAAGGTGCCGTTGTAAACTTTCGATTTATTTCAGGGCAGTTAATGGTCCATAGATTTGATTGCTAGATTTTAGATTGGGTGCCATCATCTTTCATCATATGAGGAGAGGCCTAATCTTGCCTCTCAACTCCGCTTAACACAAACCTTTTACTGAACGAGTGCACGACATCGACTTCGCCTTGTGGGGCTGCGAGCTAGCCTCATACTGCTATCTCTGAGAAGTGTTAATATTCCGAGTCAAGGGTAAAACAAGTTAAACAATAACCTAATATACCCTAGAAAGGTCAATTCACTTCCTAAGACATCAAAACAAATAAACACGGTCATGTTCCTTGATAAGTCAATCTGCCATCTTTTCTGCAAGACAACTTGCTGTCATTAGAATCAGAGTTTCGTAGCTCGTGTTTATCTGAACCAACTAGTTGATAAGTTCCGTATGTGCTATGTTGAGTATCAAAGTGAATGGCATATGACTAGGCTATTCTGGGATGCGGTCTCGTCCCAGTGCTTTTCCCAATTGACAAAATACCAAGGCTGTCATCAAAGTATTAATTGCTGTTTATTGCCTGTTTGCCAAAGAACTTAGCAGCTTGCGTGAAAAGGGTGCGACAAACGAGAATACACTGTCTGTGAAGTATACAACGAGTCTTAATGGAGTCTTCACCGTCTCTTTCAATGAAGGCAAATGCTTTCTCTATAGCCTCTCTGATGTCCTCTAGAGATGATCGAGGCGATTTTGGTAAGAGCATAAAACGACACAAGTATTTTGACGCACTTATCAGCTAAGTCATCCGTTTTGAGATTCTGACAAAGTGGCGCAAATTTTGAGTGCCTTAGAGAGTTGGTTCGAAGCATTATTTAAGGGTCACAGCTAAATATATGTATTTTTTAATAATTTCATTCTCTAGATCCGAAATTGTCTCCAAAAGACAGAGCGGAGAGTTTTTCTGAAGAAGAAACTACTCAACCACCGCCGGCAAAGAGGATGAAGTCTTCGTCAAGCGAAGAAACCATCGAAGACAAAGAAAGCGGGAATGAGTACGAAAACCCTTCTAAGGACGAACTGAGAAACATAACCGTTGAATTGGAAGGAAAAGAGTTATGGGAGAGATTTAGTGAACTTGGAACTGAAATGATCATTACTAAGGCTGGAAGGTGAAGTGCATTGTGAGTCGTCTGTGGCGCGCTGACCTGGAAAAGCTTATGCTTTTTGTGCAGTGCCACCAACTGATCTTTACGCTAACCGCTTGTAAATCGGTGCCGGAAATCAAAGTTGTTAAAAAGATAACAAGCTGTTTTATAAACAGCATCTATGCGTTTGCATAAACATACGTACGGCTCTTTATTGATGCTTCCTACCGTGTAAATTATCACATTCACTCACACAAACCACTGGACTGAAAGTTTTGATTTCTCATCTGATAAGTGATGTTAAGGTGCAATGTCGATGATTTAATTTGCCAGACCCATAACAGAAATAACCACATATTCTGAGTGCGCCCTTAACATCTACTTTCCAAACAATTACTGAGAGTAATTCTCTTTTTCGCAGGCGCATGTTTCCCACATTAAGAATATCTGTGAACGGTGTTAACCCCAAAGCAAACTATATGGTCTTGATGGATATAGTGCCTGTTGATGACAAACGCTACAGATACGCCTATCACCGTTCAACTTGGCTTGTGGCGGGTAAAGCTGATCCACCAGCGCCTGTAAGACTCTACATGCACCCAGATTCGCCTTTTACCGGCGAGCAGTTGTTGAAACAGATCATATCGTTTGAAAAAGTTAAATTGACCAACAACGATGGCGACCGTAACGGACATGTAAGTAAACCGTTTTCTTTTTTCATTTAGTACTTCAGAAGGAGCTTCTATAATCTCTCCTGGTCTGAGAAATAATTTTACCTCTTTGATTCAACATTCATAGCACCTTAAATCCAAACCACTTTGTACACAATTTGTCTCTCTTCTAGGGCACACAGTTTCAGAACAGCTCACAAAGAGCGGTTCGTACATCAACGAAATATTAGTTCTTGAACATTCATGGTGCTTCAGCTTCCAAAAACCCATAAAACTTGAAGAAAGTTGACATCCAATTGAAAAATAATTAACTTTTGGGGTAATAAGAAGCTCAGAATCCTACGCAATCGGGGGCATCATTCTAATTTGCAAACTGCTCGTCTTACTTCAAACTATCCTACGATTTTTGTTCTATATGGCACGTTTAGTGATTTGCCTTGTTTTTGAACATTGCAGCTCATTCTTAATTCTATGCATAAATACCAGCCTCGAGTGCATATTATTCGTAAACGTGACCACACAGCTTCTGTAATTAATCTCAAGTCCGAGGAGATGAAAACCTTCACCTTTCCAGAGACAAATTTCATTGGAGTGACAGCATACCAAAATCAACTGGTGAGTATTTTTTCATGAGCTAACTGTTTCATTAAATATCACATTTTTAATCCTGCGCTATTTGTAGCATTTGGAAAATTATGTAGCGCCTAAAGATGTAACAGACAAATTGTGGGAAACTAAAACGTTATTCCCCTGTTTCACGCTTTAATTGAATTATCATTTAATTAGGAAAAACACATGCAACCTCAAGAGCTCATTTCAAGGTTCTTCTTCTCCCTAGCCATGTAGCAACAAATTATGGCTTTTCTGTTGCATAAAATATTTGCGTATTTGTAACTACTATGTGAACGAGTTCTTTCAGAAATGAAAAGGAGATTTTCTGAAGCCAACACAGTTTAAAATTGTTCTCGACGAGATATCATTAATTGTAATTAACAAAAAAAAAAAAACTAAAAAGAATGGTCGATCGTGATCGGAAATATGTCCCAATATATCTAGAATGCACAAAGACGGATGTGGGTAAAAAAAAACATACACAATGGCTTTCCTATTAACATCTTGGTCAGTTCCATTGAGCGAGATCCTTTCTTAATAACGTAATTTAAAGCCACTAATGTCCGTCTTTATTTTTCCGCTTCGCAGATCACACGATTAAAAATAGATAGCAATCCATTTGCCAAAGGTTTCCGGGACTCATCACGTCTTATTCCAGTAGAAAGGTGGGTGTCAAAAGTAAGGAAGGTAAATACTCTTTTCACTGCCGTAAGAGTTCAAATTTGGAAAAACGAAAATGAGCATACAAAACATTATCTTAAAACAAGCTATGGTTGAAGAAGTAAAGCACTGTTTTTCTATCGACAGTAGTTTTACGTAACACCTTCGTTAACGTCTTTCCTTGTATTTAACTTTTGTATTTCTTATCCCAGTTAACGCAGCGACTCTGCTCTGTCATGATAGAGTTAGAATCCACCTGAGTGGAGATAAATCTTGCCGCTATTCGCTGATTCAAAGAACAATGACTTAAGACTAGAAATTGTCGTGCTTAGGGTCCTTTTCAAACTCTTGCATGTAGATACCCATAAACCATGAAAATGATTCCATCTTCAACTTCTTTTGTTTTAATTTCAGAGACTGTTTTCACGACGGTCACCCCCCTTCGATGGTTACAGACCCGTTGTATCCGTCTCTTTCCTTTCCGCTAATACCACAGCTTGGGGTTAACAACAGATACCAGCTTCCCAAGATCGGCTGTAGATCTCAAGACAAGGCAACTTTCTTCCAAACAGGTGATTTAAGTTAAAAATCAAGCGGACATGAGTACTGAGGAAAATTTAGAAACCCGACCATATGTACCGCAGACATGAATCAAGGAAAGATACCAAAAACTTGCTATTTAATCTTTCACAACTTTGCGATTTCTCCCAGTTATTTTAACGAAAATATGCAATATTAAAGCGATGCACCGATATGGGTGGCGTGAATTGATTGGTGAATTAATCGAAGTGAAATCGATTATCTGAGTTTTATTTTCTCACCACAATCTACTTAAATAGGGCGTCTTCTAGGAACTTAGTGATAGACATAAACTAGTCCTACAGGCACATATTCCCAGCAAAAAGCGACCACTTTGTTTTTCAATCTGTGCTTGTCACGATATTCCCTTGTTTTACGTTTTCGCGAGTGTCATCTACAATGGTTTGTATCTCGCTAAATATAAGGGAATTCACTTTCTGCAATTAATGATGAATTATACCTTCGAATATATTCTAATGTAAAAATTGCCGAGAAATAGTGGACCTGTTTTCGTGGCAGTTTTGCATGAGAAATTTAAGTTTTGATTTTTCACCACCCAAGGTTATAAAAATGCTAAAGAAGTGTTTCATGATCTCTTCTTGCTCTCATTTTCTTCTTTTCTGGCTATTTTCTTGTCCTTTACGGGTGGCAAATGCTCCAATTTTGCGAAACAACATACCATCCTTATAATGAACGTTCATCAGTCCTCTCTTACTGTATATGTATAATTTGAATAAATAAATAGTGTCTTACGATCTTTTTTTAAATTTTAAATAGCTTGAAACTTTGGATCGCATTAAATCAGAACCATTTCTCTGCAATATCACGTTGTACATGTTTTAAAGCAGGCTCAATGTTACTTTCGTGACCCAAGGTTCGACGAAATGCCTGTATCATTTGTTTCTTTCCTTTCGTCCTTAACCCTTAATTTATTTTATCAGAATCCTCCAACTCTCTCTCTCTTCCTTTTTTCAAGGGTGTCCACCACCGTCACCAGCTATTCCAAGAGTTCCTTTCACAGGAGTCCTAAGTCCCTTTCACCAGCAAGGTTTGCCCAACTTATTGTCGTCTATTTCTTCACCAAAACCCATGGGAGCGCTGGAAGTACCTCCACTACCACCTTACAGTGTTCACGGGGACTTTGCTGGCTCAACGTTACCCTTCTTTTAAACTAGACGTATATTACATGCAGTGAGATAATAGAATCGGAACGACGAGTACATTTCCTCTTTGACTAACAGGATATCTGCATCATGACCATGGCTTGTAAAGCACATTCTGCACCCAATATTTATCATGCTCATTTCGCCAATTCCTTTGGCGACTTGCATCATATTTTGTATGTTTGCATCATATGTTTGGAAAGGCTAAATTGGCCTTTAAAAACTCATTCCCTTTATGATCGAAAGATTTTGCTTGCTTTTAAGCTACTTCGGCTATGTTCGACCATTTTGAATTAGTATGTATTTAAGGGTGAACATATTGATTAAGGACATTTATATACCTTTCCTATGGATATTACACCCACGCACCAACATTCCTTGCCGGTAAACTAAGTTACCAAGTGATGAAGTTACTAACTTCAATCGCTTGCGTAAAGATACTGGTAAAGACAATAATTACTCATCTACAATGTCAATAGAACTTGTATTATTGTATATAGTGTTATGTTCCTGGAGTTAAGAATAACCAATCAAGTAATATCGTCATTACAGCATTTATTATGAAGATATAGAATTCCTCCCTTTGAGCAGGTTGTGGTAGGTCTCATAGACCCCTTTTCCTTTGAAATAATTTCTTGTTCGATTGTTTTGTAGCAATTTTTTGTTCAAATTTTGTGGCGGATCGGCGAAACTCTATTTAAAAAGGCCAACGATCTAATAAGTGTGAAAAAGGTTGTCCTTCCTTCTTTTTTTAATTATTTTTACTCTTGGAGAAACTTTATATGTGACCTATTTATTATTTTTATTTGGAATATCCTGGGAAAAGAAATGTGAACAAAACGAATTGTAAAAAATGAAACTTTAACCAATTAGTTATAATGATGCATCTTCATTAAAGTGTTTCAGTTGTATGATATCGATGTCCTTGGTGTTGTTTGAGATCATCTTTTAAAGTTGAAAAGCAGACAAAGAATGTGTTCCCTTTAGAAAGGCAGTAATTTAGATTTTGGGAAACAATGGAAAAAGGTGAGGAGCACAGACATCGCGATTGAGCTAATTCCTTGATATTCGCGGTTAGTAGAGTGCAAGCATAAGAAAATACCATACAGCGTTTGTTGACTCTGCAGCTTATGAGGGTTAAGGGTTCCTTCAAGGGAAACAATAACGTTCTCAAGTTGACACTATTTGAGCATTAAGATCATCATTTCAGTCACGATAGTCAGGCCAGCGTCTGATCGGAAAAAGCGCATCTGAAAGGTTTTTTTTTTGTATGGTTTTGCCATTTAACAATGGAATACTGTCAGCACCTTTACATCAACACAGTTTGTTATCAAGTGTTGAGTGCTGAACAGTCAGCAAAAGGTAAAGGCCTGTTAGTCGATTGGCTTCACATTTCCCAACTACATTACGTGATGGCCTAAGAGACTCATGGAGCTTCGAGGTCTAAATGAACGTCAGAGCTAGAGAGTCTCTGTGTCACCAGCTCGGCAAAAAAATCTGCTGAATATTCGGACAGATTATCCATTCAATTAATCTGGAAAATTGATCTTAAAATAAGCTGTGAACAGAAGCCAGGAAGATGCGTAGATAACCCCGTGTCACGGGAATAGGCGGCATTGAACTGTCGAAGATGTTACCGACGGATGGAAGCGGCTGAGATGTCCTGATAAGAGAAAAGATGAGGCCATCAATCCGGGTCAACTAAGAACAGATGGTCAGGTATGAAATTACTTCGGTCTTCTTTACTGCTTGTGGACTCATTTTTTATTGAAAAGATGCTTACCTTTCTTTAAACTTTCATTGTAAGACCCAAGTACAGTACCGTGTAACAATGTTTTTGTTCCCAAGAGTCTCCGTGGTGGCTCCTATTTGCGAAGAAAATAGCTTGATACAATCATCAATTTGTTTATTCAATCATCACTTTACGTACTTTTACTTTGTTTTAATATCTACAAATTTTAATTCAATTTTGACAAATAAGGCACAAAACGGCGGCATAAATTCCATTCTTTGATATGCCAAACTCAAACCATTACCCTTTTTTGAGATAGTTTGATCAAAGTTTTAAGGTTATTGAGAGAGATAGCAAAGCGTAAGTCGAACGTTTAAAAAGCAAACGTGGCGGTAATAAACCATCTCCTGCATAATCATTTTCTTTGTTTTTAGATCTACCCCATTTCTTTTGTTACGGTCGAAATCAAACAAATATGCATTAATTTGCAATTTAAGACCTCCAAGAAACTAATACGATAAGCCGATTTTTATAAGTGGAACAGCTTATGTTTGGATCATCAAAAGTAATTTTTTTTTTCAATTTATCTTTTAAATTGAATCCTCGATGAAGGTTCCGCTGGACAATTTGACGACGGTATCAAAATTGACACCGACATCGGAAAATAGAGTTTGATCCGTCAATAAGGCAGTGTTTGACCTAGTATGGAGATATCCATGGGAAATATATCGCTATTGATAATTTAAGGGCACCAGATAAAGCTATTAATACAACTTTTTGTCATTCCCCTATCCCAAAAAGTATAGATAAATCTATATCAGAAGATTGCCTGAGGAAAAGCATTTAGAAAATGTCACCACCCAGTGCCTTATCAGCCTGTAACCCATAGTTAAGGATAGTGTAACTCGCCCAATGACTTCTCCTATATCTTTCTTCTCCATAAAGCAACTGAAACTAAAATATCCTTCAATGTCTCTCACGAAAACGTTCTCGAACAATCATTTATGTCAGTATGCCGAGTCAATAGTCATAACGAAGATAACATTCTCTTTATTAATATTACTCATTGATTACTCAAATTGATAGTCGATCACCAATCTATATTCCAGACAACAACACAAATGAACTCTGCTTTTTCCATTATTCCATTACCTTCCTATCAGAAAGGCTACGATCACAATTTCAGTGAAATAGTTAGCAGTGTCTGGCAGCGTTCAGTTAAAATGTGAATCGGAAATGCTATTAACTTATCAGTTCTTCGATAACTGGAACACCAGATGTACCTAAACAAGCTATGCATCATGTTGTCAACACTTGGCCTTATTCTTTTTCATTAACCTTGTAGGAAACTGTTTCCCTTGATGCTAAATACGACTCACTTTGATAACAGCCTGGCAGTTCCTTCTGTCTCTTCTATCATCCGTTTTCACGCAAACTCCCGATTGGATGTTTGAAAAAGAGAGCCCAAACAGTGAAATTGTGGAAGATAATAGCACTATCTGAGTATGATTATGTTTGTATTTTCCAAAAGATGTTGATAAAGGCGTATACCTTGTTGGGCCCGGCGAATCTCATTGCCTTAATGATCCTAAGGAATTTCCTTCCAAGACTTTTTGAGGTGAGTGAGTGCAAAGCAAGATTTTGGGCTTCAGATATTTTTCAGCAGAGGAGATAGTTTTATATTAAATTCAGTGCAACTGTTGTACCTAAGAGTAAAAAATCAGGAGATGCATATCATTAAAAGAATCTCTTAAGTATGTGATAACGAGCGATTGAATGCTTAGCATCATTCTCGGTCTCTTTGCAAATCCTAGTGAAATTACATAACGCGCTAAGGTTTTGCAACCAACTTGACTTTCAAGAAGACAAGGTCTGGACAGGAAATTTCAGGACCTTCATGGAAAGTTCTAGGTCGTATGTTAATTTTTACAATAATAGAAAACCTCCTGCTTTTCAGACGCCAAATTACCTGTTGTGGTATTTATTTAAAATTTCATACACCAATTCATTCCTAAAGAGAAACTCATATAAAAATAGCGGTACAATCGTAACTCATCCGCTTATTGTTACGTCGTTTTCCAACAGTGCAGGTCACCAGAGGTTATGGCAGAGTAAGATAACAAACATCTTGTCAAATTGTCGAGACCCTATTTGGAATGTGCGTGATTGTTGCCCTCTGCGTCACACCAATATTGAATTCAAACGTTAAAAAGGGATGATTCAATCGCAAAGCTACTTTTAAAGGCAATTCTCGCTACCAACCACAAATTATTATTTTCCGGGATGGTATAAATTTTGGTTTATCTAAATCTGACCATTGTTTAAACATCAATGCGTTAGTTTTGATTGGCTTATGAAAGGCATAAGCCGAGATCCAATCAACAGTTACTTTAATAGCTGTTTATGACTTGTTTGTGTGTAACAGTGGTAATATGAAGGGTTTACGGTACTGTGAATAGACCAGGACGCTATGGCAGAGTGCTACGATCCAAGCAACACACAATCAAATCTCTCTTCTAAGGCCACGGCATTTTCAATTGCGTCTTTGATGGCTTCGGATGAAACTGGTACTTCATCTCTGCTGTATTATTACTGTTTCTATTCATATTAGCCTCAGAGTAAACCATTAGTTTAAAGGCACATCTGGAAGCAAATGACAAAGATGTAGTGACCCGCTCTTTTCTGAACTAGATATATTCATATAATAGGATCTATGGTGTCAAGCCCTTGAAACTGTTTCAGTTTTCAAATGATGATCCCAAACGAACAATCGATACTAACCTGGCCCTCTTCGCACGGCGATGATATGTTTTCATAACTATCACGGGTGCGATGAGAGGGTGTCATTGCCCTATCAACGAAAATGAACCTACTTCTAGGCTGCTTTCTTACGTATTTAACACGTTGCTATTTGTTGCATTTAGGAGCAGATGAAGCGAAGAGGAAGAAGCCTTGCGCTAACGAAGATGTTAACGTGCAAGGCTCTGCATCTTCAAAGAGGCTCAGATCCTGCGGAGGAATCAATATAGATAGCGTTTCAGATGCGACAACTTCTTTGAATTCAGGAGCCGTTGGAGATGTAGAAACTATTACTGCTACCTTAGAGAGTCGCGATCTATGGGATCGTTTCAACGAATTGGGTACAGAAATGATAATAACAAAGTCCGGAAGGTAGGATTAAGATGTTGTGTTGTTTTAATACTGCTGAGGATTTTTTTTGTTTTGTTTTAATATTCCTTCTAATGGCCTGTCTAATTATCGAGTACTGTTTCGTTTCGATCAATGTTGCTGTTAGGTACTGAAAAATTCTTAAAACGCAGTCGCGAGCATGTGTTAGAGATCCGCCACTTGAATGACCGCAGACAATATAACAGTGAAGACAACTGTTTATGCTACCTACTGTAAGGTTAAGTGATCTCGGAAAAATTTATAATGAGGAGAATTACCTCCATTGTGATATGCAGAATTTGCAATTAAATCTGAGTATTTTGCACGCGATAATGCGCTCCAAATGACTCCTTTCTTTCGACTTGAAAAGGCGACCGCAGAGACACACATACTTCACACCATGTTCTGTCTATTGCCTTATTGACAGGTATTGTAGATAGCATCCGAAATTGCTCACGAACGAAGTAGCTAGTTGCACTTTTAATCAAGAGAGACCCTTTTTTAAGGGAAACTGGAAAAAATTCATCTGACATAGAACGCAAGTTGCTTTTTGCGTTAGAGGTTTGAGACGACTTATTTTTTGGTCTGTTATGAACCATGGATTACTCGTTCGTGTCAAGAAACTTTTCAAAGTGTTGGTCAAACTACGGCCATGATGCAGGAGACTTTACGAATAAATTTCACAGTATGAAACTCACAATTTAGATTGTTCGTTATTGTTATTGTTCCTATGATTGTGAAGATCGATTTGTCCGGAATAAACTCTTTCTCTTTAGCTTATTATGCTATGTATTCATGGAGCTAAATATGACACTTCGGTTTCCTTCCCTGATTTCGCTCATCATTGAAATAATTCAGGCTTGTCTATAAAACTATAACTTGACTGCAACAAGTGACAAAATAGGAAGCAATCAAATCAGATGAAAATCATCGAAATTCCAAAACTTCCATCACCTTTTCAATGAGGGGCTACCTTACTCTTTAGGAAATCCTTTCCACTGCTTCTCTAAATTCCTTCCTAAAGCTATTCTGGTGATTGAGATCAATGAATTTGTATCTAATGATTTTTAGTTTCATCTGTGGAAAAGTCCCCTTTACCAAATGACTTGCATATCAAGAAAGAGACCATTTTAGGCAGCCCTGCAATGTAATGTTGAAGAACACTGTTTTCTGGGCGTGAGAGAACGAAGTACAGACCTATAGTACTTTTTCACTAAAATTATGTGCTTATTTTCTAATTCATGCACAACCTATGAAAGCTCCATAACCAGAATTGTTTAACTGGGAAAGGATATTGATAGCTTCAATCTTAACACTATGAACTCTCTATAAGTTGTCTGCTGACTTCTCAGCAGCAACTTGACAATTTTTGCAGTTTGCTCTAATCATTTGACTAACTTGTAAACATGTTTGCCCTTCAGCTCTTGGTGATTTTGTTATGAATATCTTGCTCCACTTCTTTCAATAATGATGTCACGTTATTTCGTTTATGTTTATTATCATGAGTAGATGGTTCTATTAATTGTCCTTCTCTTGAAAGTAGCTAACGATGATTTTTACAGAGAAGCTTGCAAAAGAAAACCAATAAATAATGACATAACAGTCATTAAACTCATTAAAAGAAATAATAAAACTGTTGAAGAGTGCTTTCGCTGACTTTATGTCTTTGCCTTTTAATTACAAAGGAGAATGTTTCCAACCCTGAGAATATCGCTGAACGGTGTTAGCCTTGGGGCAAATTACATGGTCTTGATGGATATAGTGCCTGTTGACGACAAACGTTACAGATACGCCTATCACCGTTCGACCTGGCTTGTGGCGGGAAAAGCTGATCCACCAGCGCCTGTTAGACTCTACATGCACCCAGATTCGCCTTTTACTGGCGAGCAGTTGTTGAAACAGATCATATCGTTTGAAAAAGTGAAATTAACCAACAACACGACTGACCAGAATGGACATGTGAGTAAGAGAGGACTTTATTTATATTCTGAAATATTCATTATGGATACAGCGAGGCGTTTAGAATGAAAGCGATTGCATGAAAAAAAATTTCCTTTTTTTTTGGTTATCTTCATACATAAATGATTTCGTGCAGACACAAGTAGAACAAAGTCGCCGCAACCGGTTGGCGGGGCCTCTATCTCCGCCGGCTTCTACAGCAGATAACGGGCGGCGTTCCAAAAGCGGATAAGATTGGGTGAATAGCTTGTTGGATTCTCCGGAGACTTTTAACCAGTTAGCAAACAAAAACACAGATCCATCGAGTTTAAGAAAAGAGATTTACACCGTAGAATTAATATCGAATTGTTCTTTAAGCTACTTTCATTGCACAAATTGTACCAAATTTCAACATAGCGAAGTTTGGAAATTCATAATCTATCTGTTTGTAAACCAAGATAAACGTGTGCTAAGATTTGTTCGATTTCATAATTTCCTTTAGAAAACTAGGACTATTCCAGTGTTTTGCTGATCAAGTTTTAGTCAAGAAAGGTTATTTTATTTCAATCAACGTCCTTCGAAATAAAATTCTTAAAAGCAGTATCTTCACAGAAACGTTCGATGTGGACGATTATCACGACCACTGGCTGTTCATTAACAGGTTTAACCTTAAGTTAGTTGTATTATGTCTTAAACACTGCCTATCCTTCAACAGATTGTTCTCAACTCCATGCACAAATATCAACCTCGAGTGCACATTGTTAGAAAACGAGACCACACTGCCTCAGTGGTCGATCTTCACTCAAAAGAGGCAAAAACCTTCGATTTTCCAGAGACAAGCTTCATTGCTGTAACAGCGTATCAAAACCAGCTGGTAAGAAGGCATTATTATCTTAACTAATCTTTGCTAGTTTACGAAAATGCCGACTTGACAAACACGACCCCCACTGTTTGAGAATAAAGACGTTAACAAGATGTTATAAAGATATTCAAAAACTGTTGCTGGTCCACTTTGGCTTCCAGAGTGCTTATTGTATTCAAAAGGGGAAGTTTTTCAACTTCGGTTCAGAACGAAGTGAGAAAAACATGTTTTCTCTAAACGAACTGCCATATATTTCGTCGTGAAAATGTAGTCACTAAACACACCGCTAGGATCACGGTAGATGCCAAAGCTTAAAATAGTTTCAAAAGTCTACACTTAAAATCGTTATTATGAGAATATCTCGGTGGGGGTGAAGGATTTTTTCCTTTTTTTTTTTTAAACCGTTCCATCCACTCATGACTCACCCTCTCCGTAATCTTATTTCGGTTGTGGCTAACAGCTTAACAGCAGGTCTGGGTCGATTTTGAGGTTCTATCTTTGTTACATTCCACACCAGATCAATTAAAAGTGCATTTCTACACTATAAATTTCAGATTACACGTCTCAAAATTGACAGCAACCCCTTTGCAAAAGGTTTTAGGGACTCCATAAGGATTTTGCCAATGCAAAGGTATGTTGACATATCATATATTGTAGGATGAGCTATTCCTCTTCTAGAAGGAACAATGGTGTTTAATACTACAAAATATCCTATCCCTAGGAATTCGGACGTGCTTTCATAAGTAGTTTAGCACGTCGGCAGCCTTTAACCTGAAGGAAACAGGTCTACAATATAAAGTAACCTAAATCAAAATACAATTACTCTATGTCAGGTAGTCTTATTTATAGAGAGTTGAAGGAATCGAGGTATAATACTATTATCGAGCAGGAGGAGGAAGGCTAATCAAATTTGAACAAGATTTGTGCTACCGAAAACAGGCTTAACGTGGTTAATATAAGAGGTAGTAATACTTCCTACAGTGTCCATTGTGTGATAATATTTTTATTGTCTTTTTGTTTGTGTTTGTGGTCGTTATTAAAGGAAAATTAAAGCAGCCGCTCACGTTAGCGTGACCTAGGCCCAGATATTTGTTATCAGTAGTTCTTTGCAATTCAGTGATACTGACCAATTCTGAAGTGATTTATATATTTCAATTTCCCAGTTGACGCAAATGATGAGCCCCCAAAGCAAATTTTTAAAAAAAAAGTGATTTATTAAAAGAAATGAAATAATGAGTTAAACAAAAACAAACTCACTCAGTTGATTACTTTATCAATCATAATACTTACTTATGGGAAATGAAGAGCTGCAATTCTCTTAGTATTTACATCTAGACTTTAAAACCAGTGAAAACCTTGCATACCACGATCTCATTTTTGGTGCATCCCTAAAAGGATATCTGGTCTGATCCCTGTGGCAAGGCCATTGTCTGTAAGCCTTTACATATGGGCATGTATTTTGAATACAACGTACTGAATACAAAATACTGTAGTTTTCCTCCATTGGCGAACCTTAATCAATGCAGGATGATGCTATTGTTGGCCTACTGAGCGTCTATGTGTTAATGAGGTTATCAGACCGGATGCAAATTAACCAAAAAGGTTCCAAAGAAGTGATAACGAATGTTTTTTCAGAAGAAATGCTCAGTCAGAGCCTGCTATTACGCTTTCCGTACGAGTTTAACTTCCCTTCATGGCACATTTACGAACTGTCTTCCTTCTTCATTTTTAGAGAGTGCCCCCACAGAGCGGCATACCGACAAGGTCATATAAACTCATTATCTGTCCCAGCTACTTATCTACCGAGTCATTTCTTACCTTCGGCTATTCTACAAAGCCATCAAATGGAGCAAAAAGACGCGCATTGCACTGGGTGTTTGGCCAGTCTCAACGAAGGTCAGTGTTTTTGTCTGGACGTTTGGAAACACTCGCTTATTTTCTGAAACGAACTTTGGCGATTGATCCCAGATTAGGGTCTCTACAATCACTGTCGCCAAAGATAACATGTTTAAAGACAAATAAGTAAACATAGAGACAGACCGACAACAGAATGACAAGTTTTATAGCTTTGATAGCATAGTTTTACCATTATTAGCCTTTCATTCGGAGCTTATAGTATAATGGTTATTAGATTTGACTAAATCAACACAAAACAATTTTAAACATTTTATTTTGAACCAGTGAGGTGAAATGGAGCCAGAAAACAACTCCGGAAGTTAGGAAAAACGATGGAAATGATAAAATTAAAGTCTTGTTTACCTTTTAATAACTGTACATTTGTCAAATCGCTACTTAAAACAGTGACATCTTCTAAATCAGAGGATTTCGAAAATGTTAAGAACAAAGTTGAAAACTCGACATTACTAGAATGATTTTGGTCTCCGATGGCATTAATCTTGAATCTGTCCCAAAGTTTCCTTAATACACGCTGAAATATAATACTGAGCCCACAGTAATGAGGAAAACGCGGTACTAAATATTTCCAATCAGGAAATAACTAAAAACGAAACAATGAGAAATTCTCTCTAGTTTTAAAAGCTATGCAAGCCATTTTTTAAAGACGTCTTGTCATATTAATCCTTAACATGAGTAAGATTCACGTACTTATCGGGTAGAAAGGGAGAAATATGCGTGGTTGTCAAATTAAATTATTTGACTGCATGTTCAAGCGGGGGAATGGGGTCAGTGGGAAGAGATAGCCTTTCACGTGATGAAAGTGGAAGCCACTCGGTGATTTAAATCAAGTGTCTAACACGCATCGTTAACAACCTTTAAAAGGTATTAAACAGCAATTTCACCTCTTTAAACTTGAAAACATCGCAAAAATGTGCGGAATATTTACAGGAAAGATTCAGGGGCAAATTCCAACCTCTGGGCATCTTAATTTCAACCACGAAATACAGATAAATCTATTATTTTCCCGAAAATCATAATGCAATTTTCTCATGTCAAGACATCGCATTCACACTACCCAGGGGTTGCCCTTTTTAAATTATCATAAACCCCTCTAGAAAGAGGATTTTAAGCTTAGAGCCCACACTCTCTTGCGAATTGACTTAAGAACAGCAGCTTTGCGAAAATCCACGACAACAACCTTGGCAATTATTATTGCGTTGTTTCTGAGATATTCTTAGAGATCTAAGGTCATACTATTAGCCTCCGAAGTTCTCTCATTGATCAAGTTTTCCTTTCTCATTTTATTTTCAACTTTCGGTAATCACTGATGGTCGCGTTATGACGTGGACAAGATGACCAACTTCTCCTGCTAAGATATCTACGATTAGCTCTTAGATTTACTTGCGTCTCCTAATTACAATAGATATATGTTAATTACTTTATTTGCCTTGCACCCTCCGGCATTGGGATGAATTCCACTTGTTTTGCACGCGGTCTCTTTCTCGTAAAAACTTTAGAAGTTGTAATTAAATAATAAGATTAATAAGTTTTAATCTTTGGTTGAAATAGGATTTGGATTAATATATTATTGAACCATGTGCCTGTTTTTATAATCATTTTGTAAAAAGAGTTTTTGACAAAATTTAATCTTATATCTTATTAGAGAGCGTCCTTTGTGAAGCATTAATTCTGACTCAGAAGGTTACTCGTTCGTTGGAGTAACCCGGAACATAACACCTCATTTACAACATCATAGCCACTCTAGCTATGCTCACTCTTAAGTGTCCTTAACACTTGGTGGGCATGAGACCCTGGACTTTTTTTCTCTCTTTTTCACAGAAAACTAGAAAAGTAAAAAATGTGCAGATTATGTGATAATCCCTATGAAAAAAAGATCTGTAGGTTATGTAGACGATTGTAACGGATTAAATAAAAGGGGATCATAGAATAAAGCTAGTTTAATTACATTAAAGGCTGGGGAGAAATTAGATCACGAATATGCAAAAAATGCGTTGTTTGATCATACGAACAACCTCTTAAATGCGCCGATAGTTGCGAGCCAAAGTCGGTGCTATCTCAGTCAAACAGTTTTAAAGAGATGCGGTGGTGTTTCTCGATTTTTTATGACACCATCAAGAAGCAAGAGCCATTCACACGGAATTTTTAGTTCAACCTATACTTTTTTATTTCGTTGTGGAAAATGGTAGCAGTAGTCTAATTCCACCCACTTAAAAAAGTATCCTTTAAGGACAAAACGGTCATGCATGATACTGCTGATAGAAAAAGCAGAACTTTCTGGTCATATGCGATACTTAGGAAGTCTAAGGTGACATACTCGAGAAAAAGTCCTGGCGAAAAATTTTCTCATTCATTCCTGGCAATAAATTTCTTTGAACCTTTCGATAGGTGTATTTCCCCTAAAACTGAGTCGCAGAAACTTGTCTCTTTTAGTAGTAACCATCTTACGAAACGTTTGAAAAACCTGCTTTCATAACTTACAGCCAACTTCTTGTTTTCGATAGTTTTAATGCTCGATTTTGTAAAGAAAGTGTTCCATAAGCTAATTAAAAAAATCCTCATCCTAAAGAAGCTTCTGATAATTTGAAAAGGGCAACTCCTGGGCAGCGTTAATATGATTTCTTGACAGGAGAAAATTGCATTATGACATTCTGGAAAGTGTAAGTGTCATCAAAAATTCTTGATTGAAGTGGCGTTCTAAATATTCGTTAACGTCTATGTCGTGATATCATCACGAATACAAGCACAAAGTTCAATATTGCTCAAAAAAGAAAAAAAAGTAAACAAAAACAAAACAGAGCATAAAAGCCAGCCGAAAAGGAAAAATGAACAATGAATTTGGAAATGAAGGCTGGTCTCTCTGTTCAAATGTCCTGTAACACCTCTAACTTAGGTAAAAATGTAAACGATGTACGATTTGATTAAGGCACTTTCACGAATAAACAACTAAAAGTCTATTTCTCTATGTGCCCATAACGTACAACTACATGTATATCGCTTCGATCACCTTCTTCGGCAAGAAACTTCTCACTTTTGATGGTTTATATGTCACTTACTGCTACTGACGTGTTTGCAAATTTTTTATTTCCCGCTTTGCTTAGATATGATGGGAATGGCCAGTCATCAATGTTTTGCAAACCACAACCCAGTGGCAGATGGTCAACTCGCAGTCACAGGGATACCAGTTACACCTGGTCCTTACGTTATGGAGTCACAACTTAGACATGTTTCTCCTTGCGTCTCTCCATACTTCAGTAACGCTCCACAGTAGGCACTGGTAAGCGCTAGTGTCATAACTAACGTCATCGCCACCATCACTAAATAAAACACCCCATGGAAGGACAAACTAACAGCGAAAAATACCGTGTACCGAGCATTCCTGAGAAAATTGTTACAACAGTATTTCTTACCCAAAAAGTATCACTTGAAAATGCAAGGTTGGAGTAAAGCACAAAATGCCGTGTATTAAATGTTCCTTATCAAGAAGGTAAAGAATGTAACGATAACAATCTAACACATACAGGTCAACATTTAATAAAAGAAAAACAAAATTGCACCGGTGTGAATTTCATGTCGGGGTAACCATTGCGTCTGAAGTGACGTCACGTTTTTAATATTTTTCCTCGTGGATTATGGACATTTTTTTGTGCAGCATGCATCTCCTACACTGTTATTGTACTTTCCCAATAATATTTTAAAATATCCATTTGTGTGTTTAGGAAGCAAAATTCTACAGAGTGAACTCTTCTGAGCCCCTTAATCTACTTACTCAGAACTCGGCTTAAATTTGCAACCTTGGCTTACTTTTAGCGAATAGAAAATTATTTGCGGTGGACATACATTTTCGAGTCAACTGTCAATTTCCTCAGCCGCTAAAACAGTCCAATAAGGGATTTGTTTCATCTGGTGATCTAATCTTCACCACTGTATTGCCCTTTTCATGATTGGATACACATGGTAACTCTAAATATCTCAATCTTCGCCAGTGTCTTACAGATTCATCGAAAACACGCTTGAGAATTAAGCGCGGACATCTTTTTTCGTGACATTTATTCCCACCTTTCGTGACTTTTTCCCTATTTTTAATTTCCCCAACTTTTCCCTTGACTATTTCTTCCATTTCCCCCCGTTTTTTCCCGAATATTTTCTTATCTTTTCCCCAGTTTTTTTCCTATCACTTAACCTTACACTATTTTCACTTTTATCCTGTATTCTTTTTTCCGGATTTTTCCTTGTCCTCTTTACTTCGACAGTTTTATGGAGATTTTCCTCGCCTTTGTCCTAATTCTTTTTTCCACTCTGAAGTACCCCTATCTGGGGATCCCTTTCGTTACAAAGGGCGCCTTGAAATGACAACTGAGTATTTCCCTGTACATGTGTTAAGCCATGTTTTTTCCTCATCCGGTAAAAAACGATTGTACAAAACGTGAGGACCTGATTGAAAGCTTTCTGATCCAGGAATGGATTACAGCGACATCTTTATGGGCTTGACTATTTTCAAAGGTATTTGATTAATTTATTCAGCTGTAGAAATGTTGGAGGTGAATCCATGAAATTGATTTGTTGTAGAATTGTGAAAAAGACAGGAAAAAGGATAAGAAAAACAGTGAAAACAATTTCGGAAACGAAGAAGGGGAAAATTCGGAAAAATTCAAAAAAGATTTGAGGAAAAGCATAACTATCAAGCATGATAATGAAGTTATTTTTGGTATAGTTTAAATCATACTTTCATTACGTCATATATGTTGTACATTCTATATGTCTGATTTCATTATCATATTACATTTGCCGCGAACATCGACGTTTCAGCCAAATAATATCAAAACGCAGCCTGCAACTTTTTGTTTTACTATTCCTTGACATATTCCTCTCAGCTATATTGAAAATTTTACGAAAAAAGACGCATTGATGACGCCACCATAAAAATCATATTGTTTCTTAATTGACTAATAGAATTAAACAACTAAATTCTATGTTTGTGAAGGGTCTCTCCAGGAATAAAAACATAAAACACTTAAGACGTGCAACCATGGTAACATGAACATCAGTGACGCGCTCGGCTACCCTGTGCCTAATTATTTTGGTCATATTTTGAAGTCATCTGTGTGATCTACCGCTTCAAAGACACTGGCAACATAGAATCTATTTGTTAAATGCGTCATATACTATATTACAACAGTTGCGATCACGAGTCTTAAAACGAATCATGTATCTTCAATTCACGCGTTACTCGTTTTCAAAAATGGAACTTGAGTTGCTCTGCTTATGTTCGTGGTAGAATGTCCACAGAAATATCTATGCAGGATATTTTTTGCTGATTCTTGATATCAAGACTAATGGGAACTGTTCTATAAATTGCGGAGCCGAATATTGCTTGGATCAGACCCTCGCAACCTCTTCATTTTTATACCCTCTGCTCTAGAATATCTAATATTTCTTTTACCCGTCATTACTCTTAATTCACAGAAAAATCTTGGAATGAATAAAAAGCAGAGCCATGGATTAACTGCACAATAACAACTTGCCAATAAATCTGCGATGTAAGAAACTGCCATGAAGCTTTTGTTACAATTAGGATCCACCCAAGGTGAAATAAGGTCTATAAAACTTATCACAATTTTCAACGTCCAACAGACGAGAAAGGAAATGATAGTGGCGATGGCCATCCTAAGAAGATTTCGAGTGCAATCCCGTCTCTGTTTCGTTCCCCTTTCACTTCGACACGTCAACATTTTGTCATTCCGAGCATGGAAAGCGATAAAAATGTACAAACCGGAAATAAGAAGCAATGGCAGAATCAACACGGTCGTATATAGAAAGATGCCGTAACGACGATGTGCTAATCTGTCATTGAAAGCTGGTTCCCAGCTCTGTTGACATACTTCAATATCATGACTTTGATTGCCAACAACTCTGACCAGCCGAGAAGTATAAAAATATGGTGAGTGAAACGCTGCGGCCAAGGCCCAAGTTGAAGCGACGAAAATGCGGCACCTCTTGGAGGAGGTAGATCTATAGACAAGAGGATATGCAACTGCAAGGAAGCGCTCAACGGCGATCATGACTAAGCTCAGGGTTGAAACAGATAACGACATATCGCTGAGGAAATTACACATTTTGCAAAGAATTGTGCCTGCAGTTCCGTGAACGAGGAAAGCATTGGACCCGGTGATTTCTATTTTAATAAAGCGAGGAAGTAAAAAGATCGCCACAAGTAGGTCGGATGCAGCCATGTTAGTGATCAAGAGTAGCCGTTTTTCTTTTATCCTTGCAGAAGCGACGATCAAAAGGAAGTTTCCTATTAGGGACCCTAAAAGAGAGAAAACATACACTGCGATAGAAACGTGACTGTGACTTATTCCATTACGGCACTGTTCAGAGGACGTCTCGTTGTTTGAACTCAATTCGAGGTGATTAAACGAAGCATTTCCTATGGCTGCCATGACTTCTTGTTGTAAAGCTGTGTCACAACACTCTCATAGGGGTTAGACCAACGAAGAAGCCCCTTCGAGCTAACGCACGCAAGAGTGTTTTGCTATTGAGAACTTAGTATATCTTTGTTTGCTTCCTCTGGAAGAAATGTTAATTGTTTTGACGAAAACAGCCTTCTACACCTGTACACATCCGCTCAGTGCTTGCTGTAATATGGTAATATAAGCGCTTATTTACCGTTGGAATTAACATTAACTTTATTACGCAATACGTCAGAAAATTTCTTGCAGCAACCATGAGAATATTACAAATATTACAAATATCCTCGCTTTACAAATAGTGAGTGCGATGCTGATTGAGATATAATAGACTGCGTGTAACTCACAAACTGCCGTATTAAGACAGATGTCGCCGTCGAAATGGTTTGTGTCAATCGTACCTTCTGTAAACTTCAGCTTAAACAGTTTACTCAGTTGTAGGATGACAAACCTCGAAATTTCTCTCGAAAACTGTCCTTCAACAAGTTATTTTGAAGTTGGTTGAGAAGATGGATATTTACATGCTTTTTTACTTCAATATTTAACAACTTTGAATCTTTTTCTTAAGTAACCGCGTTGAATAAAGGCACCTGTTTCGAGAAAGTATCCGTGAATATTTGATTAAATGCGTGATCAACTTTTATCTTCTAAATTACAGTTTTCTTCTTGAGTCAGACTAAAAAATAAAAAATATATATTTCCCACATATTTCTTGAACAATACAAGAAATAAATCAGTTCAGCATTGTAAAAGAAATTAACAAGTTCTCTTGATTCATATAATTTCAACTAATTCGATGTCAAATAATTAAAATAATATTTTTTCGGGAAACCTGTTTGACAAGTCGTATCTCCAACTGTGAAAGAAATAAGTATCCAAAGACTAATTGAAAATACGTGACTCGCGCACAAAGCCTTTGCATGATGATAGTATACGATAGAGGTGAATGGTGCTCTTCGCGCACGTTACTTGGCTAGTTTAGAAGCGATCATGATGAACAACAAGATAATATCAATATTCTCTTGTTAGCAAGTACTTTTTACTTTCATGTTGGTAAATAATCGTTCATTATTCGGATAGTTCAAAATCACAATCACCTATTCATCAAAGTACAGTAGCCTTCATAAGTACATTCATTCATTGTTTAAGACATTGAGTCCATCCACAAAGAAGAGAAAACATGACTTCCTGATCTCAGTAATGTAAAGCTAAGACATTCATACCTAACAACTGTATTTAGTTTAAATTTATGGTGCCTTCATTGGTTGAATTTCAGTTAATGGACGATGCTTTTGAGTATGTACGCCACATTGAACCAAGCTACGAAAGGCAGTTTGGAAAAAAGTTGATTTGGCGAGGACAAAAGTCGTAAAACAGTTTCCTCATCAGGTAAACAAACAAAAAAATAACTCGTGTTTTGTCGTTTTAAAATGTAAATGTAATCATTGATATATATATGCCACTTTGGTAACTATGGGGATTACTTCCTGCAAGATTTAGGTGAATTACAACTAGCGTGACCACCCAAAAACAATTAAGGTGCCTTTTTTATATTTTTGTTATCACAGGAATGGGCTCCTGGTTATCATTAATTCCGTGATGAAAAATCAGGGTACTTGCCGACATTGAAAAACAAAAAAAAAAAAAATGAAAAAATGTCAGTAATAGATGAAAAACAAATTTTCACCATTTAAATGGCGCCACTATTGTATTTGTTGAAAGAACATGCCGGATGAGGTGATCGATATAAGGAGAAACGACCGTGTGAATTTTGCATAGTCGCAGTGTAATTTGTCCATATTTCTCCCACTAGCAGAGACCGCTTTGAATTAATTTCGTAGTCTAGGCAAATTAATTGTAGTGCTCGTGTAGAGTTAAGTCACGATCATATTTTTGTGAAGCCTGAGATAACCGTGGGAATTTTATCATGGTAGGCAACATGATAAATAAAGCTGGTCGCAAAATATATTTGCTCTTCTACGAAATAACGATTTTGCTTGGTATTTTCAAACCTTTCGGGTAACTTTTTCTCTACGATGACACTTAATTAACTCCAAGCAGCTATCCATTAAGTAACCCACTCTTTGAGAATTTTCTGTTACATTATCAACAAATTATTTGCGCGGAGAAAGTTATGTAGATTGGATATCTGTTTGTCTCCGCAGATTGAAAAGGCGCCGACAGATTCTTACACATACCTAGAATTCCGTAACGAAGATTCAGTTAATTGCTAAAACTTCTGATAGCTTCATCCTTTGACCCGTTTGAGTCAAGCCTCTCAAATTATGAAAAACACCCCACCGGGGAGAAGTGGGGTTATGGTCGACGCAAAGGTATGATAAGCAAAATATGATGCTTCCGCCAAGTTTGTTTAACAAAAAGATCGGCATTCGAAAGATCCAGTGACTAGGCAGTGGTGAATATTCTCAAAATTTGCAGTGTTGAGGTGAAAATGTGCCGCCATACCCACAAGAAGCAAATTTCACAATTGTGAGTAAAGCACTTGTTACCCATATCCTACGGGCGTGTTGGCAGCGGCTCTCGCGTTCCAACTGTATTCAACTATTTTTCTTTTATTGAGAAGAAAAGTTTTAGTATAATCTGGCAACAATTGTACCAAGGGTTTTGTTCTCTTTAGAGGCAACTCATATAACCGAAAACAACAAAATAATTTGCCTTTTCTACATAGTATTATGTGGTACTGTCAGAGATCGCTGCAAGTGCGTGAAATTGAGTTTTTCGACGCTTTTCCTTCGTAAAAAAGGAAACAAAGATAGGGAAAACATGTTTAAATAATTTAACCTTTTATTTTTACCACATCTGTGTGTTAATCAAAACAGGGAAGTCAGCATCTACTCATTTCCATCGGGTACTTCATCTGAAACCTTAATTTTCTAGTTCGTGGAGACATTTTCTTGCTGCCATCCAATGCGGATAAGACCTATGAAAAAGGAGTTAGTAATATAACAGGGTTACTTCAAAATTTATGTATGGTAAGATGTTATGGTCTTCTCGGATAAGGACGATAAACCTTTGGGCCCTGTTTCCTGCATCTTGGGTTTGTCTCCTGCATATTCTCTGTGCTGGTTAGTAGAGGACGTTACAGAACCCACGCCGTTACTTCTTGAAAAGATTAGGGAGCGTAACCCCTGATATTGTGGTTGTGGTCTGGTCTCGAATCCTAAATTGGGGGTTTCTGCACAAATTTCCTTCAAAAATCTGAAAAAGGCTCAATGCTGTCTGGCGAAAGTCCCCATGCGCCATGAGCAAATGGATATGGCGCAAGAGAATATCATTTGATATAATTGATATTCTCTTGATATGAAAGAAAATAGAAATACTTCATTATAAATAAACAATAGCCCTTATTTGGCGCGAAAATGTGTGCGGATATTTTTCGCGGACATTATCTGTTCCAAGATGCGAACAGTTGTCTGAGAGCGAAGCTCGAGGATAACTGTTAGCCTCGACGGGAACAGGTAATGTCCAAGGACAGAGATACGAACATATTTTCGCACCAAATAAAGGCTATTGTGTTTATTATCGATCCTTCAAATATTTTGCAACACGCGTGAAAAAATGTTTACGAACAACCCACTGTTTGAGTGAGATGTTCTCTTTTGAGCGTTGTCTGATACGACTTTATGACCAAGCAAATGTTTCCCTTCTTTCGCAACAGCCATAAAACGCTTCTTCACCTAGAATTAAATTTTAAACGAAGACTTATCGTAGTGGACGTAAGGTTTGAAAATTGGGGAATATCACCTGGGTAATATTCTCGGATATCACTCAGTTTTAGCTGGGAGATTTTCGGTCCAGTAATGCGTTTAGACAGATCGCACGCGAGCAAAAATATTTGAAGGATGATAACCATTATTATCATTCTTTGTTGTTTTTACAGTATCGCCAATGGTAGGGAAATGTGGGTGAAACGGAAGGGATGAAAATACTTGGCAAAACTGAACTCATCAGTATATCGCGTCGCCGAGGCCTTGTTTCAAGAACACATATCTCATTACCATGTAGTGAATTGACTAACGGCCCACATTGATAACTTCTGCCTTAATCGGTCACCAGCTCTAGTAAGCTCTATTGAATTCTCACCTATCATGTCATGTCACAACAGCATGTCATGGATAAAGTGGGGCAGGGATACGGACATTGGCGCCATCCAGGAGGGCAAGGTGTCTGGTTAGAATAACAAGTCGCCATTGGAATGTCTTTACATTCTGTCACTAGCATAAAAACAGTGAAAGTTTGTTTCTCCTTTGAGAGAACAGCTCATGAGTCTTTTCCATTATATGGTGAACATACACTCAGGCGCAGAGACGTTAATGATATTAGGTTTTTGTTTACAAAAAAATGAAAAAAACTATAGTAATACTGTGATGATTTCTGTTCTTCTCACTTTAAGTGCTGTGAAAATGCGGCTAAGTGAGGCCGAAACTGGTTCATTTTTTTCCTGTGCGTGCGCATGTGCAAAAGCTCTAGTTGTCCAGTGGTCTGTTTTTATGTTCAGTGCGTTCCGTTGGGCTGTCAAAGCCAAGTTGTCGTACAGGAATCTTACATAAAACCACACAAGTCAGTAATTCATGGTGTTTCAAAAACAAAAAAATTAAGCAATAACTTTCATCAGTGTTTATATGATAAAGGTTGAAACACCCGTAGCTAAGTAAGCTCTTTGTTAGAAAAGTCTCAAGTTGACTTTTTCCCAACTTTTGTTTCCTTTAATCGTAGAGATTATCTGCAAGTTTCACGGCTTACACGGCCAAAATTCAGCCCCTTGCTCTTTTTCTTTTTTATTCGCTTTCACCATGGAGGTGCGGGACACACAATACAGCAACGCTCTAAACTAAGTGTGCCCTTAAGAGAGGCACGGTGAGCCTAAGAACACAACGCATTGTCCCGGCCAGATCTCGAACCCGGGCCCCTCGACGCGGAGTTCAGTGCACTGACCATTTGGCCACTGTGCCTCCCACTACCATCGAGGCCTTAAATGCGCGCTGTGTGGCTTTTAAAGACCACATAACATCAATTCATCATCACAGCCATGTACTACGTTAAGTATGCAATCCTTGTATCTATACATTAACTACGTGTGTTCGTATCCGAACAACATTTCCTCGATAAACTCTTTACCTGGGGGAGTGCCTATCACGGGTAAGGTCCCGGCCAACAAAAACAGCAACAGAAGTAAATGGAACTTGACATCCATAATTCAGCTTGAAAACGGTGAAACCGAAGATAAATGTAACAATAAAAAGAACACAAAAGGGCTAGATAGAAAAACAAATAAATAAAAATTCAGTGGAAATTCCAACGGATCAGAATCTTCTCAGAATTAGACTTTCTTCAAGCGTGACCCAATTTTATGTCCTCAACTTTTTACGGTTTGATTTAAGTTATTATTTTGTGTGAGTCAGTGCGCATATTTTAGATACTAATGAGACACCTGTTTAAAGCATTCTTATTTGCTAACACGGTTACGTTGGTTACCAAAACAATTGCGCCCTAGAATTGCCTTTTTTTGTAACAATCTTCTTTTATTTTTTATACATATTCTCCTCACATTTAAACTTTAAGGTTTGATTTAAATTATTATTTTGTGCGAGTCAACGCGTATATTTTAGATACTAATGGAACACATGTTTACAACATTTTTTTGTCGACACGGTTACGTTGGTTACGAAGACAGTTGCGCCCTAGAAATACTTTATTTTTGTAACAATATGCTTTTATTTTTTATATGTATTCTCCTTACATTCAAATTTTAGAACATCCTTTATAACATCCCTTTATAATATATGTAGAGAAGAATAATCCGTTTAATAGCCCCATCTTCTCATTCACGCACCTAAGAGAAAATTGCTTGGCAGCTGTCGCGAGTCATCATCCCTGGATTATTGTTTTTACATAATCCAATTTAATCCGTGTTGCAATTGTCATCTAATCGCATTTCAAGACAGGTTTTGATGAATTATCCTTTCTTTGCTGTTCACTGATATCGCATCACTTAGGAGACATGGTTTCAATCAGCTTAGGTCCGTTTGCAATAGTTCCCAGTACCTTAACGGGCCCGTAAAGCTGTTTTGCTTTCATTCCAGATAGGGCTTCAAAAGGTTTGAAAATTTCACATTGAAACTATCCGCTAAAGAAACAGATTGGACTGGTTAGGGTGCCAGAATATGCTTCCCTATTAGGTAAATTTTGATTTGGGGTATGGCTTAGTACTCGCTTTGCTCTACATAGTGCGAAGCTAATGCAGCTTCAGTTTTGCTTCATAATACCCTCATATCGGTGTCTTATTTTATAAAAGCGTGTAAAAGCGTTCCCTTAAAAGTTAATTCAAGATGATAGAGCATTCAGCCATTGTTAAGGTAGAAAGGGCGTTTGTTTGTTCGTAAAATCGTATCAAAGAACACTTAAAAGAAAACATCCCATGCGTAGAAAAGAGTAAGCTGTTTCAACACATTTTACCCGCGCGTTGCAAAAATGTTTGAAGGATAATAGAGACATTAGCCTCTGTTTGGTGCAAAAATATGCGGCTTGTATATTTGCCTAAGGACAAGGGATCATGACTTGTCATCCCCAGGAACGCAGGACTCATGGTGTGGTAGTGAAGCTATTCGTGACCGAAATTTCTTCCGCTATCGCAGCAAGAAGATTAGGTCTGGTGATAACTGTGACACTTTTTTACCGTGCCTAAAAGTTGATGTCCTGAAGAATGAATTTTTTCTCCCCAGCAATCTCCTTAGAATTCTTCCTGTCACTAAGATGGCGTGTATAAAATTTAATTTGTTCAGTGCTTGTTGATCAAAATGCAGTTGTCGATGGTAAACTCAAAAGTAGACATGCAGACTTCCTGATCATGAATATTTCAGCACTAATACCATTGTTTATCCCTATTTTGTTTTAAAATCTGCACCTGTTTATATTTAAGAGAGGAAGATTCTTCTGACTTCATCTTAATTCACTTTCAATGTTTACAATCCACAACGGAAACTACTTTTAGCTGGTGCAGGGGCCAGTTTCTCGAAAGTTCCTGTAACCGTAAACGGGCCCAAATCAGCATATTTTGAAATAAAAATTCAAAGATTAGAGAAGTGGGTTCTGGCACCCTAACCAGTCCATTTCCTTTCTTTAACCTATAGTTTTATTGTAGAATTTTCAAACCCCTTGAAGGGAAAAAAACACCTTTATAGGCCCGTTAAGCTATCGGAACCTCCGAGAGACCGGTCTCCAGCTTCGTGAATAGCTCAAACTTGATTAGTTTTATGGACGAGTCTTTATTTAAAGAAACACCACATCCACCATAGCCAATGGCTACCTGAAAGCAAATCTAAACTATGCTCTCTGAAATCATTCAGGGGTTGCAATAACTTTTTCCAAAGGCTGCTGCCGATGGTACAATAGGCGGTTGCCCCAGAAAAGGGGCCGTGAGGCGAGACCCAAACACGACAACCCACTAGTAGGCGAAAGAGGCACCGCCGGTAAGCGGTTTTCATCAAATCCCCTGATTTATGATATTTTACAGTTCCCCCTGGTGTCCATGAAAAGAAAAAAAAAAACTAACCCTTTCCGACTCTGCCAACCAAATCTATGATAACTATCAATTTTTAAAAAATACATGTATTAGTTAATTGTGATCTACTGTCGTGTAAATAATTTATAACACGGGAAATGTGATGTCTAAAATGTAACAAGATAATTAATGTAAATACGAAGCAACTGTCGCTCATAAGCTTTGTAACCTTCGGTGAAAGTATCAGCGTATCAGAAAGATGGTAGGTTTATTAGCTTTGTACCTTTGTGAGAATTAGTTTCTAGTGATATTATAGTAATGTAAGTGGTGCAAGCATTCTGGGAAATTAGAAACCAGCAACTATTTACCAGCAATGTTCCCCGATTCCCTTTTGGAACGAACTAAAGATACAAACAAATTTTTGCAAAATCAGCAAAAGTAGGACTGAAAGTCATCATGCAGATAGTAATGGAGGTAATTTAGCCTCTAAGGCAAGGCTGTTATTGCTAGCAAGTTGTGCTAGAAAGTAATAAATAAGAAAACATTCCGTTAAAAGGGAGATAAGTAATACCTCTCCTTACAATAGGACGCCAGCCTTAACTTAATAAATTTGAGAAAACATTCTATTTACGCGGTTTCGTATTCAGCTGATCACTACCGAACTCATAAGAGAACAAATTTCTCTAAAGGGCTAAAGCAGGAGGCAGTTTTGAAAAACAATAGAATCGTATTCAATTCCTTTCGTGGTTTCAGTCGCTTTTTGTTTTTCTTCATTCGACTATTTATCAACTAATGCATTCGCTAATGATTCAAACTTGTTGAACTCATCTATCTCGCCATCTTTCATGACCAAAATCATGTCACAGTCTTTGATGGTGTTCAGTCGATGAGCTATGGTGATTACTGTGGAGCCCTTCAGTTTCTCTCGCACTACCCTCCAAATTGTTTGTTCTGTGTCTGGATCCACGTGTGCAGTGGGTTCATCTAGGATGACAATTTTTCTTTTATGCAAAAGAACACGAGCCAAACAAATTAGCTGTCGTTCTCCTAAACTGAAGTTTGCACCATTTTCCAACAGCTGGTGATCTAATTTTCCTTCCAAACTTTCGATCACTTCCTTCAGCTGAACATTCTCTAGGCTCGCCACATTTCTAAATCTTGGAACCCTTCTTCGAGATCGAGATTTTCTCTCAGCGAGCCACTAAAAAGGATAGGACTTTGGCCAAGAACAGATATACATCTCCGAGCCTGTTGAAGGTTGACGTCCTTTATTAGAACGTCATCGATCATTATGACACCATGAGGATCTGGCATGCGTAGGAGAGCTGCCACTAGAGATGACTTCCCGGCTCCCGTTCTTCCTACAACACCAATATTAGTTCCTCCTTCCACATGAAGGTTAAACTTCTTCAATACTTGAGGACCCCCCGGATAATACGTCAAAGACATGTCTTGAAATGTGATGTTCCCCTCAAGAGGCCAATGTTTCGGGGGAAGTTGCTTCACTTGGTACCCAGGCTCGTGGTCAAGTTTGGTGTACGCCATAACCCGTTCAGCAGACGTCATGCAATTCTCTACTTCAGCCATTTTTCTAACAGAAAAATCCATTTGTTCTGCAGACTCGATGACATAAACAAGCCCCAGTGCTGCAAAAGCTATTGATAAAATATAGAATTTATGTCTATCATTATTATTAAAATCACAACTAGCAGCTAGTAGCTGAATTATTATTGTAATACAAGTACATAATTTACATAAATTTAACATTTTATATCACCAAAAACATAAATCGTACAATAATAAGTTCTAAATATAAACAATTAAAAATATTAATAATAATCCTACCTAGATTGATATTGCTCTTTTGCTGCAGAGTGCATTATGAAGGAATTTTAAAACCTTTTGGTTTTGATACCGGGCATAGCAAACCTTCACTTATTCCTTAGTTGTACTGGGAGGCATTATTGCGCGCACGTAGCAGGTCAGGCATTTTATGTCGGCCATCAATCTCTCTGATCTGATTGAATAGACTTACGCATAATTATTCTCGCCTATCAAAAAGTGTTTTTGTTAATTGTCAGCCTTTTTCTGGCTGAGGTAGAAATAACAAAAAATAACGGCAGTCAGCATTTTGGTTCGCGCCATTTGAACTGAATTCCGGATCGCCAGGAGTGATCAGCCAGCAGTCAGATTACAAAATTGTTTTTCTTCAAAATGGCGGCGCCTGTAATAATATCGTAAGTACATTTAAAGACAACTCTTAGCGATTAGGTTGAGCTTAAAATTAGGCACGCAGTAAATTTTTAGATAAAATGGTCTTTTGAGTATAACTTTCCTCACAGTTAACAGACACCTACCAGCATCTTGAGACACCAAGATCGCAGCTAAAGCTACGGCAAGAATAAAAAGAGAGATGAGAAACGTCATGCGAATACCCAGCCATCTCTCGCTCGCCAGTACCATGATGTACGACTGGGTATGAACATCTTGATATCTGAATGAAGAGAGGACACACGTTCTATTAGTAGATATGTCATTAGTACATCTTCAACCATTTGAACTCTCTATGCTTCTTTGTTTCTTTGCTTTTGTTTTCTTTTTCTTCATTCCGCTGTTTGAAGTCTGATGCCAGCTTAGAGCCGTAAAAAAATGGCAATATGTGATTGCTAGTTTCATGGACAGCTCAACAATTTCTCCCTATTATACTGAACGACAGTTCAAGATTTGCTATTTTCGTTTTCTCTCCCAGTAAATGGCGTTGATACTAGTTGTTATGCAGCTAGGCCAGTTTTCGTAGTATGGCTTCTGCTTGCCGTAATTAATTGTCCGTTTTAAGTCTCTTTCTTTCTCTGTCACGAAAGTCAATGCTGAGCATATTGAGGAAGTCTATGTAGTCCTTAGAGGAATACCATGAATCCAACTCTAACACTGATGTTGATGATTACAATCGCTGCGAAACGTACCTGTAAAGATCTTCCACAAAGTCTCGTTGCCTCCTTCTTGTTCTAATAGTCTCCAGCCCATTGAGAGTCTCCGAAACGTGTGAAAACACAGGGCTACGGTTTATTGACTCTAACCTTTTGAGCTGTCGAGAGGTTTTTAAGCTGTACATGGAGATGTACACAGCAATAACAGCCAGCGGCACAACAATAAGAAGAACCCAAAAATTCGTGAAAGTTGGCATAATGGTTGAGGCAAGAATTAGCAAGGTCAACTGAATAGCTGTGAGGAACGTTTTGGGTAACAGCTCGTCCAAGTACCCCACGTCTTTAGAGAACCGATTGAGGATTCGTCCCACAGGGTTTGAATCAAAAAACAAAACTGGAGCCTGTACGATCGCTGCAACCATTTTATCGTGGAGGCGTTCAGAACATCTTACAGAAGTCCAAAGAAAAGCGTAAGCTCGTATGGAGGAGAAAATGAGAGATCCAAGAACAAGACAGCCATAGAAAATAAAATTCAATTTGTCCTTCTGTTCCTCTTGACTCTTCTTTGTTAAAAATGAGAGCCAAACGTCTGGAGACACTATCATTACTACGAAATAGAAATAAAATAATAAACAAATAAATAGGTATCCAGAAGAGGCGGTGTCATCATCATTAATGGCCACGTGGTGAACGGCGCAAGCCACGAGAAATAATACGGTTAGATCTTTTCATACAGCCTTAAAGTTTGGCCCAAGGCAATGCACCTGTAAGCCTTGCTATCTCGGGACGAAGAATCACATTAGTTTCGCATAATAATATATAGAGTCTTCTAATTGGTGAGTTGATTTAAAATAATAACAGCATTCATCATATTCATTTCATGTGGTTATCAACATCGAAGATGATTATGTGTCTGAGAATCTTGTTTTCAACATCATTAGAGATTTAAATATTATTACTCTTACAGTGAGAATAAGGGAAAAGACAAATAGTAAATCATATACTTGGCCACGATAACACAAGAACATACCGGTGAAAAATTAGCGCTTGTCAGGTATTAAGACAATCCTACTTTCATTCCTACTTTTGATTGAATACCATGAACTATCAACCTTACCTTGAGCAATGAAAAACAAACAGAAAAGTCCAACGATTGCCAACGCGTGCAATCCACTTCTGAAGTAGTCCCAATAAGTCGTAAGTGTCACGCTTCCGATTGTGCGGTCTTCTTTTGATATTTCAAGGTCCTTGACTTGATGTTGTAGAATCATTCCTCTCTCCTTAAACTCTAATTCATTTTCACTCTCTGAATCCAATCTCATGTCCGACTTTCTGTCCCTGACGGGTTTTTTGTAACTCGGATTAAGATTTATATCTCGTAAACTATTTTCCTGAACTTCAGAAAAAGTTCCGTTAGCCAACACACGTCCTTTGGACAACACAATAACTCTATCAGCTTCTTTCATGTGTTGTTCCTGATGAGACGTCAACACTCGGATTTTGTTACTTAGTAAGCCTTTTATGCACTTTTGAAAGATATATTGGCTTACTTTCATGTCTACGGCACTCAGAGGGTCATCAAACAAGTACAGATCTGCATCCATGTATACTGCACGTGCTAAGCTTACCCTTGCGCGCTGACCTCCACTCAGAACAGCACCTAGCTCACCTACAACTGTTTGGTCACCGTTAGGTAATAGCCTTACGTCCTCTGTGAGAGAGCATGCTTCCAGTATTCTTGAGTACTTGTCTTGGTTGTACGGTTGACCAAATAAAATGTTTTCTCTTATTGTTCCAGAGAAGACCCACGGTATTTGGGGTACGTAAGCAAGGGACGATGGCCATGTTATTGTTCCTGCTTCGACTGATACCTCGCCTGCGATAGCTGAGAGAAGAGTAGATTTGCCACTACCCACTGGACCCGTGATGACTGTTAAAGTTTGTGAACCCATAGAAAATTCTACATCCTGCAAAATGAAGCCATTATCACGAGTTTTTTCTTTCGATGTCAAAATTAACACTTCCAAGGTGGCTGGCTTTAGGAGAAGTTCTTCATCACTATCAACAGCAGAGGGAACTTTAACAGTTCTGTCCCGTTGATTTGAAACAGTTCTAGTAAATTTAGATGTGCTTCCTCCTGTGTTTAAAGTGCGCTTTATAGAGTGATCATGACACGACCCGGGTAAATCTTCTAAAAGAAGGAAATCCTCGATTCTCTTGAGTGAAAAATAGGCCTCGTATACTCCTAAGAGGCCATAGGGTACGTAAAAGCAGACACTCTGTCTTGCTGCGTTTAGAAAAGAGAGAAGCATGAACGCATTAAATGGTGTAAGGGCCTGACCGGTAAGCACTAGAGTTATGATTGACACCAACATCGCCAGCGGCACTGCAGTGTACTCCAAGGCAGCAACAGCTGACAGGGCGACGCTTTTCTTACGGATGATATTTATTTCATCCCTGCAAACAGAGGAATAAAGAGATATTAACCTCATAACAGCAGAACATTGCATCGTAGGGCATGGCATAACATAGCATCCTTTATTAAAATTTACTTAAGCCTGTAAGCTATTTCAAACATGCAATGATGTGCGACAAGTACCAGTTACTTTGACCGATTTAACGTCAATTATGGTGTGTTCTTTCCTTACCTCCTTACGCTTTTAATCTTCTCTCGGAATTTATCCTCCAACGCTTGTGTTTTGATGGCGCGAATCCCAGAAATAACCTGGTTCAACAATGATATGCGCTTGTCTGAAGACGCTGCTGTCTTCAGGCGTAGTACAGCAAAGACATAGGACAACCCAATGAAATATGGTACAAGCAAAAACAGGCATGTAACTCCCATAAGAGCTTGCCAACCGATGAAATACACAAGTAATACCACTATAATAGGTACAAGTAGGAAGAAATCCAAAAGAGCACTAATGCCCCAAAGGACGGTATGATCTTCGAGTCGCTGAACATCGTTGGATACGAGGTCAATCACACGGCCCGTTGTAAATTTTAATATATCAGTCTTGTTGAGACTTAGAATCTGAAAAGAAAATATGAATATCAACTTTTTGTTCAGCCAGACGGGCTTGTAGCGGTAATAGGAATGTAAAAATGCAATAAAGAAAGATAGATGACATACTTTTGTAAGGAACGTGGAACTTAAAATCTAATGATTTTTGGATTGTTTACGACTATGGTATAGAGAACTTATAAGTGACGTAGACTACGTACTAGTAAAACTAGTTCACGCCATAGCTCATCCACGAGTTTTCAGTAGCTTAGAGGCGGGTCATCGGATGGCAAAATTCGAGGGTGCAAGGTACGAATAAGTCCCTACTTCATGCTAGTGACTAATGATAGCGGGAAAGGCAGCGCTCAAAACTTTTTAACTAGGCCAATCCCTGGATAACTTTGGTCCTTTAACAACCCATATATTGCAGTCAATGTCTATAGAACTTTGCAGGTAATTTAGTGTTAACAACTGAGTTGAAAACATGAATTGGCCTCCATAAAGGGTAAAAAAGCTGACGTTTCGAGCGTTAGCCCTTCGTCAGAGCGATTGGAGGAATTGTGGACTGTGTTCTCTTTAACTAACGATAACTAAATTGCATACCTTTTGGTAAATTAACCCTTTTAGAGCACTGCTGATTCCTATACCGTAAACGTCACATTTATAGGAATGATGATGAACTCCAGACACTCCAATAAAGGCACATATCCCCATAGCCATTACACAACCATACAGGAGAAGACTTTTCTGAGGCTCGGCTTCCATCAATGAAGAAACAAGGTAGCCAAGAAACAAAGGCCTAAAGAGGCGCCAAAGTAAGGATACTACGTAAAGGAGTAAAATGATCACTGCATCCTTTAAAGAGATCATTTTTATGACACTTTTCCAAAGTTGTGGTCTTTGTTCACTGCCTTTTCTATTAGTTTTCTCTTCTTTCCAGTTTTCTTGAAGGCGATTGGTGAAGAATTCGGTGGAGTGTTCTCTTGAAAGTGGTTCAAAGTCGCTTTCCTCTATTGTGCCTCTACTACCTTTCTTGAAAATGTTGTTCATCCATTGGAATAAAAGAAAAGACACGCAGCTGACTCCTTCTAAATCGGCATCGACAGACAGCTTCTGGTATCCAGCTGTTTTCATTTCTTTACAACCCTGAAAGTGTTTGAGGTAGAAACGTTTATAGTGAAGCTCGATTAAGCGTTCCTTAAAATTAGAATTAATTGAAACCTGATTTTCCTAATACTGACTTCATCAATGGTTTCAATTAATTAATTCATCAATAGTTTTCAATAGTTCAGTTGAAGAATTAAGGGATAAGCCTCCATTTAAATTTTGGATTTGGTTTGGATAAGTGAAAAAAAGGAATTCGGAGCTCAGGACCAGCTCCAACTTCCTTTCTCCCGATGATTTATTTAGGAAAACGTGAAGACGTCAAATAAATAGTAACTGCCTTCATTACATGATCTATTTTAACAGGACCATCTTTGAAAAATATGTCAAAATAACGAAGCCTTCTATAAAGCGTTCTTAGATCCACGCGTAAAGTGGAAAGTCACGAGTGAAGAAATCCAACATCTCTCGTCTTTGTAATCCTTGCCCAACATATTTCAGCAAAGCCTCTTTAAGGTCGGCATTATTTTCCTACAAAGCTTTTCTGAAATCTGACATCGAAATACTAAAAAAACTCTTCTAAAATCACTCAAGACCAAAACAACTTTACAACTTGAGTAAAAGGACACAACGCATGATGGGACATACGATTACGCCCGCACAGTATCAATATCACTTTGACTTTTGTTTTGATTTAATGTTGAATTTATTTTTTTATTTCGACGTAAATTGCCCTTGGCTTTCAGCTTTATTCTGAAATGATTTTTACTTTGATAATGCAATTACTTTTGTTTTTAAATTTGATTTCTACTTCATTTTACTTTCAATCGATCTTTTTCCTTAGTTTTGCACGTGACGTTCCATTTTACTTTTTAAGTTTTGATTTATTTATTCTCTTATTTTTTATTCAATCCTAGGAAAACTGTAAAATTTTGAGTGGCAGCCCTCGGCCACCATACAAGTTATTCCAAAATGAATTTGTTTTTTTGTGGACAAACTCCCCGAGGTAAAGCATACTATAATATCGCTCGCTCCTGTAAACTATGATTGTTTAGGAGTGTCAAGCTACACAAGTAACACCCTGAATGTGATGAATAACAGCAAAATCAGTCGCTGGTTCCCTTTCATCAGGAGTGCTGCTAATTGTAACTGGTTTTTGGCAGTTACGGAGAAAAGTTTTTGTATAGCCATTCGCCTTTAGGACATTAGAAACATATTTCCTCACCTCAGCCTTCGAATCAAGTGGAGATGGTAGACAGTCAGCCCTCCTGAGTAAAGTTTTGGCTACAGACTTTTTATGGCAAATAGGGTGGTGAGAATCGAAAGTGAGGTGTCAGTGTGGGTAGGTTTACGATAGACACTTGTCTCTAAATTCCCCTGAACCCCTCTGGACACATTTAAATCAAGAAAGAGCTAATGTCTATCCTTTTCACGCTCAAGGGAACATTAACATATTTTATTCAAAAAAAAAATTGGTTTTTTGGTGGACAAACTCCCCGTGCTGGAGCAAACTAGAATATGGCTCGCTCGAAAGGGCGATGATTGTTGAGAAATGTCTAGCTATTCCAAAATAAATTTGGTTCTACAAACTCCCCAAGCTACAGCATACTATAATATCGCTCGCTCCAATAAACTATGATTGTTTAGAAATGTCAGGATATTCCAAAATGAATTTGGTTTTTTAGTGAACAAACTCCCCGAGCTAGAGCATACTAGAATATTGCTCTCTCGAATGGACTAAGATTGTTTAGAACTGTAAAGCTGTTCCAAAATAGCCTCGAGATAAAGCATACTGCAATATCGCTCGCTCTAATGGACTAAATGACCGGCAGTTAGAAAACCGAGAGTTTCAGATTTTTGTATAGAAGTGTCAAGCGATTCCAAAATTAATTTGATGTTTAAGTGGACAAGTTCTCCGAGCTTGTGAGTCCTATAATATCGCTCGATTACCGGGAATTTAGTCACAGTGTATGAAGAAAGCTCTGGAAATTGCATATCTAATTTACATCTCAGTCTGAATCTTTTGATAAAGTTACATAAAATGTTTATCGACTCCCTTGAGCTATTTTCAGCCTCGTCTTCAGAGGCCGTGTGAAACGTCTATATACGAAGTTGAGTGTAACAAGTTGAACGAAGCTTTGAGTTCGGACAACAAATATACTTTCAAAAGTCCTTGCGAGAATTAACGAGTAAATAAATAACAATTAACTAAATAACTGTGAGAAGAAAAGGGAAAATTGGGCAATATTATTCAGTTTCGGAAACTTTCACGATTGAAAGCCCGAAAACAAATTATAATAAATATCTTGTAAAAACGCTTACTTGTTGATCTCGTTAGTATCCGAAGGACTATTCTTCAGGCTGAATTTCGCATTTGAATCATCATTTTGACCTCTAGAATGATCACCTACTGCAACACAACAAAGAAAACAAGATAGAAGATTCTCGAAGTCATTTTGCACTGCCTTAATCAATGCCCATCCTCGCGAATTATATTTCAACAGGCTGATATCAAAATGCGGCAAAGTTATTCCTGAGTTCAAAAGGGGTATCGAATGGTCCCATTCAATGTAAAAGTGCTCGCAAATTTTGGTCTTTGCTCGAACTGCTCGCAAAAATTACACGGGTGCTCACTTGCTCGTGCTGCAAAATTTTTGAACTGCTCGCATGCTCGCTTTCTCGTTAACACGTGCTTGATTACTCGAAATTTCTACAATTGCTTTGCAGCTATTTTTTATACATATACTAATAATATACATGGAAAAATTACTCAGTTCTGATTGGTTAAGATAAATGCAGTTTTCAGGTAATTCAGTGCAGAAGAGAGTTAATTCAGTGCAGAAGAGGATTAATTCAGTGCAAAGAAAGAAACAAATCAGATAGGCTGATTGGTCAATAATCAAAGAAACTCACAGATAGCCAATCAAATGCGAGCCTTGGATGTCGCAACAAAATTTGAAAATTTGAAAATTTGCGAGCGAAACAATGGCCGGCGTTTTAAGTAGGTTTTCTTTCGCCACCGCAGCTGAAAAACAGCTTAAACAATGAAAACACTGTAAAAGGCGCTGCTTTTTGGTTGTCGGTTTGGAAAAAGTGGTGTTTAGGGAAGGGAATTGCCGAGGAAATCGAAAATTACGAGCCGACCCGGCTTAACACTTTGATCGAGCGATCCAACGCCGAAATTAAAAACAAACATGGTTAAACCTCGGAAACGACGATTCCATTTTATCAAAAGTGATTCGGACACAGACTGAACAATTCCTTGAACTGTTTAGCCGGACTTTGAACTTTTTTGCACCTTCACTCGACTGGAGTTACTAAGAAGTTACGTCATGTAATTTGAGGTCTCTTCAGCTCCAAAGAGAATCGTCTTTTTTGAAATAAGTATTTATTTCCTGTGGTAGACAAACACTAAAAAAGAGCGGAGCGGTCAGTGATGGCGGTTGGTCGCAGTTATATTTGCTCCGCTTCAATTTTATTTTTATTCTTGTTCTGTTGTCTAAGTCGTTCGTTGTGTCATCCGAGTACGTTCCTTTTTGGTTTTTGTCGTGTTTTAAGCGATGGTGAAGTTGCGATGAACATTGATGAAATGGATTTGTACCTTGCAATTTGCTCGTCATGGATGAAATCGACCCGCCATCTTGGATTACAATCCTCAACAAGGACGAGTCGCTACTTTACTTCGCGAATACCTTACACACCAAACTCTATTTCTACTTTCAATGTTGCTCGACTTCTGCTGGCAAACAGCGGTGACATCAATCCTAACCCTGGTCCTTCTATTACATCGTTTACAACAAATCGCTTTCGGCGGCGCCATGAAATGCAACGACGTCATAACCCTTGTAACCTCGTGCAAATCAAGTGTGATTCTGATCTTCATCTTAGAACATCGACAACTAATCTGAATATGTCAGGATTGGAAGTCAAGAGTGGAATTACCGACAGGGTTTGGCCTATCAATACTGTGGAAAGTCGAAGAACTTTTCCTTCTAAAGTTAAAAATTTGCATAATGCTGTTAACAAGAACAATCTCGTGCAGATTTGCATTACTTCGAACAGGAAACCTGTTATCTCCAACAAATCTACTTTATCGGCTCCGAAGTTTTGTTTGTTTGGCCTCCTGAATTGTCGATCAGTCCGCAATAAGTATCTCTCTATCAAGGACTATGTTGTGGACAGGGATTTTGATATTTTTGCTATTACCGAGACCTGGCTCAACACTGGGGATTATGATAATTTAGTAATCGGAAGTCTTATCCCAAATGGCTATCGCTTTTTACACTCTGCTCGTGATGGAAGAGGTGGTGGCGTCGGATTGCTTTTGAAAAGTTCGTTGTTGCCAGTTAAGCAGACATCAAAGGTCTATCTGGACACCTTCATTTCCTTTGAAGCCATCGAAAGTGAAGTTAAGATTTTTTCGCAATCTGTTTCCATCCTTATTGTCTATCGTCCTCCATCCTCACCTGGAAACAATCTTTCAACTGAGCTTTCTATGAATGAATTTTCGTCGCTGTTAGAATCCTATATCACTAAAACTGGTTCACTTGTAATCGCTGGTGATTTTAATTTTCGTGTTGATGATACAACTGATACTGCGGCGGCTAATTTCCTGAGCTTATTGGAGTCATTTGATTTACAACAACATGTTCGTAGTTGCACCCACAGAGCTGGACATACTTTGGATCTGGTCATCACTCGTGATGCTGAATATATTTTAAATGCTATTTCAGTTGATAATTCCTCAGAGATATCGGATCATTACACTGTTTGTGCTGATCTTCGTTTTGTTAAGCCTAATTGGGAAAGGAAGCGTATTTGTGGTCGGAAATTAAAAGCCATCAGCTTGGAGCATTTTCGACAAGATGTTGCAATGTCTCCTCTTTTGTCTGAATCATCCAATGATTTACTTACGCTGCTTCACTTGTATAATTCGGAGTTATCTAGTGTTTTGGATAAGCATGCGCCATTAAAATCGCGCATGGTTACCATTCGTCCCGCTGCTCCATGGTTTAGTGAGGAGATTAAATTGGAGAGAAGAGTTCGTCGCCGACTGGAAAGGAGATGGCGTAGGACTAGATTGCCCGAAGATCGTCTGCGTCTTATTGAACAAAATCGTATTGTCAATGAGCTATTACTCTCTGTCCGCTCACAATATTACACCAAAATTATTGATGATAATTGCCTTAATCAGAGGAAACTGTTTGGCATTGTCGGTAAGTTGTTACATCGGAGTCCTGCACCGCAGTATCCATCTTGCTCTTCCGTGGCGGATCTTGCAAATAGATTCATTGGCTTTTTTGGTGAGAAGATTATTACTATTCGACATGAACTGGAATCGAACCCTATGCAGGGAACTTATTTATTTAATGAAGCCACAGTAGCAACAACTAGACTCCATCGTTTGAGCTGTCCTTCATATTCGACCTTACTTCAGATTGTGCACCCTTTGGCATCAAAGTCTTGTGAACTTGACCCTGTCCCCTCTAGAATACTCCTTGGTTGTCTTGATCTCCTTTGCCCTGTGATCTGGAAAATTGTTAAGCTCTCTTTGGAGACCTCTGTCATGCCCACTGAACTTAAACAAGCTGTAATTCGTCCTTTGTTGAAAAAGCCGAGTCTTGATTATCAAGAATTTAAGAACTTTCGGCCGATCTCTAACCTCACCTTCTTGTCCAAAGTCATTGAGAAAGTAGTGGCTTTGCAGCTTGTTGACTACATTGACAACAATGGTCTGTGTGAAGTCTTTCAGTCTGCCTACCGTGCTCACCATAGCACCGAAACGGCTCTTCTCAGAGTCTACAATGACATTGCTATGTCCATTGACAATCAAAATCTGTTGTTTTGGTTCTACTGGACCTGTCTGCTGCTTTTGATACAGTTGATCATTCTCTTCTCCTTGCTAGACTATCTACCCGTTTTGGCATTTGTGACCAGGCACTGGACTGGTTTCGTTCATATCTATCTGATCGCACTCAGTATGTCAGAATCCAAGATGTCTCTTCTGATGTGCATGCCTTACCTTATGGTGTACCTCAGGGTTCCGTTTTGGGCCCCTTGCTGTATTCTTTGTACACTTCCCCTTTAGGTGATATTGCAAGATCTCATGGTCTATCTTATCACTTTTATGCTGATGATACACAGCTATATTTATCTTTTGAAACGTCATCGCCTGAGGATATGTCAACATGTACATCTGCTCTTGAAGATTGTGTTAAAGATATTGACCTTTGGATCTTAAATAACAAGCTGAAGCTGAACAGTGGGACGACTGAAATTATAGTTTTTTCATCCTCCTATCCCCCAAAAACTCTAATTCATGCCTTTGTTATTGCAAGGATCGACTATTGTAACTCACTGCTCTACGGTCAGCCTAAATGTATCTTGAAACGTTTACAGAGTGTCTTAAATAGTGCTGCTAGGCTTATTCACCTTACTAGTAGATATGAGCATGTTACGTCGTTGCTTATTCAACTTCATTGGCTACCAATTGAACAAAGAATAACTTTCAAAATTGCAGTAATTACATTTAAGGCGCTTCATGGTGCTGCACCTAGCTATATCACTGATCTCATCAAGCCTTATACACCTGGTAGACTTCTTAGATCCTCCAATCAATTTTTACTTTCTACATCTAAATTTAATCTTAAAACTTATGGTGGCCGGTCTTTTACTATTGCCGCACCTTCTGTTTGGAATGCACTTCCATTCGAACTTAGATCTTGTAATTCCCTTTCTTCTTTTAAATCTAAGCTCAAGACGTGGCTTTTTAAAATTGGTTATGATGTTGTTTAGAATGATGATGTTTTTAGAGGATGACAATGTAGTTTTGTAGTTTTGTAGGTTTAGGATTTTGTTCTTATTTTTATTATGTAAAGCGCTTTTGGACCATTGGGAATTTTTATAGAATGACAATGTAGTTTTGTAGGTTTAGGATTTTGTTATTTTTATTATGTAAAGCGCTTTTGGACCATTGGGAATTAGCGCTCTATAAATACTGTATATCATTATATTATTAAAAATGCGAAGATATTGCATATTATTGTTTTGATCGTACGCGGTTGTTTTGACCGAACGCACGGTTTGAATAAATTATTTTTGCACTTGATGCGCGCGCTTTGCTCATGTTTAATTATGATAGACCATCTCGTATTTTTCCATGTATATTATTAACAGGTAATCACATGATTTTTCAAAAAAAATTTACTCGTGCTTATTTATTCCAAATTGCACTCTAAATCATGTGATTACCTATACAAACGATAAATCAGTTATGATATGGTTAAAGCAAAAAGGTTGAAACATCCTTACCTCTGACTACAGTCTTTCTTCAACATTTCAGCCTGTAACTTTTCCCTCAGTAGATTCGCTTTCACTGCTTGAAGCTAGCTTTACAATTGTTGTTTCTTTGACCAGTTTAGTATTTTACCCAATGACTTAAACTTTCTTTCGCTTGAACAAGAAAACATGACTATGACACAGTCTGTCTACCAGAAAAATTATGACACCGAATGCAAATACAGCGGACCTCTCGGACGGCCCGGGACTGGTAGTGTGAAAGCGAGGCTATTCAGTCCTTGACGGTGGAGCGGAGGGGTGTTTCACTTCGCATGCACCAGTAGAATTTTTGTTTGTTGAGAGTAACCGATGGCATGCGCCTGCACCTTGCGTACGTATTTGTTTCCCGCCAGTTTTCGAATAGATGTGGTAGTAGTGGAGCACGAAATACAACGGCTCGTCCATTTGTGTTTATTGTAATCCTTGTGATTTTTTCCTCAATGTTACTTGGCTGGAAGCGCGAAAAAATCGAAAAATGGTTGCGTGGTACGCGGGAGAAGGTCCCAGCCGCGTTATTTTCAAAATGCGAAAATTTATGAAAAAGAATTCAAGTGTTGTTTTGGGATGGGAGGAAGAGCGATCAATGCGGAGGACGTATTTGTGAAGGATGTAGAAGGGCTGTAAAAAAACCTTAGGTGAACTGGAAATTCCTTTCTGTGCTATCTCAAGTTATCATTGAACATTTGAAGTACCCACTTAGGCAAAAATTAAAATTCAACAAAAATTTCTTTTTTGTTCAAAAGTTTGTTGACATGAATCGCAACCAACGGGGACGAATACCTAAACACAAAGATCAATGTTGAGTAAAGAAAAGTCACATAGCAGTAGTACTAGAGAAATGGTAGTTGTATCCAGGGAGAGTTTATTAGAAATGGAGGAAAAATTACAAATTTTATCCGAGAGTAAGTAACCTTTTTTCAATCATTTGTCTTAGAAATATCAGATTTGGAAGCTGAAAATTAGCAATAGTAGACACTTGTAAATATACTTTGAAAAAAAGGAAAGCATCTTCGTATAAGTTTATGATGTGACGAATTTTATTTAAAATTGAATACTTTATATGGACCAAACTACTCTTGAACCAAAATATATAAGAATTGGACCATTTGTGGAGGAATAGGTGCAAAGGCATCCTCAGCTTCTGAATGGAATGTCTGAAAGGATGAGGAAATGCGAATTAGAACCAGTAAAACTTTTGGGCTTCCTGTTGAAATGTAAATTACGGAATAAAGATTGCTGGCCAATTCCACCACTAACCCCCACTGGTTAATAAATCAATTATTTCCGAATAAAAAGTTTATTGATGTGAATCAGAGATATGCACTTGGCAACTTTATTTTTCAACCTTTTTAAATAACAAGCATTCTGTAACAATCTGATGGTCTAACGAGACTCTTATTACAGGCAATAAAAAAAGCTTGTACACCTGATAGTATCATTCAGAATGAAAGTCAAACTTGTTTCCATAGCCTGTATCCCCAAGGAACAAGACTGAACAAAATTAGATGACTTTATCGAAATAACGAGGAGAGTTTTGTTAACCTTGCTATGATATCATACATTTTGGCAGAAGTAGTAATGAAACTTGTTTTCGAGAACTACTATGAGGCTTTTACATCATGAACCCCTAATTACAATGACTCACAACGATATGAAACTGAGATTTCAGTTGAGTGCAAATTTTATTTCCCACCCAATGTAGGATGTGACATGACAGAGGAAATAGCATTGGTCAAGAAAAAGATTTATGACATAGTAGTTAAGAAGGCAGAAACAATGTATGATCCAGACAGTTTTAGAGAGTTTTTCATATCAACAGGTGCAACAAAATAATTTGACACTATTCTGGATTCAGTCAAGGGTTTTTTCATTCATTTACAATTTGTGCTACTGCCTCAGTCAAACATGCAATCCTCTTCAAATGGACCATACTCTTCATCTCAGGAGTAATCTGATAAATCAAGAGAGCATTGAAACAGAACATGTCATGGGGTATACATGTTCCAAAAGAACTTTAAACAATGTTATGCACAAAATGTCACAGTCTCATCTCAAATCTTTTGAAGATTTTATAACCACAGCTACAGATTGCAAATGGCTAGTAGTGTTAATAATTGATGATTTCACAGGCATTCACACTAAAAGAAGGCCCAGAGAGGAAAAATTGTCAGAGGCAAAGACAGTGTGTACCATAGTTGTTGAAGTTTTTAAAGATATTCAAGCTGTACCTGTAATGCACGCCCTTTGTATACATGACCAAAATGGTATAGATATTGAATCATGCATACAACTAAGTACTGCTGCATTGTCCATGCATGGCATCAGTGAGAGTTATGCTTCTCTGATGCCTGACTGGTTCACAAAGGCATTTTTTAACCCTGGAATTGAGAGACATAGAATGAATCAACATTCATGATTTGCACCCATAAGGTCTTGTAGAACTGAGACTGAAGTCAAAGGGGACTTTGATATTACCTATGATGTGGCAATGCACACTAGCTTGGCTGCCTATTTAAAGAAATTTATTGTTTTTCAGCCAGGGGATTGGCCGTGCCAATTTTATGGCAGACAAATCATATACGAATCACTTAAGAAGTTTGTCAGCTCTCATCCAGGATTTTCTGATGCTCCTCTGCAACAGGACAATAGTTTAACTGATTATTCCTTGTATTCTTTTCCAATGACATCTGGTACTACTACAATCTCTTGAACAATAGCTTGCCACAGGCAACATCACAGTCATCCATTCTGTCAATATTACCAACTACTGGGCCACTTCACATTTCCTTAAACAGTAGAGAACATATTGTTCAATCCTATCATCTGTTTTTCAAGGTAGTATATGAAACAATTTTCCCAAGAAGCAAATTGGCAGATAACCCCAAACCCTAGAGAATTAGTCTGATTCTTGATATTGTGTATAGTGGTTGGACACTTGTCCACTGCAATGTGATGGCAAAGTTCTCCCAGTTCAAAGATGCAGAGTATGGGACCCTATTCACTTTACTAGATGTAGCTATATACCTTTGGTGTTGTTGATATATAGCATTTCTTTCAAACTTAACAATTACTCTGAGTATTTCAGCACAATGATCAGGATTTGGATCACGTTTACTTGCCTCCAATGCCAGCACTATAACATAGCACCACTTATTTGGATCAACATGTGCTCTCACTGGGGAAAACATGCTCCACAACTGTATAATCTACTGAGGAATTACATTGCCTTTTCTATGAATATCCTGTGGAAAACACCCATAGAATACTCTGTTCACAGATAAACAGTTCTGATACTGCTGGTGAACTTAGAAAGAAAGCAAAGTCCATTTTCCAGTCAAAGGATAAACAGTTACACTACAGGTCATTTCTCACCACACCTAAGCAGTTTTCTTTCTCACCCAACCAACTAAACTTACTAAAAGTGAGATGCGCTCAAGCACTGTCCTCCATGTTTATAAAATCTCTCGGAGTCTAGGACAGAGTCTATTCTCCTTAAAACTACAGCTGCAACACAAGTGTTCCAACTCATGTCACACTGCCAACAATGTCCCCCAACAAAATATGAAGATGACTGTTTTATCTTTAGGGTATCACTGTGCTATCAAGCCCGATCAAACAAAAAAAATGTGATTTACCTCTGTGTAACATTTCCAGCCAGGATGAGAATTGAACCCTCCTGCCTGGCTGTTTTCACTCACTCCATGATGTTTGCCTCAGTGAATCAACTTCATGTCCACTGTGTAAGGAGTTTCTATAAAAAAAAAAAGTAAAAGAGCTTGGTAAGACAGCTAAAAAAGCCATTCTAAATTCAGCATCTAACATGCTGAAACTGAATCCCAAACTAATCACAGATAACTATGTTTACTAATGTCATGATAAAAGGAAATCAGTTATAATTGACTCTTTCAACCTACCAGTTCAGCAACCAAATTTGGAAGTCAGTCAAGTCCTTCAGCATGGACAAAATGATAAACATTTGAAGAAACTTGAAATCATTTGAGACCTGGGTTTCTTTACTATGAGAGACCTTGAAGAGCACCTCATGCAACACCATCATATGCATCCATCATTTGCAACTGTATTGATTGTGCCACCAGACAAGTCAGTGGTACTTTGTTTTTATCAAACAAGTATTTGTCTTTTTGAAAGCCACACACATGTGAGGAAGTGTGAGGAAGAGTCCACGCATTTTTTGGGGTAATTGGACTATTTTGACCGAAAGCCAAATAAATAAACAATTAACTGAGAGTAGTGAGGGATTTGGGGCGAGTGAGATAAATAAGTTCTATCGAAGTTTTTCCTCCATTTAGTACCTGAAGCCCAAAAAGGCAATTGAAAAAATTGCTACTAAAACTCAGGAAAAAAACAAGCTTAAGCCGGAGTTGATGAAAACCAAACTATAACCTGTGATAAGACACATGCCTACCTACCATGTTCAACAGACTTGAAGAGCAAAATGGCCAAAGAAAGTTGTGAGCCACGACTTGGAAAATCCACCTCAGCCTCCCTAAAACGAATTCGCCGAAGGTTGTAGTAAGAGCAACTCAATCCTGAAGCTGGAAGATTTTTTAAAGCCTTGTGTCCAATGTGACTACAAAGAGAAAGAAAAGACGATGTTATCTAAAGTGATTTGAAGCTTGGGGCCACCTCGAACTTAACGCAATTTTATTTCAAAGTTGAAGTAAAATAAGATCACGTTCTAAATTAACTTCTGTCATCGGATCAAATATCTCACCATCCTCTTCACATACAACTTTGTGATTTTTACAAGTAAACCATCAACATCTTTAGACTAACCTTCAAGGTTTGCCATCAGTCATCTGCACATCTTGATCTTCAGTAAACCAAATCTCAAACTTCAAGTTTTTGGGCTTTTTTCGCGTTTTGTTCGCACTTTGAACATTGAAATATCCTCATCCGAGAGGCCAGCAAACACCACGAGTAACCACAAAGTTAGAAATATTGGTAAACTTTTCATTCTCTTGCATCCCTCTCCAAAAAATATTACAAAAAGGTGTCGATCGCCTCGTTAAAAACCCGCGGAAGCGCGCTGAGAATATACAAATAACGCCGCACGCGCCGAACAAAATTCCACTGGCGCATGCGCAACAAAATGCCCCTCTGCTTTATAGTGGCTTTTCCCTGATTGTTTTTATTGTCACGTATGGCTGCATGTGCCTTGTCAGAGGACGATATTCCCGGCGCTTCCCTGGCTGGAAGAGAACCTGCGACTTTGAAAAACGAAGAACTCCGGTTCTGGTTGAAACGTCGCGGAGATTCGTTGAAGGGTTTGAAAACCAAGGCGTTACTAATAAAGAGGTAAGGCATCATTTCGCATCAGTGCACTTCTCAGACTTCGCAAGTGAGCGGTTCTCATCTGGCTTGAATTCGATGCAAAAATTATTCGGAACTAAAGAAAATCCTTTTCCTTCAATAAAGGGTTGAAGAGAATAGAAAGTCTCTCCGTGATCAGAAGATTGTCGATACATGGTCCGAACAGGATTTACACGAAAAGGAAACAATAGAACGAGGCGACGTCAGCAAAGACATCAACCCGAGTGTTTACGGTGAATCACAACCGAAGTATCCGTCAGATGGCTGGTCTGTCGATCTCACCAGAATGCCTTTCTTCACTCGCGCAGAAGTGAATGAACATATATCAAAGTCAGGGAAATATATTGACTCCAACATCAGCACCCACTCTGTTCCAACGAGTGTTAGAAAAGCAACTACATTTCTTCAAGACGAATACTTGAAAGAAATCGTGGCAGCAAGTGACGACAGTTATTTTTATTTCAAGTCGGAATGTCACCACAGTTTCAAAAAGAATGATCCACTTCATAACTTAAAAGGAACTCTGTGCATTGTAAGTGGTAAGGTAGAACATGCACACTGTACCTGTGTTGACGGTGCAATTGGTGTTAGCCTTCATGATGAAAGTCTGCAAGTTCACCTTGCATCAATGCAAGAGTATCAGTGACGTAGACAATGAAGATGACGTACAGTCAAAACAGGCTTGCACATCAATGTTGCAACAATGGCATCGAAAGGATGGAGGGAACACCATAGTTCTACAACCAGCTATGGAGGTTGTGGTTCACAAAACTCATAAGGACTTAGACCGATCTTCATCAAGAGAACCTGGGGTGAGGTGTCTATCATACAAAGCCAGGACAATTCAAAGCATCAAGGGTCAAAGAGCAGATGAGCACAAGTTGTTGACAAGGTTGCACGCAGCAAATCCTAAAATGGCTTCATCACAGATAATGGATCCTAGTTCTGAAAGTACACAATTATTAGAAACCAAATTTGGCAAAAGCCCTCAAGGTGGTTATGCAAGTTATCAGCTATCCACTACTGCGGATAATTTTAGAGAGTATTGCAACATTTTATCAGTACCCAGGGTTGGCCCAAGCCACACTTACAATGAGCCAATTATTGTTTTTCCTAGATTCCCTCTCAACCGTACATCAACAGAGCAGTTCATTGAGCCAAATTGGAGTATCAGAGGTAGAGGTAAACTTCTGGGAAAGGCTTTGGGTTGATGAAGACAAAATCAGTGAAATTGAAAAGAAAACTGGAAGGCAATTTAGAGTCACAGCTTCAAACTTTGGCTCAGGTCTAGTAGTGAGTCTGGATGCACCATGTTTGGGTGCTTCACCTGATGGAAAAGTTATTGATGTTGGCTGCTCATCCCCCTTTTGCCTTTTAGAGGTGAAGTGTCCCAAAACAAAATTCCTTGTTACCTCACTAGATGCATGTTCAGAGAGCAGTTTTTTTCTGGAGAATGTCAATGATGAACCCAAACTGAAGTGCAATCACAATTACTATACTCAAGTGCAGGGACTGATGAGGGTCACTGGTATTACTTTAGATGATGTGACTTTGTAGTTCAAACAAACAAAGGACTGGGCATTGAATGTATTCCATTCAATGACCAACACTGGAACATCTTAAATGGTACATTGAAGTCTTATTATGTAACACATTTTCTTGCCAAGGCAGCTAGAGAGCCTTGAATTCTTGGCTAGGCATTTACAAATGGAAGATAATACTTTAGTCACTTACTGAGACATGTGCAGAGTAAAGTGTAATGCCTTTCATAATTTGGGTATTTATCAAAGATTGCATTAAAATTTTCACAAAATTTGAAAAATTTACTCAACAATTAAACTGAGTTGTGTTCATGAGAGTGGAAGTGATTACATAATTCCAAGACTTCCACGTTAGTTATCAAAGATACTTTTTTGGATCCTATTTACATGTTCATACTTTGCAGCTTTGAGTGAGATCATAACATCTGAATAATGATTCACAATAATGCAAGATGCATTTTATACTGAGAACACTTTAAAATATAAGGAAACTTATTTCAGCCTTTGATAAAATAATAGATATTTATATTACCATTGTAACTGCAAATATGATCAAATTAAATCAATTCTCTCTATTAGTTGTAAAGAAATGTATCAGAAATGTAGGGAGAATTTTGTTTAGTTGGTTCTGTGACTTAATAGAATGAATTGAAAAATTGCAGTATTCTTTCTTATCATCTCATTTTTGAACCCTGGAAAGCCATCTAACAGTTGATTGCCATTGGTAGAAAACATTGATTAACTATTGTGAATCTTATGTGGCTTTTTAGATCAGCCAAAGAAGAAAGGAATTGAAGAGAAATTTGTAGTTGGTTTACAACATGCTGTTTTTGAGAGCTAGCTCTTGATGGCTCTCTAGCTACATAAAATATCCATACATGTACCTCCCTCACAGAAGGGATTTTTTGTAACAACCCCCATCTCTCTGAAAACTCCAATAAAACTATATACATTGTTTTCTAATTTTTTCGTCTTTGAGAACTCTCACCCCCATGGAATTTCCATCCCTTCAGTGAGTTGTTTAGAAATTTCCTGGAACTACACAAATGTTGATAAAAAAAATGATACAAACTATTCTGAAATCAGTGGATCTTGAGCATTGCAAAGGAAGGCACACACTCCACATCTGGTTAACAACTCCAAACAAACTTAAAGGAATTTCTCCTTTCCAGATGAGGAATTTCTTGATTTTGTTTATTGCCCTCTCTACATGCATCCTGAAACCAGCTATTTGTTGTGTTCGTATCACATCTTCAGCAGACATTTGACTGTTTCTTCCAAGGAAAGGTGGAATGTACAATTTTACTCCAAGTGGCAAAATGTCTTGAATTTGAAATCCTTTATCAGCCATGACGCTCTCACCATCCTCAAATTTCTGTGACAACAAAGCACTTCGAAGAACAATTTCATGATCTGAAATGCTACCAGTGTAAAGCTGGCTAATAAAAGTAATTGCATCACTTGGCCCAGGGCGTGAAATTTTTTTTTTCTGATAGCCATATGGCTCTTAAATTCTTCAAAGAGGCAGCCATTAAAAAAAAAGTTGGTCGCCATTTTCAAAGACAAACAAAACCTTTTTACGCTGTCAGCGTGCTAGATGGACCCCGCAAAATTAAGTAAGGGAAAAGATCTTTAACCTATTACAAAGTGGACACTAGGATGGATTATATACAACCGTCAAGCTCACCCAAATCCAAGATGGCGTCTAGTTATCGATCGAGATGCATTTGCTGCGTCTTGGAAACAAACTTAACAAGGAAGTTTGCCGCGGATTTATCTTTACAAATCTTTTAATTCACTAGGGGTACGTTCCTTTGGGAGGATCTGGATTTGGATTTGTCATTCAAGATCACACAGATCACGGTGCATGAAAGGAACGTAATTTTAAGGTGCGTTCCTTTGGAAGTATGCAACGTGGGTTATTGAGCTCTTCCCTGAATGGCTCGCCTAACTGCACGCGCTTTTAGCACGCACTATTCATTAGAAGCACATTTCTTCATGGTACACTCAAACGATGGAATTAAAACAGAAGCAAGTATTAATTTCGATATGGATACTTAGAACCCTTGCGTTGTGATAATAAGGGTTGGTTTTAAAGTTTCATTTTCCCATCTGTATGTTCTTCAGGTTTGACGAAGCCCGATGAGATTGTGTTACAAAAGGCAATATTTTCTTGTATGCTCTTTTCTTTGTTTTTAAGTATACTTTCTCTCCCACAGAAAATAACTCCAGAGTTACGTTTCTCCAAATCTTCACCTGGGTATCCGTTATTCTTTAAGCGTATAGTATTGCGTATATTACGCACCTTTAGCAGATAGGACGGCAACGCCAAGGAAGACATCGATTTTAAAATGAACACATACTTCTCGTTTGAATCTCGCGAATGACTGGATGTGTTTACCAACTCTTACGGCGCCACAAGTTAGTTAACCTTGGCATGACGTATTAGAGCGGCATTGAGTTTCAAATGGAAACTTAAATAATTTGCCGTCGGGGTTACGCAAATTTGGATTCCACTTTGTTACTTTGCAGAGGACGGCTGAGAAATGTACACAGTCTTCAAACGCACGTGCTGCGCTATTGTTCTGCTAATTAGATCTTTTATTTTACTACGTCCCCATTGCAGTTGCCGTTACCGTCGCTGTCGCCGTCGTAGTTTGCTAACAGGGACCTTTACCAAACCGCGACGGCGACGGTAACGAGGACGAGGCAAAACAAAAGATCTAATGGGCAGAACAATAGCTCGGCACGTGCGTTTTAAAACCGTGTACATTTCTTCGTCGTCCTCTGCGACATAACAACGTGAAATCATCAAAATTTGCGTGGTCCAAGAAAGGAAACCCCGACGGCAAATTATTTAAGTTTCTATTTGGAACTCAACGCTGCTCTCATACACTATAGCAGGTAATTTAGTGTTAACAACTGGGTTGAAAACGTAAACCCCTTCGTCAGAGGGACTAACGCTCGAAACGTCAGTTTTTTTACCCTTTACGGTGGCTAATTTACGTTTTCAACCCAGTTGTTAACACTAAATTACCTGCTATACTCTCCCACCGACGCAGCACCACAGTTTCTTTCGAAACTTACCCCTTTATTCACTTCTCTCATAAACTATGCTGAGGTTCACTTGTGGCGCCGTAAGAGATGGTGAACACATCCATTCAGTCGCGAAATTTCAACTAAAAATATCTATTCATTTTTAAATCGACGTCTTCCTTGGCGTTGCCGTCCTAACTGCTAAAAGTCCCTAATGCCTCTATTGACAGCCTACGCGCAGGCTGAGATACACTATAATAAATAATAGAAATTGAACGGTCTTCCACAAGCATTTAAATAATCACAATAAACTATTACTGCAGAACAAATTTAATAACAAGAAATAAATAACTACCACTCAAATCCAGCAAGACTAGCAAACTACCTCGTCACATCAGGCTTGTATAAATTATGCCGGTAAAAATCCTACTGGTGGAAAATCTAGCACAGATATAATTTTCAATTAATGACCTTCCTAACATCAAACTCACACACAACCGTTGAGGATTATAGAAGACGACCTCACTCTAAATAACTTGACTTCGATGACGCGCTCACAAAAGCGCATTTGGTCAAAAACACCTTAGACGTCTTGTACGCTTTTATTCATAAAAGTCTTCTTTTATGGTTACGGTAAAACGAATTTAGTCGACCAAGTTTACGCTCATACAGTATTATCCTTGGAAGTGTAGTTTATAGCGCACGGAATAACAAATGCAAAAGTATAAAAACTGCTTTCAACCATGGCTACTGTAACGTGTGGGATGTAGAATCACTTCGAGGCTTGGACTGGAGAACGCAATGATCTTGTTATTAAAATTTTTTGTTTTTCTTTTCCAAAGGAGATATCCTTAACCTAATGCAGTTAATGCGCATCAACACTGCTATCTATCTTTCCCCCCTTTTTTTGCGTTATGGTCAAGAAACCCCTCAGGAAAACCTCGACACAGTTTTCAAATTCGAAATTCAACTTTGAAATGCGAAAAAAGAAAAAAAAAATTCTAAAGCGAGAGTTCACCATCGGCTCCTCAGTCGCTAAAAGTGAAGAGCAGCTCATTTGTCCACATCCCCGTGTAAACCATTTAGTGGCCTTTCGGATGATTCTGTTAAAAAAAAATAAAAAAATAGACAGGTCATCATAATTGTCAGCAAAGAGATCCGATGCAGAGTACAAGCCAATTACAAAAGAATTCAAACTTCTATGTTACTTGTGGAATAATAAAAAAATAGTTTATATGTAAAACTGACAAATCACCTGGCTCGCGCAAGGCCTCGGGATCACCTGCAAGTTCTGAATGAAAAGAAAACCATAAAAAATTGTCAAAAGTGAGATAAGAAAGTCAAAGAATACATAAACCTCACACTGAAGCTCGAATGAAATAAGAAAGAGTCTTAGTTGTCAAATCTACTATTTTTTATTTAACAGTAAATCGAAGTTCAACAGCCAGCCTTACTCTAACAGAGCAGTTCTGAAGTTGTTTGGGTTGACGGCACCACAAAGTGTGAGATTAAGGTAACTATTAACAGTAACACCCCATGAGCTAATAATCAAGCGCAAACTAATTTTCTATTTGTGGTTCGTTTCGTTCTATTTTCCTTTGAGCATAACCGTTCTGTGATTCTTTATTTTGACGCAACACAAAGGGGGAGATTAAAGCGAGTTTTCAAAGTGAAATATTTCGGGCTAACAGTTTTGCGCAAACAAATTTTCTTCTTGTAGTTCTTAACATAGATTCCGTATAAATATTTTGTTCCCTTCTTCTTTGAGCACTAACAAGAGCTACAAGTGTTACCTGGTAATCCGTCTAGATGTGCAAGGGCACCCGAGGAAGCCTCATTCCGGCTTTGTTCTTCCGCAATTCGTGCCTGTAGATCAGCCTGGAAGAATGTTTTTAAAAAAAATCACCTTTCCTACTCTGAATTGCGACAATATTTCAGGCCTACATGAATTATAAAAAAAAAAAAGCAAAAAAACAAAAAAAACAAAACAACCTAAAAGCGGAAAAAAAAACTAACACAGACCAGCGGAGGAGAGAAATGCCTTTGGGGCACCTAGAACATAATGGCAGAAATTCAACTATAGTAACTTATCTGCAACACGATGGCAGTTAAAAACGATGCTTAAATGGAGAAAAACAAGCGAAAAAAAGTCAGAATACAAGTGAATCGTTTCCCTCAGCCTTTTTTCTAGAAGAAAGCATCTATAATTATAGGTCGGGACAGGAGATCGCGTGTATAATCAATAGTTTCATTACCGCCTTCCAATTCCTACTGTTTGGCTTACAATTAATCATAGCATTACTCCCCAAACAAACTTGTACAAGGTTGTAGCTAATAAAATAGTCTGTCGGTTCAAAACAGAACTGAGCCGGCCCAAAGAGAGACCTGCTAACAAAATTTAGGTCTTAATCTTTTGAAACCCCTTGAAGATGAACGCGGGGTATAGAGAGAGAACACGGAAAGCTGATACCCTTTGCCGCGTTATCACAGGCAAGTAACTAGCCAGTGATCACCACTTTATCAGCCGGCGAATCTGGCCGGCAGCCAGAGCTTTTACTCTGAGTGTTGATTACGAAGGTACATGCAGCGGCTTCGCACAACTTACCTCTGTCAATCCAGTAAGCTTGGTTGGAAGGTCATCTATGGAGACTTCACTATCGTCTTGACCGTTAGTGATCTGTAACAAAACATAGGGGAGACGGGAAGATGTGAGATCATGATCTTCATGAACACAGAAAAATCGGTACAGGATGATACAAGGGTAACTCGAAAAAAGAGGAACACGAAAAGAAATATTACGTGAAAAATAACACAATTCTAAGTAAACATAGGGGGTCAGTATCGAAAGAAACTGTGGCACTACTTCGATTGGGGGGCTATTACAAGATACTTTTGTTTTAACAACTGAGATTGACCCACCATCATGACCGATTACTTTGGTCCTTACTCTGAAATTCTAAGGAGCCTGTCGAATTTGTTTATACATAATCCAGCAGCGAAGTAAAGGAGTGGTTGTATAGTCATGTAGGTCAACTGGGCAAACTTATCATTTTTAATCATCCATTTATTTTATTTTACTTTTCCATTCATTCAGAGCTTTATGCTGGAGGCGGAGCCTTATTTTCTCTTTTCGGAAAATAGATAGTAAAAAATCCATTTATCTAAGAGGCATCATTACAGGTATTTGCCAATTTCCCATACAGTCAACATCCCACATTGTGCAACAACTGAACATTGTGGGCAGCCGCTTCCCTTTAATTTACTGCGTATCAGCTGAGTAACCAGGTACATTAGAAATAGATCCAACAAACCTGTCCATTCTGTAAATAAGCAGACATTCCCGAAGCAGCGGCAGCGACAGCACCTTCAGCTGCTGCTTCCACGGCCTGCTGCTGTTCATGCTGTGGTGCACCGCTATCGTCACTGTCACTGAGCCCGTCTCTACTGTTTTCTCCATCTCTGTTGGCGGATGCAGCAGCCGCTGTACTTCCCTGGTATTCTTCCAGTTTTCTCCTAGCATCAGAGTCGTCAAACGATTCTTCACCGTCTTCTTCCCCGCTGCCAAAACTGCAGAACAAGGTTTATCACAATTTTTTCGGTGGAGTTCATAAGTAGCTTAGCCGGTGTAAAAAAAAAAGTCAAAACATTGTATCCTGCTTAGTTATGGTGGCATGATTACAAAACGATATCTTTCTACCAGTGACGAGGCAAAAGTGCGTGATATTGTGCACTTTTCATAAATTTGTTCCCTTTAATTTGTTATTTCACACAAAATACCACCTAATTACCTTGAAAAAGGCTTTGATTCACTTGCTGACAACTCTAACTTGACACAATTCTAAAATGTAATACACACACAAAAAAGAGTTAGTCATGTAAATATTTCAGCACGATACAATAACTTGACCATGACTTGTGTTTTAATGCTCACATTACCTGTGGAGAATCCACCATGCTATTGTCTTGTAAACTGCATAGGAAATCAATACACGGGGAAGAACATGAGCAAGGCACAAACAAACACTGCAGTGGAGGAACTAGCACGTTTATATTAGAAATATAAATTTTGCACCAAATGGTTCTGCTAAGATACTTGCCTTTGTCTCTCTTCAAACTGAGTGGCCATTACATCATCTCTCGTCTTAAACCACAAAAATAACAAAACATGATTTCCCTCTAAAAATGTCTCACGTAAATCAGTATTAAGGCTTAAAATAAGGTTGAATTTACACAAAAAAGCAAGAGAAAAATACAGCAAAACCAAGTTAAGATTCGAGTCAAACAACATTACTGCCCAAGTTTTCCAGTTCACTCTCTTTAAATTCACTTCACGTTGTAGTTCGTCAGTTTATTCTTACTTATTGTTGTTTTTCGTCTTAAAACCACATTACAATTTTAATCCTTCTTACTATTTTAAGGCAAAAGAATTAAAATATTGAGACATAACTTCTTCAAAGGATGTTACGCAAATCTTTCCAATCAACGTAACAGCTTGCTCAGAGCGAGAACACTCCATTAGCATGACAAATGAAACAAACCTTTCCAAGATCTTCTTCCTCTGCTTCTTGTTGCTCCTTGGAGATTGGCAAAGCTGCAGCAGCTTCGTCTTCCTCCTCTTCATCTTCCGGTCCTCCGTCCTCTGCGCCATCATCTTCGGCACCTGACTCCTCTGATGAAGACTCCTCGCTGCTTTCATCATGTTCTTGTTCCTCTTCCTCGCCTTCAGCCCCCTCGCGCTCATCGGTTGCGCTTACACCCTCCTCTTCCACAGCACTAGACATAGAACGTAAATCTTATGATATCGCTTTTGGAGTTGCAAAAAAGGAGTGTCATGGTTTCTCTCTGATGGTTTCACCAGAGCTGGCGAAACAAGTAGCCGACGAATTTCAAGATTCTGCAGCTGTTCAGGGCAAATTCACAGTTTGACCGACAAATAGGGTGACAGCTATGGCTTTAAATGCTTCAATACAGAAATCGCTATCGACTTGAGGAGAGTCACCGTCAAATTGCTTAAGATGGTGGCCCAGTAATGAAATTCAAGAGGACTTGTTAAAAACCGTGTGAGCTGTGTACATCCTCTCAACTACTCAGCACCTCACGGAAGGCAAGTTGCGAATTGGGGCTGATAAGGTTATGACAAAACAACTGCAACATCTATGCGATCCCAGGATAATTATATGTTTGTCCTAAAGTTAAAAGTCACGGTAAGTCACTCTTATATTCATCAATCTGGGCATATCGCTACTAAGATCATCTTTTGACGTTAAAACGGCTGTTTTCCAGACTAGTCGTTACAGTACGTTACAAAAGGAAGAGGAGCCTAAGAAAAGTAAAAGAAAAACCCATCTAAACGACCCGAGGCGCGGGAAATCGCTAATAACAATAACACTGGAAGTGTTGCAACGTAAAAACAAAATAATTTACTAGATTATATTCGTCAGAATTTAGTTGAGAGCCCTTGCGTCCCACCTGTCATTTCGTGGATTATCTTCTTTTTCTTCAGTATCATCATCATCCTCTTTGTCTCCGTCCTGACCGGTTCCAGTGTCTGTGCTTGCTGAGTCAAATCCCTAATATATCACATATCAACAATAAGAGTGTTAAATATCTACAAAGAAAGAAATTGTAAATTTGACCTGAGCAAAGAAGTTAGAACGAGTCCACGAAAAGCCAAAGTCAACGTAAGTAAATGGCTTCTAACGTGGGAAGTCGGCTTTGCGTTTAGGAGGTGGTGTAAGATCACTTGAATTGTTTAAGGATACGGTAAAGCAGAAAAAAAATTGAAACACCACATTACTTTTAGGAAGCAACTGAAAATTTACGAAATCATAAACGAGTATACAACGAACATTTTAAGCTAATACAAGGGTTGACCACAACGATAGCTGGACATCAGAAAGCACAGAAAGTTGATTATGAGTTAATAACATCAAATGCCTGACATCATATAAAGCCTGAAGTTTTGGTAAATCAGCACGCAGTGTAAAGTGTAAAACAGCGACAAGCACGTTCAGAGTAAGTAGCGAAACTAACCTGTCGCCACGTTGGCCTTTGGCTGGCTCCTCGACCTCTGTTTAAAAGCGTAACACGGGAAGATAAATATTGTAGAGTCGTGTAACACTTACAACCAAGTTATAAGAAAAGAACTCTCGACTACGCTATTGGGCATACGGCTAATAAGGATCTGATCACGCCGCAAGATGAAATACAAATAAAAATCACACAGTAATGCAACGGTGTTGTATGCTTTTTTCGAAAAAAAAAAATAGATAATAATAAATTATGAGTCCAACCTTAACAAATTGTTTTTTTAGGAAGAGAAATCACAGGCGGCAGAAACCTAGGACTATTAGACATACGGCTACTAAGGATTTGATCATGCCGCCAAATAAAATGAAAATAAAAATCACAGGATGATGCGACAGTGATGCGGAAAATAAATTCCGACCACGACAAGTTTTTCATGCAAAATAGGAAGAGAAAATGGCGTTTTTTAAATTTATTCTGTTTTCCAGATTTGCGTGGAAGGTAGACATAACTGTAGGGATAAAGTTGGATTTTCAATTTTACTACCTCGGTATAGACGAGGCCTTCAATTTATGTAACACTCTTGTTACGGAAATTCTCACCCGTCTAAGTCTTGCATAAGCCTGAAAAACGCCAACTCGTTGAACAAAATCTCAGACATGTCCACAAGCATATCCTCTCCACAGTCTTTCATTCTAGCAAGACAAAGTCATTGAAAGAAAGGCGTTTTAAGTCAAGTTCCTCTTTTTTGGAACTGTTCCTGAAACGCTACTACAATTGGTGACAATATATGGAAAGATTTAGAAGTTTCGACACTCCCAGGAGTTAAAGGGAAAACAATGGCATAGGAAAGCGGTAAAAGTTAAACCCAAAATTAAATTAAAAAAAAAAACAGGAGTTAGCTCACGTTCTATCAGTAAATCTTGATAAGGAATCCTGAAGAATGGAAGCCAGCTGTTTGTGAAAGAACCTTCCAAACTCCTTAAATGTGGGAAAAAAAGAAAAAAAAAAAAAGTCAATTTCAAACTTGTTATGATGGAATAGAAGACCGCAGAATGGCTTTTATGTAAGAAAAGTAACATAAGAACACCAATTTTCCATTGTAGAATAAAAGTAAGCTTACCTGATCTTCATTAACTTGAATCCGTGATAACACCAGACTTCTTATATAACCCAACAGATCAGATGTGCATGTATCCTCCATGTGTTCATTCAAACAAGGTATTACCTCCTAAAAAAGTCATGACCACTATGAATGTCAAACAAGTGTCTCGAAACTATTTCTCGTTTCCAAATCTAACTTCAGAAACTTACAAGGGCATTCGTAGGAATTCAAATTGTCAGTTTCATTTATTTGAACTACAAGAGCACAAGGCTCAAGCCCAGGCCACATCGTTGTGTTGCGTTCTTGGACGAGACAGTAAACTTTCTCTTTAGCCCTTAAACTAGAGGTATACACGAGTTTCGAAAAGCTGCGAGGAAAACCTGACTTACTACCTGCAGTGGACTGACATCCCGTTCACTGAGGGAGGTGGTAGCACCCCTTGTCACTAAAGGTTAAGGAAACTGGGATACGTCCATGGTTAGATTATGGAACGAAACCCAATAACGATGTCACTTGCACAGAAAAAAGGCACTTACTCTTAAAAGAGGGCTAAATAACGCTAACTAATTAACATTTCCAACGTCACTAAACGAACTTAGGGTAGAACATAAGGTGGAAAGTGACAAAAACCACGTGATCTTATGAGATTTTTTAAAAAAATGCTGACTTTGGAACTTTTTTTTGGGACAGGAAGTGTTGAGTGCTCTCAATGTACTTACCGACATGATTGACTTAATGAGATGGTCCAGGGCTTGAGTATCGATTCTTGGATACTATGAAAAAAAGGTTGGATAATTTAACGATACACAACATTTCCCCTACAAACGCCGAATCAGCAGGTTACAGAAGTGAATCTCAGAGTGGGGTCGATGGAGACAAATTTGCCATAACGACCAGCACAATTATTATTTGATGGCAACGAACGTACTTGCGCAACGTAAGACATAGAAAACAGCTATATGAAACAGAACTGATATTTTTGAGAAAGCGTGCTAACAGGGCTAACCTGAACATCCGATATCGAAGATTCGCTTCCTACATCTCCAGCAGAGCTGGTGGTGACGTCGTCTTTGACGTGTTTGTCCCCTTTTAACAAGGCAGCACCAGACACAAGTTCAGTCAGTTTCCCTTCAGTTCTCAGTCTCTCATATTCACGCATCCTGCTAAGAGCCTTCAAAGATAGGTACAAGAACTAACCTTTACTTAACTCTAAAGGCTCCTTCCATAAGTCAGCATTGACCACACGAATCAATAGATATATAATAATAAGCCCTCTTCCCGGGAAATTTCTCCTTCTGGTCATGCATTTTCCATTGGAGTACAGAATGACGCTGGGAATTTACATATCGGGTAAAAGGGAGCGACCTTGACTAACCAGTCATAGTAGATATACATAGCCTTTAATTAAAGTTCAGCCCGGATTATATTGTATCACCAGCATTGATATTCTTTTGACGCGGCTTACCTTGTCGAGGTGAATGACAGTGTCTCCCAGACCTTCAGACGCAAAGGGTGCCTCACCAGCGTGACTCGATGTTGGTGTGGAGAGGGTGCTTCCTGACTCGACATTCTCTGCGTAGTCATAGATTCCTTCTGTCACCGTTTCGGCTGGGACTGCAGCCTCTCTCGTCTACAAAGTAACAAAGTAAAAAAAAAAAAACAACAACAACCAAAAAGAATTATTTATTAAAGAAATTAACCGGTATTCCATTCAGACGAGAGAGCCAGTCTGACTATTACTCACCCTGTTCTACACGTTGTTAGAGCTGAAAAATCAGCAGCTGTGTAGGGAGGTCATCCTGTATTTAGCGAACACTCACGAAGGTCCTTTTCTTATCCGTTTATACCTCAACATCAGTATGCATATTCTCCATACTGATCTCTATTTGTTTCCTTTGGTCTTAACAAGGAGAATTTGATTAAGAATGAGGAGCTTCTCTAGCTGGTAATCATTTACTTTAATCTCGTGACCTTAATGTTTGATTCGAGGGTGATACTGCGGGGAAAATTAGATGCTGGTCATTCCTAAGAGGTTAAAGGTTTACATACTTTCAATCTCAATGATCCTTTGACATGATACTGGTACAAGAGACAGATACAAAGTAACGACCTCTCCAGGTGCACAGTTTATCTCACCTCAGATTCGTCGTCTTCAAATGTCTCTACTGTTTCACTTGGAGTCAGTTCAGAATTGGAACCTAGCCATTCCTGAAATCGCTGTAAAAACATAAACGAATGGATAAAGAAGCAACGAGACAAAAATACGCAGTCCGAGACACGAGAAACAAAGAAGTAAAGTCATAAGTGAAAGAGCGAGCTCGCGGAAAGGAGAGTTAAAAAACATACCGATAACAGATTGAATAACAAATAAAGCGACGACAAACGAAACAAACCCTAGATATTAAACTAAAGTATCCTTACTGCTTGCTGCAGAGGCCCTCCTTCAGCACCAACTGAGTCCTCAGTTAAAAATCTTGTTACCAAATCTTGTAGAGCGTACAACGCACGCTGCCTTAAGTAATCTGATGTTAACAGCTGTAGTTCTCTGAACAATTCGAGCTGGAGAAAAAAAATTAGCGCCACATTTTAGCCATACTTAGACTTTTTAATGTAAAGTTAGGTGATAAGCAGAGTGAACTATGTACAAACACTATCTTGCTTAGTGTTGACTAATAATGCGAGAAGGGGCATGCGCATGCGCATGAACGCCTTATAATTCGGTGACCAGACTAAAAAGGAGGTTACGTATAAACCCTAGATACTTCGCCACTAGCGGAGTCTTTGCCAGTTCTTATTTTCAACATTAAATACAAGAATTAAAAAATGGAATAAAGTTCAATCAGCGCTTACCAAGAAATGTGGTCTGGATTCGTTCAAAGAAATGAGCGTTGCAACTTCGGAATAAATAGAGTCTCTGAGTGCTTCAAAAAGTGAAAACTCGCTGCCTGCCTCTGATGCCCTGCAGGATTTCAGTACGATGCATTAATAGGTTAAGATAACTAAGTATATGTATCAGAAACGTAGTATCAAATTGAACGAATTGATCCTACCTATCTGCCTCTTGCCAAGACCTAAAGAGTTAAAATGAGGAAGAAAGGAAACAGTGTTTTACTCAACTTTGCTCCGAACATTTTCAATGAAAACTAAATGATTGCATTTGATTATCCCTAGTTTACATTTAATTTGGTCGCCATGTTATCTAGGCTATTAAAATGACAAAACTACGAGTCGTTTGGCATCGCCATCCTTTTGTTTAAATCAAATTATTAAGACATACCGTAAACTGTCGTAATAAGCCCTAGGCTGAAAAAAAAATTCTTAACGTATTCTGGATGGAGGGCTACAAGTCCAATTGTGAGGTAATTGTCTGTAATTGTTTATAATTAAATCTACCTACGGAATTTTCATTCATTCAATTATCTGAAACAATTTTTTAGTTGTAAAACGGTGAGCGAAGTCTTCAGTCCCACTACAAATACGCTCTCCGTAAGTCTTTGCAAGTATGTTCAATGTGGTCATTTGTACAGTAAATCGCACTACACAAACCGATGGAATTCAACGAGAAAAGGCCGCACTAAATTCCCATTGTGAAGATAGTGTCTCATTTGACTTTAGTTTTCGGTGGAAGAAAGACCAGATTTTATACACGCCATTGCAGCAAACAAACGAGCAGAGTCCCACAACAACATACATTTTAACCCTTTAACTCCCATGAGAGACCAAGACAGACTTTCTCCTTACAACATCAATACAATATCAACCAGGTAAGTGAGGAGAACAAGAAAAATATCAATTTGAGGATAATTAGTTGATGTAATATTTAATTCTCTGAGCTAACAATATAAGAATTGTATGGTTGAAAGTAAGAAGAGTTACAAATTTGATCTGGGAGTAGAAGGGTTAATTTATTTACAACTACTTTCCTTACCATTAACTGACTGATCAGAGGTATTCTAGTTCGTACATTAATCATCGATGAAAGTGAATAATACTTTCCGTGAGATCATTGAATACTTTTGAAGAAAAAATTGTCGTGACAGTAATTAAACTTGAGTTTGTGTGCCAAACCAGTACCGTTTTTTGTTGTGGTTGCCTTTTTTTATCAAGAGTGTACATGCACTTTGCTTTGTTACGCGCTCTATGATCGACAGGTGTCAGATCGTGACAGATACATGTAAAAAAAAATTTGTCTAAGTTTGTTTGGAAGCCTTTTGAATCAACTTTATCATTACACAAATAAAATCGTCTCGGTGAAGCCTCTCTTTAATTTGCGTTACCTGTTTTAACTACAATTTACTCGCTCAAAAATTGTTCGGTTTATGGAGGACCTAACCGCAATTACAGCCCTAAATCATTCGGGTTCTTTTAGTACGCATTTCAATAAGTTTAGGTGTCGAGGCCGTAGGCCGGGGGCCTACTTAAGACAGAGGGAAAAGTTTTTCTCAATACAGACCTCCCGGCTGGCGAATAAAAGATATATGTTCGCTTACCCTTTTGCAACATCCTGTGCATCCCCAGGCACACTTGAAGCTCTTGAAGACGTCTCTACTGACTCAGCTGCGAGTTTTTGGGCTAAACTGAATCCTGCACCCCTTGAGGCTGATTTATCTTTCTGTGCTAGGTCGGCCGCGGCCGCTGCTCTAAGAGGTGTGTTAAACGTGCGACCAATCACATCTGGGCTGCTCCCTGTTTTCGGTACGTTTGCACTTGTAGATATCGGTTCTGAAAGATGCACAAAGTGCACTGATTCATGACTATATATATATAAAGACGCTCAAAAGTCACACCTTGGATTTAACGAAACATTCTTGCTTGTCTTCCGTATAAAAACTAGAGCCGTGAATAATTGACTAAACAACACGAGAAAGTTCACACGTGACAAATTAGGGAACCATCTTCTGCCCACGGTTAAATGTCAAATCCAGCATCACTGCATATATCTACCTTGATAAGAACTTGGATCATATTTCCGTTCAAGTCTAGCATTACCAGGAGACAGACCCACTCCTGTCGCGCTAGGTCCCACCTCTCGAACTACCATTACAGGGTTTCCCGTGCCTGACGAGGTGGGTGGAGGGGGAGCAGGTTCAACAGGATGCCCACGGTGTGAAGTAGACTTTGGACTTGGTATGCCTGTGTCTGGGTTCACACTGAAAGTTTCCTGCATAGCTTGTCGTGGTGGATCAGTAGATGTGGTTTGCTGGAAAGACAAAACAAACTGCATCAATGACGAAGGGACTAATGATGGTGATTGTAAATCCCAAAGCTTTATAACAATATACATTAACCAAATAGTGAATGAAACAACTCGAAAAATGTTCAATTAGCGAAATGAATGGATAGTTTCGTGCTAATAAATTGCTCAGAAAAATAGAATTCATCGGAAAAGGAAGACACGAAATATTTCATTTGAGACATGTTATTTGTAAGTCACATGCACTCTCCAGTCAAAAAATCATTCTGATTATTTCGTTGACCATCCACTCATTCATTTATGTACGTATTCAGAGAATCACGTATCTATTTACTCATTAATTTGTCCATTCATTCAATTTAGTTCAAATAACTATCATTTTCTTGCTGCAATATAAGTTTGAATTTTATCATGTAACGGTCACAGTTATTTTAACGATTTTCCTTCCAAACGCAACATTGTTGGGTTACTTATGCCGCGTGTTACTTAATGCACAAGACGGTTCCATGGCAATTTTGCAAAAACTGCTCTTTTTTTAATCCTATCCCTAGAACGTAAAGACTGCTACCCACCCACCTGACCAAACTGAGGATACCAAGAAGTTCTGAACACAGGTGCGGAAGATGGCGGTTGATATGCACTGGTAAAAGGTGACTGGCTAACCAGAGGCGCAGATAAGGGAGGCTGCAAAACACTATGCGACGGCAGACTCATGAAGGAGGGAGACGCATTATTTAAAACGCTAGGAGTCACAGTTTGAGGTCTGTGTGGTGAAGGATTGTGGTCACTTGCTGCAGCGGAGGGGTTGTACGTAAACAGCTGCTGGAATTGATGTTGAAGGGTCGCCATATCTTGATGTTGCTGCTGAAGCTGTGAATAACACTGGTTGAGGCTTTGCAGTATCTGGTGTTGCTGCTGCATATAACGCTGTTGATCAAAGAAGCTTTGAAGTCCTTGATAAGCTTCTTGTTGCCTTTGTTGATATTGCTCGAACGGATTTCCGCCTGAACCGTAGAAAATAAGGCTGGGTATCGATAATAGTTCAAAGAAGAATTAAGTAACATTATGTACGTCCAGAATAAGTTTGTTGCTAATGAATTGACATTCCCGAATCAGTGGAGTTATCATCTTCGAAGGATTACATGTTAAGATTTTGAAAAAGTTAACGATCGTTCATTGGCGTGAACGTCTCGTTTCGGGAAAATCTTACTTAGATATGACTTCGACTGTCAGTTGCGTGAAAAGCGATTTCCTAAAGTGCATTTCGTCATCGCGCAAGCAACTCCGCCAGTTAAGCAAGATACTCATGAAACTACATGAAGGGAATGGATATGAATAAGTTTACCGATACTAGGTCCTGGGATGTTACCCAAATTCGGGCTTGACGCTGGTCCGGAGGGAACACTTCTGCCAATCACCGTAGACACTAGCATCTGTTGATCTCTGAGGAGTCCGTTGCACAGAGTGGAGAGGTCGGACACCTCCTGGTGCAGACGCTCACAGTGCTGTTCCCATGCCTGCCGCTCCATGTTAAACTGTTCCTGCTCTCGTTCCTTGATGAGCTGCTCAGCTGGCGTGAAGTTCTAAAGAAGAACATTGAACACCTTTAGCTATTTCAGATCGTAACAACCACAAAGGTTGCAGCGTATCATGAATCCGACATTAAAACTTTACTTTAGAAAATTAAGAGGAACTGTAATTGAGGTGCTTACGCTTACTAGAGAGATCCTTCTAGCAGGGGTTTCAATTCCTTTTTCCATAAACGACTGCCGATGGTGTAGTCGGCGGCTGTGCCACAAGGCAAGCTAAACGTACGAGGGCTCAAAGGCGACGGGAGACCGCCAGTAACCGGCTTTAGGTGAAACCCCTGATGCCGGTTTAACAAATCTCAAGGCAATATTTTCTTGATATATCTTGAAGTTAGCATCTAGCGGACATTCTTTCTCTGCTTCCCACAACATTCACGGTTCTGACTAGATCAAACTCAAGTTTATCAACAAGACTTGCTATTCACTCACTACTCCTCCGATCTACACAATTCTGCTTCCTCACTCACTCGTAAGTCTCTTTCATTTCAGACTCTTATCACTGCGGTTCGTATGCCCAAAAAGACAATCATTGACTTTTTTGTTTGAATTTTAAGAGTTTTATGGAACGTACCTCTTGTCTTATTCTTCCTCGTGAATTCCTATCAAAATAGAATGTTCTTGGCCAGTCTTCAAAAGTGAGGCCTCTCTCTCTTTCCCTTTTTCGAGCTCCACCTTAAGTAAGAGTAGAGATTGGTATTACACAGATGTGACACGAGTGCTTACATTTCTCGTTACCCAAAAGTTAGATCTAAAATGGACTTCGGATATTTCTAAGGACACGCACAAGTATGATCGTAAATCCATGTGTTGTTAGACGAACACTTAATGTCTTGACAAAAGCACAGAGCGAGACTGCAGAGTACTGCAAAAGGTAATGAGAGGTAAGTCACGCCACCTTGTTTGGTAAATTAGGGAAAAACTGTGAGGGAGGAAAAAAACTATATTTCAACGTATTCCGTCTGAAACACAAACCAAGAATTGACTGTATACTTTGTATGTAATTAACAGAGCTGGAGCCCAAAAATACACCTTGTCCCTCATGTCTCGATTTTTGCTTCTATAAAACTGAAACTCCAATCTCGCAAATTTGGAGACACAAGCTTTCATTTTCAAATATAAGTGTTTGCTCATTGTCTGGGAATCAACGAGATAGTTGCTTGACAGAACGCTGAACAAACAAATTGCGCAGCCAGAAAGTAAGAACGACTCTTAAAGCTTAGAAAAACAGGATAAATATATCAAATAAAAATCTTCATTAACTAGTAAACGACCGCAAATATTTAAGTCATACCAGATATTGCCGTGCCATCAATCTTGCGTTTCTTGCCGCTACTGGGTTGGGAGGTGCTATCTACACTGCCCCTAAAGGTGGTCATACGAGGAACTCTCTCTCTGCCTCTAAACACTGCCTGAGCTGATCCTGAGAAAGCCTCCGGTTCAAGACGCTCCTCTTCCTCCTCCTCGGCTTGAACGATTCCGTCGGGATAATCATCTTCTACTTCCACGGCGATCTTTAATGAAACAAAGTTAAATGTTGCACCAAGAGAACATGCTTTAACTTCGTAATTTGCAAACCGGTTAATCCGCAATCGTTGAACGTTTCAATAAAGTATCACTCCCAAGGACACAAAAAGAGACAAATTTAAGGGAAAAAGTAGCCAAACGAGTCAATTGACGGTAACGATTGAGACAAGAAGTCGCTACTGAAGAGGAACAAAATATCATCGTTGATAGATTTTATGATTTTGAAACTTAAGAATAGTGTGTCATTTCTGGAGTGAGCAAGTCTTAAGCATGTATAAGATTCTGCCGGACGGATGCGTTCTCCAGCGATTTTAGTGTTTTTACCACTATCATATCAGGAGTTTTGTCAGCTTTTTTCCATAAGTAGCTGCCGATGGTGTAATAGGCAGCTGTACCCGGAAAGGGGTCGTAATGTGAAACCCAAACACGAGAGCCTGCTCGCAAGCTAAACAGACAGAGATACCAAGTCTTAAAGGCGGCGGTCTGTAATCGGCTTTTAATAAAACCTCTAAATAAAACAGTGCGTGAAAAAACAAAGAGCAGGCAAAGAAGATCAACATCGATCTAAAGTGCCATTCCTACCACGCGCTACTGCAAAGTCATATTCCTTTCAGGAAGCCACAAGTTCACACATGCTTTACCTGTGCCACCTCGTTCTCCTCGTCAGATTCATCGGCGGACACTGCTGAATCATTCTGGGTACTGCTAGGTTGAGTTGAGCCGCCCCAGGTAGCAGTAGTAATGTCAGCACTCATCATACTCACACCAAACCCTTCATCGATGTCACCACTCCTTCCACTCCTCACAGAGTATGTCCCACCTTCGGACAAATCATCGAGCCCCGACTTCTTTCGCTTCTCTAGAAATTTTTGTTTTCTTTTCTTTAGCTTTTCCTCGTGCAGTTCTCTCTGACGTCTCAGTTCTGACCACACCAACGAACTTGGACGAGCTGTAATCAAATTCACATGAATTTTTGACACTTTCGCCAACGACTTTGTTTTTTTTTCCTTCAAGATTTCTACTACATTAGCCTGTCACTTCATCCCTACTTTCGTTTGGATGGATATCTTTATTACCATTTTGCAATAAGGATGGGTCTTATTTGCGCGCGCGCTGCAAAACCAACAAATCTTAGGCCAAGGGCAGATCTTCACCTTAGTTCCACAAGTGACCCAAGAATGTGCTGCTCTCGTTTCTCTTCACTTTGTAATTAGGATAAGAAGATTAGTCTTAGGCTCTATGATTCCTTTGGTTTTGGTTTCATGACAGTCAGTCTAAAACAACTCTAACTTCATAGTCGTGTGCGAGGTCATTCTGTCTACTGTGCCGTGTATACACTACTGACTAACACACCTCTTGGGGGTTCACTTGAGTCTACAGATCTTGCAACCCTCAGGTCAGAACCATAAAATGGTGTCTGCGTTGAAATTTCCTTGTTCACTGGCGCGTGGATCATGACTGGTCTCTTTGAGAGAGCTCCTCCGCTGGTGGCAAATGCACCAGTTCTGAGCATTATTCCTGCAGTAGCGGGTTTTTGTGGCTTTACTTGGGAAGCTTGAAATGTCTGAAAGAGAAAGCCTTGGTCATAAAATGGTTTGCGAGCATTTCAAATCCAAACTGGATTGAAGGAAGCGATAAATTCGATCTATAAATTAAGCTCACTTTCGTTTCTTAAAGGAGTTTTTGATCAGTTACGAATAGAATAACTTCGCCCCCACCTTAACCGTTCCTGAGCGGCGAACTTGTCGAGGTTGAGCGAATCGGCAAAATCTCCAGATACGCTCAGAATGGTTTATTACGAGAGTGATACAACACATAGAAGATGATTTACTTAAGATTAAATTTTTAAAAAAAGTATTAACGATAATTAACATTATCGATGCTCAACGATATGATATGACAACAATGTTCTTACTAAGAAAAAATTATTGACACATGCCCCTGAAAGAAACGTTTCCATCCTTTTTCACTCAGTTGTGTACAAGAACAAACACGTAAATCGTGTAACTTAATCTCCCCATACAAGACCCTCGATCGTCTAGTTTAGCTGCTAACATTCTAACATCTCCTTGTAAATAATGTATGAAGAAATTGGCGTTGTTTCTTGCTTAAGCCTTTCAATTCTCGCCCCGACCAAACGCTGCAGATTGTTTTGAAAATGATAAGAGGAAGTTACATGGGGATTACTTCTGGAAATGTTGATTGATGACTCTATAGCAATAAATAGAAGACTAGGAGCCTATCCACACCCAAAACCCGCCTCCCCACAACCGCACGTGCGGCTGTGAGTGTTATGGTAACCCATTACTTTTATACCTGTGTTGACGCTGTCTTGTGATTTCCAGACTGCCTGCTTATTCTAGCCAGTTCTTCCTGAACTTTCAGTAACCTTTGTCTTTCCTGCTGCAGTTGTTCAAGCTCTGCCGTTTGTTTCTGCAAATACCTCTGGTACACTGCTTCCTGGTCACTACCTGTTACAAGGAAATCAAGTCAGTTCATCTTACATACCTCAAGAGTTTATTCGAATATTGCCTATTTTGTATTATAAACATTGATTATCACTTTCAACAAGTTGTTCCATAAATGTTGTCAAAAGGTTGTCGCTGAATACAAATAAACCGTCATTGCAGAAATACGTTGTCATCACTTATTCAGTCGCATGATTATACCGGAATCTTTCGAAAGTAGCGGGCCTTGATGCATACTGAAGCGTTTTTGAAATGCTACGTGTAAATGAACCACCTGGGGGTAAATAATTTCCGTTACCCGGCACTCATTCTGCCCACAGACTGTCAGAAATTTAAAATGTGTATTGAACGTGAAAATGTGATAGTCTTCTCCTGGAATAAGAAACAATTAGCAGTTTCAGTAACTGAGGACGTAAATTAGTACATGGATATTTTATTTGGATTGTTCATTGATAAAACGGGTAATCACTTTCAAGTTGAGGTCGCAACTTTGGTTGGATCTTTTCCTTAGGGGTAAACGTTCTCCGTTCTCCGTAGTCAACAACGGTCGAGAACTTTCCAGCACAAACAAGAATACAAATACCTCCAGCTACATTTCACATCTCAGAGAAGGAAAAGCGGTGTCTTTAACGAAACAGCTTAAGTACACCTAGAAACTAACCCTCGAGATCCAGCATTCTGTTTCTATTGAGAGCTGCTGCAACTGGAACATCTTCACCAGCCTCTTCGTCCTCAGTAGCCGTAGAGACTTCTTCACCATCATTCTGCACATTCCCTCGCTCATTGTCATAGGAAGCCTCTGATCTGTTGCTTTCATCTCCATCCTCGTCATTTTCATCTTCTTCTGCTTCCTCGTTGTCATCATCGTCGTCGTCATCATCATCATCATCATCATCGAAATCGTCTTCATCGAAGCTTAGCTCTGCCAACTCTGCTGGTAGCGTTTGAGAGGATTCCGGAAACTAAACAAAAAAATCTTTCCATCACGGACAGTTTGTCACTTACTTTCATCATGCTCAAAGTTACATAATACTTTTTAAACCATGTCCGTGGAAAATACCACGTCTACCTGGGGAACATTTGAGTGCACATTTTTCCAGGTCGAAAATACACATGGAACGCTAACATGGTATTAAAAAGCGAGTGGTATTAACGGAAGAAATCATCCAATACATTCACAAACACGCGGGCACGCACGCACACGCAAGCACATACGCAAACACAAGCCTCTAATTCGCTAAACCTTTCGGCAATGACCAGTACAGAACACTGTGTCAGGGTGTTGTTTGGATTTCATAAAAAGAGTGTTAACATATAAGTGAGTAATATTGCACTTTGCATTACTTTATCAAAAGTTAGCTATACCTGCTGAATCTTCTTGACAAGTTCTTGAAGCTGTTTTAACTTCTGCTTGGCAGAATTCAGTTTCCTTGGCGATATTAAATGAAAATAGAAAATGAGAATATATTTTACTGGTTTCAATACACGAATGGAAAGCAAAAACAAACCCTAAGCAACAAAAAGAGCAAAACAAAACAAAAATCATGAGTAGAAACGCTTTCCGCAATTTTAGCAGTCATTTTAGATCTATAATCCAGAAAAAAATGAGACGCTACTCCAAAAGCATACGCGACAAAAAGTCTATTTTTTTATCAATAAGTTCCACTCATCGCATTGTTAAGTTGATTATATCAACTGCAATCATTACCTTCGCTGGTAACATTGTTCGGGAGAAAAGGCTTCGTTACTTCCCGTAAACACATATGAAGAACTATCAAGTACGGGCTTTTACCATACGTTTTCGAAAGTAAAGGGGTCCCAAAGACCAATGAAAAGGATTGAAGCCTGAAATATAATAATAAAATCAGTCTATAACGATTAAAAATGTTCTCAACTCACCTGACTTTAGCCTGAAATTCAGGATCATCTTGCCAAGCTAAGGCATTAACACTTGAACTACCGCCACTCACTGCACTTTCAGCATCAGTGTCTGTCTGGGTCTCTGCCTCAGAGTCTTCCTCTGCAGCCTGTGTCTGCACAGGTTCATTGTTCACCCTAGCGGGTGACGTCTACAAAGAATGCGAAACACTTAAAAATGCTCAAAGAATATCGAAAGGAGAGCAGAAGTGTCAAAATTAATATTTGGTGCAATACTTCAGTAATATCAACGTTGCTTTCATCCTTGCCAAGGAAGCAAACAGCCCACTGAAGCTCATTATTTTGTGCAAATCATTTAGCACAAAGGCCAATACTACATATTTTATTCCGCCTGTAGTCCACCGCATCTTTTCGTATTATATACATCATAAGATTTTTACAACAGATACAGGTAAGCAACGTAAAATGCACTTATACATTCCCCACAGGTACATACCTGAACATTTTCGTTTGTTTGTTTAAACAGGTGAGTAACCCTTGCCCTTGCTTCTTGAAGTTGCCTTTGTACAGGAGAAATGAAACATGTTCTAGAAACTTATCTCGATGTTCAGCTTAAACTGAAAAATTTTAATTAACCATGCTAACCGGCAAAATTTTTACAACTAAGGGAGAACCTTGGATTGTACAGAAACAGTCCTTCAATGAAAAGTTAAAGAGGGAGAACATTCGAAAACTGAAGCAAACTGACGAAAGGTAAACCTAAAATCACCTCCTTAAGGACGTTTGTAATCTGCAAAGCAACCACATCTGTCTCCTTTTAGTCGTAAAGTGAAGCAAGAATATACTGGATGAACGCAACATAGGCTCCCTTTTTGAAATCAGCTAGGAAACTACCCATGCTCGTAAACGCAAAGTTCAAATGTTCTTGAACTATGTGTTATAAACGCGGCTTTACCAGTAGATGCATTTTGCGTTTAGTACCATTGACACTAAAAAGCGCCTTGTCTAGAGCACGAGTCTTGTGTGAAATCAAAATATTTGCAAAGGTGCAAGGGACTTGTGTTATAAATCTTTTCCTCAAAATTGCAGATCATGATCCTCGAGAAGCTCTTCGAGCATCACGAAACTCGAATGTCGAATGTCAAAACTCGCTTCATGAAACTGTTGGGAATTGTACTTGTATCATTAGAGCGGTACTGTACTCTGCCGACTGCATTTTACCTTATTTTTGCCATTAGATCAGGGTCTTCCACACCAGCACTAAGCATCCACTCAATACTACTGAAGTCCTCGTCGGTTCCACCAGTTGCTCCTCCGACCGCACCTTCCATTTCTTCCCTTCCTCACTGCTCTGAACAGGTAAGCTGAGACGTTCTCTTTCAGGTTGGACTTGTGCCCCATTCTCTGGTCTGTCCACCTCACTTAAAGATGGCTGGAGAATACAAAAAAAGTAATGTGTAAATCATGTCTGGCTTCTGTCTAGATGCAGCACTGTTAAAGCTGAAAATAAAATTATATTCAATGGAAAAGATATAAATACATTTGTTTCAGTATGCAAATATTTCATAGAGTTTTTATGAGTTACTTGCACTAGTTTTTGATACTAGTTGTGTTAGAGCTTTCAACTGTACCCAGTTTATTGATTTTCTGATATGACAATAAATTTCTGTCTTTCATTTCCTTGTACAAAATCACCAAACGTGTCTCAGAACCAAAAATATGTGGATAATGAAAGAGTGTCGGGTTAATGTAAGGATAGAGAGACGTAGCTGAACACAATGGTAACTTCTCACCTGATATTGACCAATCAATTCCCGCAACTGGCTCAAGCGATCTCTCACTTCTTGCAAGCTTCTGTGTTAGAAAAAGAAAATTTATGATGGGCATGCATAGGTCTCAAGCAGTTATAAAAGTACCACGTCTCAAATACACGAAGCAGAGAGTACTTAATATTCTAGGTTAGAGTTCACATGCCACACCAAGAAATACCCCAATGCTCATTACTCTTAATTGTGCACTGTTTGGTACATGCAGCATTTGATGTACGGTACCCTTAACCCTTTACACCCTAATATCTGTATGCAAATTCTCCATGCTGTTTCCTATACATTTCCTAAGGTGTTGACGAGGAGAATTTGTCGAATAATCAAGAGCTTCCTTATTTGGTGATCATATCCTTTTTGCTCATGACCTTGATGTTTTTTTCAGCGGTGATATCGTGAGGAGAATTTAGATGCTAGTCACTCTTGGGGATCTAAGGGTTAAGCCAGGCTGTTTGTTCCAATGCAAGTTTTTTACGGCATTTTTTCTCAACAAAGTCAAAATGCTACATGTTGTACGTGAAGGATCCTAGGCTCTTACACGTTCCTGTAAGAGTGACAATCTAAAAAGAAGAATTGGATGATGTTGCCTAGGTAAGGCTGAGCGTACACATAAAAAGACCCTTGTGGTAGTTTATGAAGTGGCCAGCATCGTATGGTCCTTACTTTAGTTTTTCGTGAACTTCCAGAGCCTCTAGGATACGCTCATCATCTAGCTTTTGAGATGTAGTGGCGAGTGGTTCATCCTCTTCTTGTTTAGACTCATTTACACTTGCACTTGCACCACCAGCAGCGTCTAAGGATTCTAAGAGACCGCACTCTGTTACGATCACGAAAACCAACTAATCACTTATGTTAGGTTACGATGAACTACGCTACCAGCCTCGAAATGCGCAGCCTATCCACGGCTCTGTTGGATGAGTGATGCTGCTCCTCCTCCTGAATGACTTGGCTTCTCCATCCCAGAAACCCCCCATATCACCAGCCAATACGTGCAATTTCCCCACGGTACTAAGCAGAACACCACAGTAAACCAGAAATTTGTTACATTCCTCCTTCTCTAAGAAATCTTTGACGGTTTAGTTATGACACACTCTTTATGATCCCTTTTTCAAGGACAAGAATATCACAGTAATGTTTCGAAAATGTACACAGTACCTTTTCTTAATTGTGCTTCTTTGAGAGACTGCAACTCTTTTAGCAAAGTGTCCATCTGCTCCTTTTTTGCCTCTAAGACCATCAACTTATTCTCAAGTTCCAACCTTTCTTGAGTTGCATTTGCAAGAGCTAAAGCAGCCTAAAATCAAACAGAAAGTACCAATTTAAAGGGATTTCCGCAGGTACTTTTAATTACAATAATATGTGTCAAATGGAGGGAGACAAGTGATAAAGTACTTTTTTCTTTGGCGGATAGGAAATAGAGAGGCACTTGAAAATGAGAGAGATATTCATAGGATAGGTCCACAAACCTTCACCTCTTTCACTCTCAAGATCTACAGTGAAAATTTAAATTCTCTTCACTGTTTGCCATACATTTCTTAAGACTTTAGTTCTGAGAATTTGTTGTTAAATCAAATAGCATTCCCTTACTGATATATGCCCTTATTTCAAACATCTTTCTTCTCTGTGATGAGTTGAAAGTGAGAGAAAAAATTCCGTTTTGGTTACTCCTGGGAGTGAGAGGGTTGAAGCAACCCTGTAATTGGGTGTTGCTGTGGCCACAGAAATGCGTTAGCCTTTAAGATAGTAAAACGTACAATTTACGTGTACACTGTACCTCACTATCTGCAACTTCTGAACTCATCTCTGGATGAGGTGCCTATAAGTATTCAAACAAAAATAGTCCTCAGTTAAAAAAAAAAAAACAACCATAACAACAAAAACAAACACTAACTACGGTAAATAAGAAGAAAACACACAAACATGAAAAACATTAAAATACTTGTTCCACTGTTGGCTGATTTGTCCTCTTTGGCCCATGGTTCTCCCTTTCATCTGTTTCCTTCTCATCCCCAGAATCAGCAGCCCTCCACTGCACCAAAACATCAATCATGAATGTACATATAAGTTAACCCTTTAGATGCTTACCGGTACTTCAGTAAACCTAGTCTCCTTAATGTTCTCCATAGATTTCTTTTGGAACTCACAGGGAGAATTTGTTCAACAATTGAGACCTTTCTTTGGTGGTAGCACCCCAACTACCAAACAGGTTTGACATCAGAGGATGGCAGCTTGATGCCCAGATGACATCACTCCGTTAGTTGTGGTCACATATTGTGGGGTTAGTGACTTGCTATTAGGGGTGGTGAGGTCACTTTGGAAGTACCAATATTCATGTGTTCTGATATTTTTCAGCAATACATCCGGAACTACTCAATCAAAAATATATATATACAATTTGGAGAGGTGATGTAACTTGGGCAGTTAGTTATGTGGGATATTTTTGTTTGGTTAGGTAACAGTTATCATGGCAATTGCTGCTAAGGCAACCACGAAAAAACCTGATTTTGTGAACTAAAGTTTAAATGCCAAAAAGAATAAATGGCATATGTTGTTCACTTGAAAAATGTCTTACCATTGAAGTTGCTTTATATAAAGAGGAAAAGATCAACAATCACACTACTTGAAGGAAATTCAGTCACTTGCGGAGTCAAAGCACATAAGCTTTTGATGAAAGCTTTGCTGAGGATGAAGTGGAAGGTCTTAGGTGCCTGGACCTCAAACAAGAAGCAAGTTCTGACAACAACATATCTGCACATTTTTAATAGTGATATATCGAAACACCTTCATCTCTATTACAGCAGATTTAAGAAACAGAGTTCATCACCACAGTTCAAGTTTTGGGGACAGCTACAAAAAACATGGTCCGGCTTCCCTAAAGTTCATTAGAATTGAGCATGAAGGACACTAGGAGATAAATCCTTTGTATGTCAATCGGGAAGTAAATGAGTTCTGATAAGAGCTGCCATTCACAAAAAGTTTGTAAGTCGATGGGCAGTCAGTGAGCTCTGATAAGAGTTCCTGATGTAAGAATTTTACTGGTCAACTGGGATGTCAATGAGCTTTGATGAGACCTTATGATCGTAAAAAGTTTATTGGTCAACTGGGGTGTCAACGAGCTCTGTTAAGTGCTCCCAAAAGTCAATAGGCTCTGATAGGACTTCCCGATTGCAAGACTTTTATTAGTCAAATGCGAATTCACTGAGCTCTGAAAGGAAAATCCAATTTCAAGAAGTTTGTGGATCAATTGGCAGTAAATGAGTTCTGATAAGACCTCCCAATTGAATTGCAAGAAGTTTGTTGGTTGTTTTGGGAGTCAGTGAACTCTGATGGGAGCTCCCAATCACAAGAAGTTTATTGTTCCATTTGAGTATCAACGAGCTCTCACAAGAACTCTCGATTTCAAGAAGTTTCTCGCCAACTGGGAAGTCAATAAACACCAAAAAGAGCTCCCAACGGTAATGAGTATCAGAGTTGATTGGCGAGTTAATGAGCTCTGAAGTGAGCTCCCGATCTCAACAAGGTTGTTAGTCAATTGGGAAGTCAGTGAGCTATGATAAGGGCTTCCAGTTGCAACAACATTGTTGGTCAATTGGGGAGTCAATAGGCTCTGGTAAGATCTCTCAATCGTGAAGAGTTGATTGGTCAATTGGGAAGTCATGAGCTCTGATGACAGCTCCTGATCGCAACAAGTCTGTAGGTTGATTGGGGAGTCAATGAGCTCTGAAAAGGGCTCCCGATCGGAAAAGGGTTGTGTCAATTGAAGAGTAAATAAGCTCTAATAAGAGCTCTCAATCGCAGGGAAGTGGTTGGTTAATTGGGAAGTCAATGAGCTCTGATAAGCGCTTCCGATTGCAAGACGTTTCTCGGTCGATCAGGGAGTCAGAGAGCTCGAACAAGAGCTTCTAGTTATAACAAGTTTGTTGGCCGATCAGGGAGTCACTGAGCTCGTATAAGAGCTTCCAGTTACAACAAGTTGGTTGGTTGATTGGGGATTCAATGAGTTCTGATAAGAGCTACCAATCGCAACAAGTCTGTTGGTTAATTGGGGAGTCAATGAGCTCTGATGACTGCTCCCAATCGCCACAGGTCTCTTGGTTGATTGGGGAGTCAATGAGCTCTGAAAAGAACTTTTGATTACAAAAAGGTTCATCTGTCAATTGAAGAGTAAATAAGCTCTGATAAGAGCTTTAGATCGCAGGGAGTTGGTTGGTAAATTGGGTCGTCAATAAGCTCTAATAAAATAACTCAATCGCGAGGAGTTTGTTGATCAATTGGGGAGTTACTGAGCTCTGATAAGAGCTCCCAATCGCAAGGAGTTTGTTAGTCAATCAGGAAGTCAATGAGCTCTGATAAGAGCTCCCAATCGCAAGGAGTTTGTTGGTCAATCGGGGAGAGCATGAGCTCTGATAAGAACTCCCAATCGCAAAGAGTTTGTTGGTTTGTTGGGGAGTTAATGGGCTATGATAAGAACTCTCAATCACAACAACTTTGTTGGTCGATCGGGGAGTCAATCAGCTCTGATAAGAGCTCTTGATTGCAAGACGTTTCTTGGTTGATCAAGGAGTCAGAGAGCTCGAACAAGAGCTTCTAGTTATAACAAGTTTGTTGTCTGATCAGGGAGTAAATGAGCTCGTATAAGAGCTTCCAGTTACAACAACAAGTCTGCCATTTGATTGAGGAGTCAATAAGCTCTGATGAGAGCTACCAATCGAAACAAGTCTGTTGGTTGATTGGGGATTCAATGGGCTCTGATGAGAGCTCCCGATTGCAACAAGTATGTTGTTTGACGGGGGAGTCAATGAGCTTTGGTAAGAGCTACCAATTGCAACAAGTCTGTTGGTTGATTGGGGAGTCAATGAGCTCTGATAAGAGCTCCCGAGGAGGAGTACAACAACAAGTCTGTTATTTGATTGAGGAGTCAATGAGCTCTGATGAGAGCTCCCGATTGAAACAAGTATGTTGTTTGACGGGGGAGTCAATGAGCTTTGGTAAGAGCTACCAATTGCAACAAGTCTGTTGATTGATTGGGGAGTCAATGAGCTCTGATAAGAGCTCCCGATCGCAACAAGTCTGTCGTTTGATTGGGGAGTCAACGAGCTTTGATAAGAGCTACCAATCGTAACAAGTCTGAGCTCTGACAAGAGCTTCCGATTGCAACAAGTCTTTTGTTTGATTGGGGAGTCAATGAGCTCTGATAAGAGCTCCCGTTCGCAGCAAGTCTGTTGGTTGATTGGAGAGTCAGTGAGCTCTGATAAGAGCTCCCAATCGCAATTACTCTGTCGTTTGATTGAGGAGTCAATGAGCTTTGATAAGAGCTACCAATCGTAATAAATCTGTTGGTTAATTGGGGAGTCAATGAGCTCTAATAAGAGCTCCCAATCGCAAGTCTGTCGTTTGATTGAGGAATCAATGAGCTTTGATAAGAGCTACCAATCATAACAAGTCTGTTGGTTGATTGGGGATTCAATGACCTCTGATAAAAGCTCCCGATCGCAACAAGTCTGTTGTTTGATTTGGGAGTCAATGAGCTCTGATAAGAGCTACCAATCGCAACAAGTCTGTTGGTTGATTGGGGAGTCAATGAGCTCTGATAAGAGCTCCCAATTGCAACAAGTCTGTCGTTTGATTGGGGAGTCAATGAGCTCTGATAAGAGCTACCAATCGCAACAAGTCTGTTGGTTGATTGGGGAGTCAATGAGCTCTGATAAAAGCTCCCGATCGCAACAAGTCTGTCGTTTGATTGGGGAGTCAATGAGCTTTGATAAGAGCTACTAATCGCAACAAGTCTGTTGGTTGATTGGGGATTCTATGACCTCTGATAAGAGCTACTAATCGCAACAAGTCTGTTGGTTGATTGGGGATTCTATGACCTCTGATAAGAGCTCCCGATCGCAACAAGTCTGTTGTTTGATTTGGGAGTCAATGAGCTCTGACAAGAGTTATTAATCGCAGCAATTCAGTTGGTTGATTGGGGAGTCAATGAGCTCTAATAAGTGTTCCCAATCGCAACAAGTCTGTCGTTTGATTGAGGAGTCAATGAGCTTTAATAAGAGCTACTAATCGCAACAAGTCTGTTGTTTGATTGGGGAGTCAATGAGCTTTAATAAGAGCTACTAATCGCAACAAGTCTGTTGTTTGATTGAGGAGTCAATGAGCTTTAATAAGAGCTACTAATCGCAACAAGTCTGTCGTTTGATTGAGGAGTCAATGAGCTTTAATAAGAGCTACTAATCGCAACAAGTTTGTTGTTTGATTGGGGAGTCAATGAGCTCTGATAAATGCTCCCAATTGCAACAAGTTTGTTGGTCAATTGGGGAGTAACTGAGCTCCGATGGGAGCTTCTGATCGCAAGACATTTGTCAGTCGATTGGGGAGTAAATGGGCTTGGACAAGCGCTTCCAGTTATAACAAGTTGGTTGATTGATTGGAGAGTCAATGAGCTCTGATAACAGCTTCCAATTGCAACAAGCTCGGACAAGTGCTTCTAGTATTAAAAAGTTGGTTGGTCGATCAGGGAGTCAATGAGCTCTGATAAGAGCTCCCGATAGCAAGACGTTTGTCGGTCGATTGAAGAGTCAATGAACTCTGATGGCAGATTCCAATTGCAACAAGTTTGTTGGTTTGTTGGGGAGTCAATGGGCTCTGATAAGAACTCTCAATCGCAACAACTTTGTTGGTCGATCTGGGAGTCAATGAGCTCTGATAAGAGCTCCCGATTGCAAGACGTTTCTTGGTCTATCACGGAGTCAGAGAGCTTGAACAAGAGCTTCTAGTTATAACAAGTTTGTTGGCCGATCAGGGAGTCAATGAGCTCGTATAAGAGCAGCCAGTTACAACAAGTTGGTTGGTTGATTGGGGAGTCAATGCGTTCTGATTAGAGCTCCCAATTGTAACAAGTTTGTTGGTTATTTGGGAAGTAACTGAGCTCTGATCAGAGCTTCTGATCGCAAGAAGTTTGTTGGTCAAATGGGGAGTCAGTGAACTCTGATAAGAACTCCCAATTGCAACAAATGTGTTGGTTAATTGGGGAGTCCAATAATAATTGGGTAGTCAATAATTATATACATATATTTGGTTAAACAGAGCAGGAGATAGAGTATTGCTAAAAAACGTTCCTGAACCTACAAGAAGTATCTATGGTACTTCTGAAAGCACCCCCTTATAAATCAGAGTGTAGTAAGTCGCTGACCCTAAAATTTGTGAGTATGATGAGGCCATGATCTATGGGTATCAACCAATCATAATCCAATGTCAAACCTTTTCTGTAGCACAAGTGCTATGTAGTGCCTTTTTAGGCCTCTTTATGAAATTTTTCAACAAGTTAGTTGGTGATCATTTCCCTTGCTCTTGTGACCACAATGTGTGATTCAGGGGCAAAAAGGTAAGGATAAGGTAAATGCTAGTCACCCGCAGGGGATCAAGGCATCCAAGCCTGTACACACTGAATGATTGCTCTAAGGTGTAGTAAGACTCCACTATGTTTATTCTGTAATTCCTTTAGTCACTGCTGCACATTAATAACTACTTTTCTTAAGTGGAGGGCTTAACTTTCTTCATTGTTTAATTGGTAATTGTTAATTTCGCAGTCAAAAAGTCATCTTGTGTCTGTGTTTTAATTTTCATCTCGAGGATAGTACTTTAACTTAAAATTATTATGAGTACACAAGCGCCAAGACAAATAAAAACAATTTTATAATGAGGGTTTTCATTGAAACAGAAAGAGAGCAATTATTTTTTATGTAACCAAACCTTTTCCTTGTGTTTTCTGAGAAGGTTGATGAGCTCTAATTCTTCAGGTGTAAACCGCCTGTCATCCGTCAGAACACTTGTGCTTGGTCTCTAAACAATAAAATAATACAAACATGTACAGTACATACTAATGTAAACCTTCAGTACAATAAAATGGCTTTCAATACCATAGGAAAGTACATGTATCACACTCAAGAAAGTCAGGGCCCCAAGTCTTCTCTACTTTGGTCACAAAAAAGTTATAAATGGCCACCCAATTATCATTTTAGTTTGCCAAATGGCAAATTTGATTAAAGGGTGGGCTTGGAGTGCTGTCAAGTGATACAATTCTCCAGGAAAGTTAAACAAACTGCTACTTCCTTTGTTGAATTTGTATTGATTTAAGGTACCAACTAACTGTAAATCATGTTTGCACATAAAGGAAATCATACTTTGTGTAATTATCAATACAGTATACAATAGCCAAATGAGAGTAATTTGTACATTTTAGAAAAATGGAAATATGTACATGTACAATGGCTGGCTTCAAAGGCACCCAAATAAGGCAATTTAGTTTTTGTTCCTTTATAGTGATCCTAAACACTTTGAAGGTACTTGAAGTAAGCAGTAAACCATATTATTTTTAATGTAACTATATTCTGCAATACCTCAGGAACAACATCCAGTTGTGCTGAAGCTTGGGAAGTTCCTGATGCACCTCTGCTTCTGCTAGGTTCATCATCTTCACCTCCAATTGCACCTGGTTCATCAGGGTCTACTCTGCCCTTGAGTTGGATAAGATGAACTTATGTTATCCAGGTAAAACTCACTGAACATGCTGTCAGGAATTTTCTGAAAGGGGCTGAATATTAAGACAATATGCATGCTCATTCAAGGAAAAAGAAAAAAATATGTTATCAATGAGGCTGCATACATTTGTTTTAAATGACTGGAGCCTCAAGTAAGGCAATTGATAAGTTGCCATGGAAACCTGCTCGCTGCTGAGAGGATACTTCCTATTGAAACTTAGAAAGTACCTGCTCCCTAAACAATGTTTTAAGGAAAGTTGCAGCATACAGTGTAATATGGTTTACTGTTTCTCAAGTCATAAATTAATCAGCATACAAAAAACATTAAGGTATGCAATAAATAAAAATACAAAATATAAGCTCCAACATAATTTTTGGTTAAAGCTAAGTAAATTAGTGAGTTCAACATACTTCTTCCTCTGCCTCAGCCAAACGCATTTCTGCATCACGTTGCAACGTCAACAGAGTAGCTTGTCGGGTTTGTAGTTCCTTCAGCTGTAATATCAATAACCAAAGTTTAGTAAAAGCAGTAAAGTTAAAACAGTATGCCACCATTTCTGCATCAGGGAAGAATTTTTTTCCTCTCTCTTACCTGCTGTTGCTGCTCCAGCATCTTTTTCAATAGAGCATGTTGCTGACGTAGCCCTTGAAGCTCTTCATCTCTTATAGATGCTGACTCACTCTACATTAAAGGCACATGTACATGTATGTTCAGTAGCTGTGTCAAATAATTTGAAATCTACATCACCTCAGTATTTATTTTCTTTGCTTTGTTTCTTAGCTTATCTGAGCAATTAGTGCAGTGTGAAAAGAACATTCATCTAATGTACAATCATGAGTATACAGAAATTACAGTTCTAGAACAATATTTGACATACCTTTTCCTCCTCTGTTAGTGACTGCAGACTCAGAGATGGTGTGTTTTCTAAAGTTGAATCATGTTCAACAGCCTGGTAAGATAAAAGAACAAAAACAACAATAAAAAAGACTGATTGTTAAAAGGATACTGAAAATCAATTTTCAGTATCCTTTTCATCTCTGGTGCTAAAATTTCTAGCTAGTCTTACAAGAAATTGCCTATATTAATATGTTCTATTAAACTTTTAGCAAGAAAGGGGTAAGATGCTGAAATTTCTCAAAGATACCATAATTGTACAATAACAACCATTTTCTCAGAGTATTATAAACTTCCCATATAATTGACAAAGAATGGTTCAGCAGAAGAGCAGCCTTTTTCATCAGTCACATATGACCTACATGAAGCAAAATGTCCTGTTGTGTAAAAACTATTGGCAATTGAACCCTACAGTCAAAGCAACACCTCAAGCCCAACTAATCTCAATAACCCTCTATGCCTTTCAAGAACAGAGAAAAACCTTGGGTCCATATGCCCGTTAACAGAAACTGTGACTAAGAATGTCATCATTTGTCTTGACACAATGATGCAAAACCAACATGACAAAGTGGCCTAAAATTTCATGTGAAATCCCTTAAGAAATTTATGCCAACAAAGTATAACTTTTGTAGATTTAACTCTCATTGCTTCTTCACAGTACTGTACATATGTTAATGTGTTGTTGATGAGAAAAGCTCACCACTGATCTTTCAAGAAGTTCTACATAAGCTTTCTCTTGCTGTTTGAGCTGTTTGATTAGCCTTGCAATCTTCACTGCTTGGGCATTTAGTTCACTGGACTGTGTGAAGAACATTCAAAAGTTAATTGGTACAGCCTAGCACTACATCAATTAATAATGAATAAAAAGTTGCCACAGAAGTAAATCAAAAGTTACACATCTAAAGGTATGACACAATGTTCATTGTGAATCCACTCCCACGCATCAAATCAGTACTATCACAATTACAAATTGAATTGAATTTCCTACAAAAGGGCAAAAGCAAGAATACAACAGAGGACTTTCTCCCATTTCAGACTATATTCACATACAGTACAGTGTATTAACTTACCCTTTCATCACTGCCTGTACTTTGTAAAGTGACAAACATTTCAGTAGCTTGTTTGAGAAAGCCCTGATGAAAGAATAAAAGGACACATTATCAGCACATGCAACTGGTCAATGGTGTTGATTATGCTCATGCACTTAAAGGCAATGTATGAACATTATGAAATAATTGCAGCCACTAAGTAAATACCTTAACCCTTTAACTCCCAGAAGTGATTAACATGTAACCTCTCCCTAAAATATCCATAGATTATCCAAAAAACAGTTAATAAGAATACACAGATTAATCAGGTAGAAGATGTTATCTTGCTCCAACACCAAATTCTCCCAATCAATTGACAAGGTAATGTGTAGTAGCAAGAGGGGAGAATTAACAATCGGATCTTGGGAGTTAAAGGGTTAAGAGAAATCCTTTACTCTTGAACCCTCATATTCTCCAAACTCCTGACATTAAGAAACAAAACTGTCTTCCACACTCCTCCCAAGCAAATAATTCCTATCCAATAATTCAAACAAACTTCCTTGTTCACTGAGATGTGAAAAATCAGGATGCTAATGTAAATAAGTGGGTAAAAAAGTTACCAGAATTTACTGTCTTTTTTTTTTAAAGTTTCTTCTGTATATTTTCCCTAAATTCTTACCCGAACTTGATTGAGCCTTGCAATGATCAAAGGTGTGTTGACCTTGAACAGCAAAAGATAAAATCAGCTCAAATTAACTCACAAAAATCACAGAATGCTACTGGAAAATATTAGTTAAACTGTACCATTATTGAATGAGTCTAAAACCACAAATAAGGGCACAAACATTAAACAAGCTATTCTCAGTGTTCTTTCCAGGTCATAACTAGTAAAATTTACAGCCTGTGGTGGCTTTTTTTAAAAGTCGCTTTCACATCTTTTAAATTCAATGGGGAAAAGGATTGCTCTACCTGTTTGACAATTTCTTTTGACTTATCCTGTGTAAAATAAGTGAGAACTCTGTATACCTTATTATAAAATATGTGTAAATAAAGTACAGGATGCATGTGCATAAGTAGACATATAAACCCACACAGCATAGACTATATCATACCCAAACTTTGTAGAATTTATACCTTAGAAGCTGTTGATCTAGGAGCTGCCTCTGTAGAAGTCCTTGCTGTCTCAGTTTCATTCATCTCCAACACTGGTAAGCTGGCAGTGGCTGGTACTCTTGGTTGTGTAGGTAATGCTCTCTCATTATTAGCTGTGCTAGATGATTGATTTTGTGAGGATCTCCCACCTCTACTTCGGGGACCCTCCTCGTCACGCTGTAATCCAATTACACGTACATGTTAGAGACAGTTAAACCACACCATTCGAGAAAATGCAAACTAGAGTTTGGATCCACAAACAAACTTGCAAGTTCATGTTAAGCTGCATTGTTAAGGATAGTCAAATACAGAAACAAATAGAATGGATCAAGATTCTTAAATTACACCCAAGGAATGAGTTTTAACCTTTTAACTCCCATGAGTGACCAAGACAGAATTTCTCCTTACAAGATCAATAAAATATCAAGCAGACAAGTGATAAGAATAAAGAAAATAGTAATTAGGGGATTGTTAGTTGATCCAATATCAACTTCTCCAGACTAACATTATAAGTATTATATGGCAGATGTTAAGGAAAATTGCTAATGAGACCTAGGAGTGAAAGGGTTAAAATACTACAAACATTTCCCATGAGGTTTCCACAACAATTGCTGACAACTAGTGTCTACTACACATTTTCAGAGACAAATCTCCAAAATCATGTCTCACATATCAATGAAAAATGTAGAAATCACAATTGGCCATTTTATAATTGTGTACTTAGTTGCCAAGCCTTTGATTTGGGTGAGGCTGAAAGTGACCTTATTGTGATAAGGACCAGTATCTGGTTAGCATGATAACAAAGAGATTTACATTTGAATAGCAGCAAGTTTGTATCATAACAAGGTCACCCTTAGCCTCACTCCTGTTCAAAGGCTTGGCAACTAAGCACACAACTGTAAAATGGACTGTTAACTGTATTTTAGTCCCATGAAAAGTTTTCAGGTAATTCTCATATTTCCAGGCAATGACAAAAATATTAAAGCAATGGAATTTTTTCACATTTAATTTACCAAGTAATGGTTGTTATTAAAAAATAATTACAAATTTAATAAATCATGACAGAAGGTATTTGAACTTCAGGCTGGAGATTTACAGTGAGTACCACAAACCAAACTGACCTCAGGTTTTTCCTCAAAAGACAGTTTTTGCTTTAAACTTTCCATAGCCAACCTCTCTGCCATTGGGGTACCAGGAGGTAGGCGTGTTCTTGGAACTGTAGCTGGTGTATGGTGTCGTTTTCTAGTGAAATGGGTACCATCAGAAGAGGGGCTAGCTGAGCCAGCCTTAGGAGGCAGCTTCACCTGCTCAAAGTGTTTTCCTTTCTTTTTTGTTGCACCACTTGCAGCTGATGGTGAGAGAGCACTTGCTCTTGAAGACCATCCCTTTCAACCACAAATAAAAGTTACCTTCAGTATCAAAGTGCAGCTGAGTATAATGGAAAGAAGTAGTCAACCCTTCATACCCTACCATCAGTATGCTTATTTTCTGTATTGTTCTCTATACATTTCCAGAGGTGCTAACAAGGAGAAATTGCTCAACAATCAAGAGCTACTTAAGCTGGTGAACATTTTGTTTATTTGTGTGACCTTCATGTGTAATTCAGGGGTGATACTGTAAGGAGAAATAAGATGCCAGACCCTCTTCAAGGTCAAAGGGTTGACCAAGGATTTGAGAACTACAAAAATGAATCAGATAAGAGGGAAATTTATTGGAAATAATAAGAGAAAATCTCATGACTTAGTCCAGTAATGGTGAGCTTCAAACCCACTAACAATAAAGTGCATGTGAAAAATGCGTGAAACACATGTGACCATGTGTGAAGTGAGTGTGAAACAAATTAACCATTAGAACTCTGTGTATGAATAAAGAAATAACCCAAATCTGCAGGTTTCACCTGCATATGAATTTCTTACATGGTATGCAAAACTGGAAGACTTTTAGCAGAATCCCAGTTCAACAAAGGAACTGTACTATGGAAAAATCACCAAGTAAAAACAAGAAGAACACCACTTGTGCACCAATATTCACATGACTTTTTACAAACACATATATATATACACACAACAGGACCTGTAATTTCAAAAGGAGAAAAAAATGTTTGTAAAGTTTACATGATAAAATTTTACCAAGTTATTTGGCAGGGATCTATGTCCAGAAGCTTCCTCTTCAGACCTGCGAAGCTCTGTAATGAGGCTCAGGTCAGTATCCAAACTAGCTGGATATTGACGAGGGGCTTGCCGTTGTGATCTCGGCTCAGAATATGGTCCACGCAAAGGCTGGGATGACCGACTTGCATCTTCTGATGGGAATCGATCAGCCATGGTTCTTCAAAGGCTTCCTGGTAATTTTAATCAAGAATACACATTAACTGAAAAAGTGAGGAATTAAGTGCGATTGAGTGAAATAGACAGGAGTGACCTCAAAAAACAATGATATTTCTCACCTAAATAAAGTGGTAGTCAAGAAAAACTATTCACAGGTTTTTATTCTCAAACAACTCTCTTTCCACTTGTGAACCAGTTCTTAATTCCGAGATCTGTCACTAGTATGTATATTTATGACTGTAGTTTTAAGGCAAGACAATACAATAATCAAATGACAAAGCATATCTAGTGTCATATATTAGACAAATTTAAAATTTCTATGGTCAAAAAATTATCTGCCTAAATTTAACACAAGGAAATGCCCCCTGTCAAACTGAATGCAGCTTTCAAGAGACATCAATAAATTCTTGTCACCCCTTAGAGGTCTTTAACCACAGTTCAACTGATCAGTAATCAGGTTGTGGTCATAAGCCATGCTATCACTCAGAAAACAACTTCATCCCAGTTAAGCTTGCAGGAAAAAAAATAGTGCTTCCCAATGTAAACATGCGTGGTACACTACTTCTACAGGAATATAGAGTACATATTTATTAATGAGTCTAAGTTATCTGGCCAACACAATAATAAGGTGTCTCAAGGGAGGACACTGTTGATTGAGAGTACAATGTAGATCAATTCCAGTCAGAATTCAGTCAGGCTTAATTCTAAAATTTGTATTTTTTTAGCCGAACCCTGCTGCTTGCAATTCAAAATAAAATATTGATGATTACCTCGTTATCGTACAACACCTACAAACACGTATTTAGTTAAAGTTTACATGTGGCTATTGCAGCTGTACCAAGAGAATTGGAAATATATATTTAGGAATTTGAAGCCATTGATGATAAGGTGACAGTTTGGTACTGAAAAGGGTACCGTAAGCTGTTTTGAGAGCATAAGTATTTAGATATGACATGTCACCGAACGTAAGTTCATCCGCTTTCACTATGTAATGAATAACATTAACTGATCAGATTTACCACGTAGCAGAAAAAAGAAAAAAGGCACAATATGCAAATCACGCTTTCGAGCTCAAAACGGCGAAGAAAGACCCCTCTTTGAGGACATGGACGGCTTGTTTACCACTGTTAATCTTCCGTACCTTCCGACTAATTGTAGGGCGCTTGCGAACTACGAACAACCTTTAGTAACTATTTTGCTAGCGAAAAATCTCACATCTTAAGAAGTTACATGATAAAACATAAATGAATCAAAATAGAGCATACGATCAAACAAGTTCGTTTGACGAGGTTACTGCTTTAACAACCTTCATCCAGTTAATTGCATGCATGTACAGCGGGGTTTTTGTATATTTCACTGCTAGGAAACTGGAGGCTCTTCAATTAAGCGCTCCAAAACATAACAATCTTCCACAGTTGTACCAGCAAACTTATCTAATTACCTGCAAGGTCGTTAGATCCGTTCCAAAACCTTGATTTTACTGCTTGTCGAATAGTTGCTAAGCCATAATGTGCCAAACTATCTGCAAATTAAACTAAGGAGTTTGCACAAATTTTCTCTGCGCGCCACACGGTTCTTTCCTGGCAAGGCCATTGGCGGAAAAATTCGTCCCGCAATGATGCGTGGGATGGGACTGACCGCCATTTTGGATCTGACAGAGGGGAGATTGGACAATATGTCAGCTCACCTCAGTCTTTTCGGTCAAGATTTGACGCCTGGAAGAAAACTTTCCTCGGTCAAACGACAGATTACACAGTGGAAAGTGAAGCACTGAAATGAGTTAGATTTTGACAACGAATGTTATAATTCCAGGGATCAAAATGCTGGGAAACTATTACTTTGCAATTGTCGGACACCGCGATAATCCAGTGTTTGAAATGGAATTCAATACACCAACGAAATCTATGGATTCGTCTCAGGGCCGCGAAAGCTATAAGGTAACTTTTCGCCCTGTTCAATGATCACTCAATTCAAACTGTAAATGATAATCAAAATTCACACTATTTACGTTTAGCTTTGGCTGCTTGCAGAGATTCCAACCCTCCCGATTTGATCGGGAGTCTCCCGATTTGATGTCTTGCCTCCCGCTCTCCCGATTTTTACCAAATTCTCCCGATTTACCATAAAATTCTGAAAACTAGGGGAAAATTGCTAATCTTTAGAATTTTTGGCGATCTGTCACTGTGAAACACTCATATTATACTTACTTTCTTCGCGAAGAGCATTATGGTATGTTATAACTCAGGCCGGAATGATGTCAAAATTCAGGAAATGGCACTTGAGAGAACCTAAATTTGCAAAATTTCCCGGGGGCATGCCCCCTGACCCCCCTAGAAGCTCGCGCCTTTGGCACTAATAATTACTCCCTATTTTCCATCACATGGGGTTGGAATCTCTGTGCTTGCATATTGGTGGTACTTTAATTTGAATGTATTCAGCACTATTGTTGAACAAAAACTTGGGCGATGCCTGTATGGTGGCAGTGGATAAATGTATGTGATTACATGTACACGTACAACAGTCTGCATTTTCCTGATTTGTAAATCTTCAGAGAGATGATCACAGACACCTTAATCAGTTTATCGCACATGCTGCACTGGATCTTGTTGATGAATCTATGTGGTCCACTACAGGAATGTAAGTTTGAAAATAATTAGGGACTTGACTTCCGTAGCCCAATTTAAATTAGTAGCTCTCTGTAATAAAAATCCAAAGATTCAGAAAACTACAAAAGTTTGCACAAGTCAATGTTGATTGTAAAAATTTTTCACCTATGAGTTAGTTTTTATCATTCTTGTCAAAGGTGAAGTGATGAGGTCCTTGATTGTCTTACCTAAACCTAAATGTAATTATAAGGAAGCCACTTTAACCCTTTTACTCCCATGAGTGACCAAGAAAGAATTTCTCCTTACAATATCAATACAAAATCAACCAAATAAGTGATGAGAATAAAGAAAAATATCAATTTGGGGATAGTTAGTTGATCCAATACTAAATTCTGTGAACGAACATTATAAGAATTGTATGGTTGACAATAAGGAGAATTAAAAATTTGATCTGGGAGCAAAAGGGCTAACCTTTTCACTCCAAGGAGTGACTGAAGAGGAATTTCCCCCTACAATATGCATGCATTTTAAAACAGAAAGATAACATTGATATGGCAATTTTGAATGCTTTAACACCAAATCTTTGACAAAAAATTATGAAAAGGGTATTCACACAATCCAGATAATTAATTTTCACATCTTAGGAGTTAACCATCTGACCGGTAAGAGTGACTTGCATCTAATTTCTCCTTACAATAAAACCCCTGAAGCAAACATCATGCTCACAATGATGAATGAATGAATGAATGTGTATTTATATACCGCACATATCACATACTGTCTCAAGGCGGTTTACAATTCTAATTGAGTGAGATCGAACGTCAGCTTGTAAAGGCGCCTCTGGCTGCCGCTATCAGTCCATATTTGATCTCACTCACCCACCCAGCCCATGCATGAAATGTACAATGAAACAACAGATAGACCACCACACTGGGAACTACGCCCCCTACTCTTTTCGACAAGTGTGTGGGTTCTTTAACGTCCCCTGCTGACCATGTAACACTGAAGATGCAGGAGACGGGGCCTACGGTTTATAGTCCTTATCCGAGAAGACTTGAATGTCTAACCATTTGCTGGTACAATTACAAAGGCAGCACATTCTCCTCACTTATTTTAAAACCCTGAGTGTTGGTCTGGTCTGGGGCTCGAACCCTCAACCTCCCGCACAGCAGACTGACGCTCTACCAACTGAGCTAACCAGGCGGTGGTAATGATATAGGAAATTATCACCAATTAAAGGAGCTCTTGATTATCAACCCTTTACAGTATGCATCTTCTCCATACTGTTCTCTACATGTTCCCTAAGTTGCTCACAAGGAGAAATTGAGTAACAATCAAGAGCTTTTTTAGTTGGTGATCATTTCCTTTATTCTTGTAACCTTAATGTGTGACTCAGGGGTGATATTGTAAGGAGAAATAAGATGTGAGTCACTCTTAGGGGCTAAAGAGTTAAACAGAGTCTCCTTGGCAGAACCATAGAAATTTATAGAGAACAGTATGGAGAATATGCATACTGATGTTGGGTGTAAAGGGTTTAAGGGTTCATACTTGTGAGTGCCTAATCAGCAAATTTTCTACTCAGCTAAATACTGTGACTGAAGTTTATTTACATTATCCATGTAATAATGAAGTTGATATGTGTAATGCTTCAATCATGATGCAAATATTCTTTTCTTTGATTGCCTCCTTAAAACAGGTATCTGAAAAATGTCGACAAGTTCAATGAATGGTTTGTGTCAGCTTTTGTGACAGCTTCAGATATCCTTTTAGTTCAAAGCATATAGAACCAAATTAATCCTTTAACTCCCAAGATCTCATTAAAAATTCTCCTTACTGTCTGCCATATAGTTCTTGTGATGTTAGTTTGAAGAATTTGGTATTGGATCAACTAATAATTCCCTAATTTATATTTTTCTTTATTCTCATCACTTATCTGCTTGATATTGTATTGATATTGTAAGGAGAAATTCTGTCTTGCTCACTCATGGGAGTTAAAGGGTTAACAGAATAGACTGAATATTGTGTCTAGAGAAGGTATTAGTGGCAGGACACTTATAAAAACACACTTATAAAAATATAAAATATAAAAACATCATATGACATTATGGTAAATGGATACAAGTGTGATTAGCTAATTTAATATTATCAATGGAGTTGATAATGTAAATTGGCCACTATGAAGAGTTTCAAAGCTGACGTTTTGAGCATCAGCCCTTCGTCAGAGCAAATCAAGTATATTTATTAGGTAACCTATACATGCATGTATCCACCCAAGTTTATTCAGTACTTGTTTATGTGACAGTGTGACCTGAGGCCAAATATTGGATTCTGGTTTTTCATGGTTACACTTAATTTAACAAAAACAAAGACCACTTTTGTTTACTCCAGTAAAAGTTTGGAATTAAGATGATGATGTTTTCCAGATTTGATATTTGTTTACACAGAGAAGGTAATAGAAACAGCAAATACTTTAATGTAATAGAGATGTGTGGCTAAGCTGTGTACATGTACATGATCAGAAGGAAAAAAATTCATAGGAGTGAGGACATGCAATTGTTTGTCCATGAGCAAATGCACAATAAAAATGGTCATTAGGATTGTGCACTCATTAGCTTGGATTTTGGATACAACAATGTAATGATTTGGAACAATGTGGAATTCTTTGGTAAAAAACATTCTGAAAAGAGTGTTTAACTTAAGCTTTCTTTTCCCTTGACTTATATAATGTAAGAGATTTATGATGCTTCATGATGTGAGAAATGATGATGGAATAAAGAATTTCTTTTCTGATGTCTATGAAACATACATCAAGGTACTTTGAGATTCTTATTTGCTTATAAATACATTAGGTACAAGCAAATGTCATAATCAAGAAAACATATTTTCAGGTCATTTTTTAAAATAAATTTTCTATGTGCACTCTGTGGATTAACTCTTTAACTGTTATTGTTATTTATCATATGACTATACAGCCCCAGGTCTGCAACTCCATAACAAACCATAGTAGAAGCTGGGGTGTGTAGAGCCAGACAGGTGGTCTGAAAAAAGCCATCTTGCTCTGCAGTCGTATAGCTCTTTTGCATTTTCCTAGAGTATTGATTGGAATCAAGGACTTCAATTGGAAATGTAACCAATGAGAAAGAGTCATACTTCTCAATGAACAATGAATTTCTTGTTCTAATTCAAAGAAATAAATGAAGTTGCTTTCTGTAGAATATTTTTAGTAGTTGTCCAATGCAAACCCTTCTTTTACATGCAAGTCTATCTGATATAGTTTGACATAAAAAAAGTTTTGAAATTTTAATAACTTAGTGGTTATAATTATGTTAAAATGCCTATTGACTGAGTTTGGTGGGGCTTATTGGGAAAATATTTGACTTTTGGTCATGACACACAGACCTCGCTGTGCTCATGACCTCAAGCCAAATGTATTTTCCCAACCAGCTCTCTCACTCAGTCAACTGGTACAAAGTATGAATTTTGGGAATTGAACCATCATGATATTACAAATTCAGACTCAAGGTAGCTCAAAATGGTTTCCTTGTTTTTAAAAACTGATTCTTTGATGAATTGGAGCTTCCATTTAACAATGTGTTTCTTTAGTAATGATGCCAAAAACAATGCCCAACTATTTCTTAATGCAGTTGAGATAATTTTTCTAACAATTATGGTCACCATAGCAACGACACAGATTCCTAAAACACTGTATCAGTGACATTTTGCTTAAGTTACCCTTGGTTCAAAAAATTAGTTGGATGGCACTTGAAAGAGGCTGTAATGTTGCTATTAAATTTGAAATGATCAAAACACATTGACACTATTTTCACGGAACATGAAAAGGTGTGGGAAGTTCAGTCTAACAAAGAACTAGAGTAAGAAAACAATGAAACAATTTTTTAGCCACCTTGATATATTTATGGTAAAATGTTCTTTCAAACTAATGAAAAACCAAAGGACACCTCATTCTCTTTGTATGTTATTTACCCTGCTATGTAAAACAGTTTTGATGTTTAGCATTTGTTTGGTGGTGTTACACTCTGTAATGTGTGTATGAATCTTTGCTTTATATCATTGCCTGGTTTTGAACACACTTCTTCCCTTTTATTATTGCAGGTTATTATGAATCCATTTTATGACATGAACAAAAAGATTGAATCACCCAACTTTGAAAGGAAAGTAACTGTTGCTGCTAAGAAACATCTCCTAGGATAGCATATGACCTCAGGAAAAATGAAGAGCAATAAGCAAATAAATGAATTTATTTACAGTTGTATAAATAGGAATGGATTGTAGTGCCTGGCTAGTTTATGCATTTTTTTTGTTATCCACACATGGGTTTATCATCTCGTCACAACTTCAACAAAATCTAGTCTCATGTCAGTTTTAATTACCATCAAAGGCACCATGACTATGAGCAAGAAACATTTCAAAATGTTGGAATATAAATTAGTCTTTCTTTCCAAGAATTAGTGAAGTTGTGTCCCTAAAGTACATGTTGTATTGGTGTAAGGAGTTGATCCAGTCTATTATATCACAAATGCGCAGTCCCACATCTTAGAGAAGTTGTTTGGTGATGCCAAGCTTGTTCCCAGGGTCTATCTTTTCATCTCTTAATCACTTTAGGAATTTTATGGCTTTTACTTCTTTATATCACTCTCCATTATTAGTTTGCTTGAAAAGCAGTCCTTCCACCCTATTCAAATTTTTGTTTTCCCACCCTTTGTGAAACCTTGAATTGTTTGATTTTCTTAAACATAATCAGGAGAGATGAGTAATAAAAACAACTAATTAAAATAAAAACGCTGTGGCAGTTCATGTTGGGAACTCTTGGCTCTTGCATATTATTTCCCTTTTGCATCCACACATTGATTTAGATTGATTGACATGTTAAAAAGAAAATGGAATATAAAGAGATGATATCCGTCTTTACGCAAGCGTGAGGAAAAGGAAAAAATCTGAATAGCCCACGAGAACTGGAAACTTTATTCTTCACTCAACAACCGAGCTCAAAATTTACCATCTTTCTTGTCCTTTTCACACACTCAACGCTTTAGATATTGCTGATCCCCATAGTAGAGCAATTTCAATCGAGCGTCTGAATTAATCCGGGATTGCCTTGGTTTCACTTAACTTTGCTTTGTGATGGGTGAAGAAAACTCGCGCCATGCTCTCAAGCAATCAGATTCGAAACTAAAAACCATTGCGACTTGGCCATTAGCGTTTTGAGTTTACCCTAACCGGTTTTTGGCTTTTGACACTTGTATCAAAAGTGCTACATGCAGGACGCGTGTCTGATATCAGTCTTTTAATGGCGTGCATGTAGCGTACTATTGAGTATTCTGTGGGTAAAGAACGGGAACCGATGGTCAGAGGTTCGTGTCCCTGTTGGAATCAAGTCGTTTTATTTTCGCCACTCTCGCCAAAAGACGTGACTATTTGTCAGTTGGTTCAAAATGATTGGAGGGATATTGAACTTTATGCATGGTCAAGCACAGGCAGACCACCCGATGGGCGAGACGAGAAACTGGACAGTCTTCTAGGACTGTTCCGAAGAAAGTACTGAAAAAATGGAATAACCACCGTATCTTCGCCTGAAAAACCGGAATACAGTGAAATTAAGTTTTTGCGTAGTTAAGTATTCTTACACCAGTAGTTGAGAATGAGTAAGTAAAGGACGTTATAAACTACCCACGGAAGCTAAAAAGTTATTGAAGTGCGCAAGCATTTCGTTATACTTTATTGAGGATTTTTAGACAAAGATATGATATTTCTAATTTTGTATTTTATTTTCAGCTCTTGATTCGCAACTGTCTACATGACTTTTTATTGCAAAAAGTTTGCTCTGCCTGTTGTACCCATTGGGTGGTCTGCTTGTGCGTTAGGTCCTGAAGACCCGAACAAAAGCATTTTACAAAGAATCTTGCCTGTTTCTTAGCTATTCCACAGAAGGAACTATGCCTTCAGTTCAGTTAATGTTCTCTCTTTCTTAGATGACATCGAAAGGAGCCTCTTAGTTAGGGACGTGTCCCACGTAGAAGTAGCTTTAGTTTCTCAGGGAAGTGACCGTACAGAATGTACATCGATGATATATGATGAAAAGTTTCCTGACAGAAAGGATATCCTCTTATGCTGCTTTGTTGATTGAAACTCAGTTGTTTTGAAACATGAACACGTTGAATTGAGGACGTCAAACCCAGTATTCAAGTCGCCTCCGCTCACCTGAAAAATGCAAGGCAGTAAGGTCTGTTCTGGAAGCTACTCCGCTATCCTTTCCCGTTACAGCCACCAAGCGTCGTTAGAGCGCTGCCGGTTGCTCATTCTTACCGCTTAGCGAGATCATGTAACGTGCTATTAATTGACGTTCCCGCGTTTTAGAGCAGTGTTCAATTGAATGTCGAAGCTAGTTCGAAAATGTTTTGGTTTTGCTTTGATTCGCCCAGTGACTGGTTCAGCAGAAAACTCGCGCCATTTTCTCAACCAATCAAATTCGATACTTAAGTTAATCACGACTTGGTCACGCACGTTTTCCCGCGCTCAAGAGAGTTCGCCTGTTTATACCTTGAGTTCTGATTGGCTGTTGCGATTATTATGATTGGTTTTACGACACCCAATCGGAAAGCGCTCTATTTTGATGTAATCAATCCGCCTATTGGATTATTCCATAGACTCCGCTTTGAAAATGCTTCCCCACATTCAATTTGTAAAGGTAATCACATGATTTGAGAGCAATTTGGAATAAATAAGAGCGAGTAAGTTTTTTCAAAGACAAACAAAATTGCACGAGCTCGTAGAGCGAGTGCAATTTTGTTAGTCTTTGAAAAAATTTTACAAGCGCTTATTTATTCTAAATTGCACGAGAAAAATCATGTGATTACGTATTAATAGTATACACGAAAAAATACGAGATAGGTTATCATAATTAGGCAGAAGCAAAGCGCGCTCATCAAGCGCAAAAATAATTTATTCAAATCCTGCAAGTGACATTGTGCGCTCGGTCAAAACAACCGCGTACGATCAAAGCAATAATATACAATGCGATTTTCACATCTGTAAGGTGTAAAAAGTTCAAAGTCCGGCCAAACAGTTCAAGGAATTGTTCAGTTGGGTTTGTTACTTCTTTGCACTGAATTAACCCTCTTCTGCACTGAATTACCTGAAAACTGCATTTATCTTAATCATTCAGAGCTGAGTTATTTTTTCATGTATCCTATTAGTCAGAAAAGACATCGGTTGTCTGTGCACAACTTTTTAGTTTCCCTTTTTGTAGACTTTTGATGTCCTTTCTCTACTTATTTTATTTCAAGTTGCGGCCTCTGTTGTCATTTGAAAAGTTGAAATATTTAAATAAATCAAAAGGAGAGCGAAAAAAAAAGTCAATGGAAAGATAAAATTGCAATGTTACAAAAATCTTAACGATTAAAAAATAAGGTTGTCAGGAAAAGAAATGTTTTAAGTCGCCCTTATGCTCACAAATTATTATTTTCTCATGAGTTAACTTTCATTAATGCAGCTGTTTGCTCAATCAGTCTATAAGGTAATTGATAGTCTATTTTTTCATTATTCTGTCTTTTAACCATTAAGAATTGATAATCTTCACTTTTTTTTCGATCGTATGGATTAAAGAAACGACCACTCAGTTTTTATTTTCCCAACTTTTCCAAATCGATTCTAAATTAGTAGCTATATTTTGTGGACAATTCCCAAGTTAGGAACTAAAATAAAAAATCAAATATTTATGATCATCAAAAACAAGATTTTTTATTTTTTTACACCGATGAGAACTTGAACCACGATCGTTAATTTTTGTATTTTTTTTTTTCAATCATTATTTGATGACGCCTTTTTTATTTCATCTGTTTATTCCCTTTGAGGGCATGGCTTTCTGTTCAACTTACTTTTTAAAAAGTGCCTCAAATCTGAACTTACTAAAAGGTTTAAAAGTTTTCTTAAGGATGCCGCGCGTTATTTGAATGTACACTTCCGCTATATAATGAAGCCACCAAAATAATCGTTATTTCTAATTAATGTTCAGAGGAAAATAATGGTAAAAACCATTAAAGATGTTTAAGCAGCGTGTCAGAGAGGCAGAAAAGTAAAGAGAATTGTGACCTAAAGTTAAGTTAGCGTAAAAGTTAAGAAAATATTTCGCGCCAACATCTTGTGTTTTGAAGAGGGGTAGAATACGTGTTTGTAGCTATTACAAGTAAAAATTGAGGATTTCATTTCCTTTTTGTCGAATTCGTCATGCTAAAAATGTATTATTTTTTCTATAAGCGGCGTTTTTAATAGTTCGGCAGACTGTAGCCGGAGAGGATTAAATATAAGTGTACTTGTGCTGATTCCACGGAGCTCATTTTCTTCAGAGATGCGTTCAAGAACTCATTTGCATGACTATCGTAAAAGCGATTTAAGCGTAGTTTCATTGGGGAACTACCTGTAAATTTGCTAAATATACTTTCAAAATTTTTCTTTCATAAAAATTATTATGTGATAACTCAAAAGCTCATAAAAAAGGCGAAGCAAGCTGTGAGTTTAAGAAAACTGATTAATTATTATTTCGTTCTTTGTTTCTCTTTTTAAGATTATCATTTTCCTTTTTTCTTTAAATTTCAGCTAAACCGCTTTTTATGAAATACTCAAATTTGTTATTTACATTTGCTGACTTGATTCATGCATATAGGAAAAGAAAAGGGGAAAAAACTATGTATGATAAACAGAAATGTCGAAGTAAAACCAGTTCTACCTTTCCAATATAAGCATCTTTATAAACTTAGTAGTAGAGTACTGAAACATTTATAAAAAAAAATTGTCTATCTTAAAACTACTCCAAGAAATTGGTTTTCATGCAAAATTGCTTTCTATTGACAGGTATTAACCTCCATAAATTTAGTTGTCTTTTTGTAACATCAATAAATGCCGACAAATTGTTATTAGTTGTACGACAATATTTGCACGTTGAATTTTTAAGTAAAAGCTTCTTTTCTGCAAATTTAAAATTGGATTTTGTAATACTATTTTTAATCACTGATTTAACTTATTCTAATCATTCAATCGCGTTAAATTTGCACAGCATAGGAAAAAAAATAAACAAATCAACTTACATATTTCTTGGAGAATTTGATTTAAATTCATTTAAATTTGTACAGATTTTACGACTAGATCATGAACCATTTTTTCCTCCTAACACAAGCCTATTTATAACTCAATTACAGTCGATTCATCATATAGATGTGTGTATATATATATATATATATATATACATATACATATACATATATATATATATATTTGTATATTTATTTTTGAAAAATATACGTATATAGATTCTAAGACAGAGAGTTATATATATATATATATATATATATATATATATATATATATATATATATAGATAGATAGATAAATTACATAGCATAAAGTTTCAATTTACATTGCCAAACAGAAATGTACTGATACTAATGATCAACATAACAAATAAGAGCAATGATAGACAAAATATGAATCTAATTCCCAGCCATATGGCGTTCTCATGTATTCTGCGCAAAATTTTCCTCAGAGATGTTGCATTCTGCTTGATAAGATGCTGAATTTTATTTTTTGGTCATGATCTGCAAGACTCTAGGACTTAATGAGGTAAATTTATCACTGTTACGTACTGTAAGTGAAATGAAAATATCCCAGAAATGATGTAGGTTTTGCCATCAAATGGCAAACTGCCATGAGTACTCCAAGCAGGGAGAGGGGGAAAATGCGCGCGAACCCAAAAACGTGGAGAGAAGACGCTGGTGTCTACGGTGCGGCGAGATAATGTATCCCGCTGTG